ATAACCTAACTGAAAATACAGTAACTAGCCTATACATTCAAGGTCTAAGAAGAACAACAATAAGTGCCAGTTAATGCCCAAAATTTAAGCAGAATTTTGTATATCCACCATGTCCATGTGTGATGTAATTATATTAATGACTTACAGTAACACCCAAGGGCTTCGGGCAACCCTCGAAGAACATTAGAGTCTTTGTCAATTTCTTCCCACCTTGCCCAGCACTGCCATGCACTTCAAGAAATTTCTCCACATGGAATATATCACAATACCCTAGTTTTGGTGATATGAGATGATCTATTGAAGGGACTATTTTTGCCCCAGTGCAGCGGGCTATTCGCTCTAAAAGTGGCCTCTTGATATTCAGAACAAGTGATATGTCTTTCGCAAGAAGGTAATCTTGAGCATAACGGGATACAGACTTCTCCACCAAAAGAACATTAGGGTGATGTGAGTCTATCTTTGCAACTGCCATCTTCAGATGATCCATTTCCTAAAATAGAGAATATAGTCCATCAGAAGAAGAAACCTCCTGGATTGCTAAATGAATGGTAGGATAAGTAAGTGATACAAAACATAAGCAGGGTTCAAACCCTTATCAAAACCCTATATATTTAAATCTTTAACTTACAAAGCCTAAATAAAGGGAAAAGGGAAAAGGTAAAATCAACCTGCTGCAACAAAGTATCAAAACTTGATAATAGATTTGAAACACGCTGATATTCCAAAGCTCCTCCAAGGATTAAAAAGCGTGGCTTTTCTATCTTTGATGTCATTCGCCGATGAGCCACATTTTTCTTACAAACAACTCCTTTAACCACCGTACTGAAGAAAATGAAAACAAAAGAAGTCAAAATTATGAAAATGGGTGATTTGTTACAAGAACATATAACCTTAATGAAGCCTTATTGCAATGAATGGTGGTGATTGAAGACATGAAGCGAACATTCAAGCAAGCATATAGGATCTATTCAGCAAAAAAATGTGATCCACCTCCAAGAACCTAAAAGTATGAATCATCAGTCTAACAGAATGACAAAGGCCATCTTCTTTTAATAAGCTTTCAAAATGATATTTGTGTAGAATGGAAATCTCCATCTTGGACACATAAATGGTTCAATAACAGAAGATATGGTTAAATAGCTAATGATTAACACATCAGCCCAAATCGATAGCTAAAATATACTCATTGATAATAGAACCAACAAGAAATTCTTGCATAAGCTGACATAACAGGACTGTCACAAATATAAGCTAAAATTTTGGGAACCATTCTGAATTTGGTCTACTGAAATACTACACCGAATGACAGTGCCTTAAGCTGCACTGCAATGTGAAACCATACACCGACTTTAGATCAAAATTACCTCTCATTCCTACGCCCACAAGCTATGCATTTGACCTTCACATATCCCCCAGGATCCATTCCTCCACCCTTGCTTGTATCTGGTTTAAGGAGTGTGGCAGCCTCCCACGACAAAGATGTAATTATGTCCAACCAGCTCTCTTTGTTGTCTTCATCACCCAGAGGTAGGTTTTCAACCTGCAAAAGCTGAGCTACCAAAGCTCTAAAATGACCTTCCACCACATTCTTCATCGCATTCCTATGCTCCTCAATTGACTTCTCTCTAGTACGACACTCCCCACTACCAAAGCTATTTGAAGAACGCAAATATCCCCACTCCCCAGCAGCACCACCAACACCACCACCATCATCATCGTCCTCATCAAATAAGACAGCTTCTCTCTCATCTTCCTCATCCTCAGGCTCTGGAGGGAGCCAAAGTAGCCCATTGTTCTCGAAATCCACAGGTTCTGCATTTGTACTTTGCAGGTCATATGGAGAAGTTTCGCACTCATCACAATTATCGTGTTCATATGAATCTTCCCTGAGTTCCTGACTTCCCTCTACACCCTGTGTATCAAAACCCTCAGGTAATAAGGAACTCGTGTTATCTCCATCAAGATGCACATTGTGTGGTCCATAAACATTATCGAACTCCTCGATATTGACTGCACCATAATAGTCATTGGCATGAGAGAAATGACTTGGTTCTGAATCTAAACGATAAACGCCATAGTCATCATCCTCATCATCACTCCTGGTATCAGAGGATAAGTAAAAACATGAAACTAATTACCTTATAAAGAATCAGATGTAAGAATATGAGAATACAGTCATTAATATGACCTAACACAATAAATGTCTCACAGGTAACATTCACCTCAGATGAAGAATGAATGAGTCAAATGATATTTCTCAGAAACAGAAACCCTTAATTCACTTTTCAACCCGCATTTTGTCTTCTTTTTTCAGGAATACTCAAATATCTTACAAGGACAATTGAAAACACATGTGAAACTAGAGAAAATAATGCTGTATCAATTTGTGAAAGTACTCAGAAAAAAATATTCAGATAGGGCAGGAGATACCTGTTCATGCCAAAGCCAAAGTGGTTAGGAGACGACTCTGCCATGGCTGCATCAGAACTAATACTCCTCTGAGATGTACAATTGTCTTGCGTGGCCGTAACTGAATCGATTTGGGGAGATGATTGATTAGGGCTAAGACCAGAAGTATACGGAACACGCTGGTAAGGTCCAGTCGAATAAGGGGTAGAGCCAATAGTGCTGCTACTACTGTGGCAGGTGCAGCTGGACTTGGTGCTTGCCAAACTTGTCGCAGATGGTGATGGACTGAGGCCAGGGCTTCGTGCAGGAGGGCCATTATCAACTGTTGCTATCCCTTGCTCCCATTGCCTGAAGCAATAATTACAGACCCTAATTCTCTCCCAATCTTCCCTTCCAGCCCTTTGTTCATCAGACGGGGCAGGAACAGAGTTTGCAGTACACTTCGCACAGAAAACTCGGCCACAAAGTCGACAATGATGCCTCCGGTTAAATATTGTGAACTGAGAGTCACAGTCATAACATACCCTACAGCTCTGATCAGGCATCCAAAAGTCCCTGGACACATTGGGCGGCTCGGACCTCCTGGGGATCCAAGACTTGAAAATGTCAACTAACTCGGATAGTTTGTTGTCGGGGGTGCCCATCGACAACTACCCCACCCAAGCCCACTCATGATGAGAGGATCATTGCAAACTCTTTCCACAACAGACGACAAGTGAGTACGAATGCACCTGCTAAGAAATAAAAATCCAAAAGAAAACAAAGAAAATGAAGCAATTGCAAAACCCAACAAGATCACCACTTTATGAATTTGGAACTCAATAAGGTAGGCCTAGCTGATTGCTAAGAGCTCATTGAAATTAAAATGTACACATAAATGTCATCTTAACACTCAAACTTGGATTGACAACTCCAAAATTCATAAACATAGAAAGAGAACCTGAGAATTGAGGTTTGCAGAGAAACTGAGAATTCAAAAAAAGAATTACCCATTGTAACTAGCAAAAGGGTTGCATGCAAAGGCACAACTTAAGCTTAATTTTCTCATGGTGTAGAAGAAAAGCAACATAAATTACCAGGACTAAGAGTTGCGAAGCAGCCAAATTCAATTCCCCATGGCGAAAGTCCCCAAATTCAGTGCCTTTCCGAATTGGAATTCTGAGAGATTGCAAACAATTACAGAGCTCAATCCCAAAATGCTTTATTTCTTCAATTCAATTTATCTGTGTGCCAACCAAACAACCCAAGCCCTAATCAATCAAACAAGGCGCAAAATCTTCGATAGACCCCACCAGAAATATAATCACGTCTTATATGCAGAATATATAAATGTTTTAATTTCGGCTCAAAATGGTTAGTTCATACAACGACAAACCTGCACATATTCGTTCATGGAAACAAACACGAACCATAAAATATATAAACCACACAAAAATTAATATTATTATTATTATTATAATCATATGAAAAATTACAAGATAAAGAAAGACGAAATGTCAACCGCACCCGTAACTGTAATTCCCCACTATTTGGCGCTCCCATTGAAACTTTACTCTATATGTCATGCCAAGATCCACCGACTTATTTAATGAATTCTCATGCAAAAAATTTATACCTTCTTCCTCTATTTTTTTGTCTTTTGTTGTTTGTTTTTGGCTTGTTATATTATTATTATTTTTTGAAATATTGTTTTTTTGAAATACTATTTCGATTTTTGTGTGGAGCGGTGGCACGTCGAAGAAGAAAAGGATGGTTCTTTACTCATGAATCACCATAATTATTATTAATTATTTGCATACTATAATCAGTGCATGTGAAGATAAAAAGATAAATGTTTTGATAACTTTTTATATTAGAGATTGATTTATGATAAAACTAGAACGGTAGCACGTCATGCATGTGTGTGAGAAAAGATGTTTGTGATTTTTGCCAATGGTTTTTATTTTGTTTTAATTTTATAAACTAAAATGATTCATCGTTAACTTTTATCTTTCTCGTATTTATTTAAGTCAAATATGAGTCATTCTGTAATTCGGTGGAATGACTTTTTTTCTTGAGAAGTGAAGTATTTCTGCATTCATTCATGTGAGTCGAATATGAGATTTTTTCTAATTAAGTGGAAAAAACTACATTAAATTCGATTTTTATTTTTATAGCAAATAATTCATCCCAAATACCATTTTTGCCAATGGTTTTTAAAGCATATAATTCATCTCAATAGTCATTTTATTGAGTAGATGCCGAGCGCGTGGTCATTGGTCAAACAAGACAACACGTGACCAAGGGCACGTGATTGAACTGATCCAACTGCTACAAGTCAAAACCAAGCCATGAAGTCTGAACCATCGCTGGTGCATGCCCTTTTGATTCATATGGTCATAGTGTTTGCCATGTGTGTGTTGGAAGATGACAGATAACCCTACAGAATTTGATTTCTTTTGAAGGCCAAAGGACGATAAAATAAATTTTAAAATAGAAAAATAAATTAAATACATGAAGTGGCAACTAACCCAATTTGCAAGAGAAGCCTAGAAAAAAAATAATGAGGTAAAAGTTATATATATATATATATATATCTCTCTTATTCTAAGTCATCTTGCAGCAAAAGAATGGTTCTCGGCTTCTTGTTTGACCTCAGGCAAGCTGCTGTTGCTGCTGCTGCTGCTGTTGTTTTGAACAAGGCCGCTATCGTTGAAACCGGTTTTCTTCCAATCATCAGAAGCAGGAGCTGGTGATGATGATGATTTTTTTTCTGTGGATATGGCATCAGCAAGAGCAATTGGCATAAGGCAGAGACCTTTGCTTTGGAGATGCTGCATTGCCTTGGTCACATCTGATTCCATCAGCCTCACTACTTGCTCTAAGGCAATTTCATTGAATGAAATGTCAGTTACTTGGCCAACTGACGGCAACAGCGAAGAACCATTGGCACCCTGACATAGATTCACTTATCAGAACAATGATCAAGTTCTTCTTATTCCTAATTAGAACATGAGAGAGAGAGAGAGAGAGAGAGAGAGAGAGAGAGAGAGAGAGAGAGAAGAAAATTTAGAACCTTAGCTTGTTGAGTGTCTGTGATGAGAGGAACAACTGCTCCTGCAGCACCAACTCTGCTCATGCTTAGCACCTGCATATTGTCATATCAAGCACCAAATTATGGACAGTGTAATTCAAAGTCTCAGTTCTGTTAATTGTGATTTTGTTCAATTTTTCAGACCGTATTTGAGTCAACCATCCACAGTTTGGGAAACTCTAAATTGAGTTTCATTACAACCTTATTTCTGGAGCACAGAATCTAAACTGTTAAGGAAAGTTCTCCATCATATACCTTGATTTGGAGCTGAAGGAATTTGACATACTCAATGATTTCATCTAGCATGGATGCCTTGTCAGTCTGCAAAATCGTGAATCATATCAGCTCTTCTTTAAATCCAGCCCTATAAATTAAACTGGCAACTGTTTCAGTGTGAGATGGAAGAGCTTACCCTGTTAGAATTCGGTACCAGTTCTTGCAGGTTCTTCATTCTTTCAGCAATTTTTTCTCTCCGAAGCTGCAAATATGTGTTTTATAAGGTATAAATGCTTAGTCCATTTAATTCCCAACCAAATTCCTTTGACAAGTGGACTTCAAATTCTAATGGTTCAGGTCTTGGAAACAGAGAATGCATGAAGAAGCAAAACTTTATATGAATGACACAACTAACCCTTTCAGCAATACTGTGTGGATCAGTTGCCTGGCCTCGACGTGCCCTCATACGAGGCTTTCCAGTTCCAGTACATTCAGCAGAGGGAGTAGTTGATGTAGCCTGTAAGTGAAAATTGTAAGTTCATTTTTTAACAATGCTTGATAGAATTAGGATTTCCTTAACTGATAAAACTCAAAAGTATCCAAGAGAACAGTGGAGATAGGATAAGTACCTGCTGTAAAGACTGCAATCCAGACATTGTCATTGTAATCTGAGGCCCAGAAGCAAAAGAAGGCAAAGGATAATTTTGTAGGTCCTGCTTTCCCTTCAAAATTACACAAGCAACAATCATAAAACCATTTCACTTACCAAAACTGTAAATAGATAATCATAACTATGAGTTAAAATCTAATTTTTAGCTTTTTACCCCAAAAAAAAATATCTAATTTGTACCCAAGTTTTTCCCTAAAGCTTATATAACTAGAAATATTAAGTAAGTTTATGATCCTAGACTGATACCTCTGTGGTGACTAAAGCAGCCAAGTTATTGGGATCGTTTGCCATGGCATAAGTACCATTATCCCCATATTCTCCTTTTAAGCCAAAGCTGCACATTCTGTGCTGTCCCATACCAGGAGAAAGAGAAGAAGGAACACCCTCATAAGATTGAAGAGGCCACAACTGAGAAATCGAAGAAAGGGTTTCGAAATCTCCATTGAATCTTTCGAAGATGGATGGTTCACGGTTGTTGCATACCACATTTTCTGGCTCTATGCCGGAAAGAGATGTTCTCACCATGTTACCATTCAAAGGCAGCTGCTCCAGAGAAGCAAGTGAGCAGGGGGTTACAATATCCACATCATATTGCAGGCCCGGATTTTCGACTTTAAAGCTACGATCCACCTTTCCATTTGAGAGGTTTGGCTTGAAGTGTTTACCATCATCTTGTGCATCTGACTCTAAATCATGAACAATAGATGAAGCATCTTGAGCAGCCAAGCTCTCCATACTGTGGTTTGAATTAGTCAGATATGTAGGTGAACTATTGTTGTCATCCTCATCCACTCCAGCTGAATTAAGAAGCATTTCATTTGGTGGCCCACATTCACAACATCCCCAAGATGATCTCTCCTTCACGTCTACATCTGACCATGAAGAGGAACTGAAAAATTGATTAAGATAGTTGTCCATCTTCAAAGATGAAGACTTTTCCTGCTCTGCTTATTTTATGCTGGCTGCACCTAAAGTTCATGAAAAATGGACATACAATTAGCTTAAAGACTTTCCTGTACATGAATTTACTGTCATGTTTCCAATAAAGCCTAAGAAAATCAGCACTCTCTAAATCTATTATGAAATGAGTCTCTGAAATTCCTGAAAGATCCTAAATTTAGCAGGAACAAAACCCCAATCATACATTCCAGAAAACCCAACACAGATTTATTACAAAATTTGCATGAAGAGAACAGAAAAATATAAGACATAGATATATACCAGGCCTTATAATCTAAATGGCAGCTAAATTAAACTCATGGGTTAAAATATTGATCACATTATCTTCCATAAACCCAGTTGACAGAATTGGTTTCCAAGCGTGACAACAGGACACACAACATACATTCATACGTATATGCTTACATACATATATATATTATTTTGCAGAAAGAGAAAACAGTAAACAATAATGTGAGATCAAACATTGACACTCACCGAGAGAGAGAGAGAGAGAGAGAGGCCAAGAGAGTAGAAGCAACAGTTATAGTAGCGGCGTACAAAACTTTGAGCATCCAAAAGAAGAAAATTGATTAATTAAATAATTAATTAGACTCACAACTAAACCAGAAACCGCTCTTGTAGGCTTTTACAGATGAAAAGCTCATTTATCCTTCTTTTTTCCAGTATTCTTTAACTCTCTACTTTATTCCTATCCCTTTAAAGTTGTGCATGGTGTCAATCAGCCATTGGTCCACATCACCAAGATTTCAAAAGAATTTTCCTCTTGACTAGAACGTTACAGATTTTTCAACGAGCTTTCAAAATTTCCGTGAAGTTAGCCTCTTAAACGTCAACTGATGCTGATCAATTTATATGTCCTCTGAGTTGTCCATGCAAATTGCAATGCAGCATCTATAGGGGCATTATGGTAATTTTAGTGGTGACAAGTTCACCATGCACCCCTGACAAAGCGGAGGGGTTTCGGTTCCTTTGGTTGTAGTGGGGAAGTGCTTGGTTTTACCACTTCCTTCTTCTTCTTGACCAAAACAAACCAACCTTCCCGTGCCACTTTATAGTTTATATTGTTCGTCAGGGGCATTTCAGTAATTCAATTAATAGCCCCAAATATCCCACTAGGGTCACAAAAATGGGAGCCCATCAAGACTCTTGCTCATAGTTTTATATCTGGTTTTGATCATTTTATATGCTTTTGGAAGTTCGCCTCTTAATCGTCAACCAAATGTCTAAATTTGAATAACTTGAAGCTCAAACATGGTTTCTTTTTGACTGATTGTTGGGTAAATATGGTACATTTTCATGGAACGATTTACCAACTTGATCATTGCTCATTCAATGGGTGGAGGACTTTTTTCCCCCCTTTAGAAGGAGCATCACTTTCATTTGGCGAAAGAGCCTCAAACAAACTTGTAAAAAGCAACATAAACCATACTCAGTGGAAGGCCTATATTGCCCCTCATGGATTAGGTCGCTACCCGCAAGCGCAACCATGGTGACCTTTTGGAAAGGCTGAGCTGTGGAGAGGATGGGAAGCATTGAAACACCTGAAGCATCTGCAAGACTTGACGGTACAGAAGTAAACTCTCCGACTGCTTAAACTTAAAAGTGAAATGCAGATATATTCAAACCGAGCTCAAATCCGATGAAAAGCTAACTGGAACTTTATTGAGCATGGAGGTATCAGCTATTGTTATCCCACCTCTTTTGGGACTGTAGAATTTTCCCATACATGTACTGATTGATGATTTGCAATATTTAAAGTATCATCATAATCTATGTTATAGAACATGTCAACGCCCCCTACAATTGGGACAATTGTGCCCATGATTGGCTTTTAAAATTTTACCACATCTGTAGCAGAAAGCTGTTTTGCACCTGCAATCAACACATAATAAATAGAAATTCACAGGGAATTCAAGGATTCATTGAACGAAACAAGTCAGAGTAATTGTACAGGGCAAATTTCAGCCGAACAATGGGGTGTAGCTATATAAAGTTCTGAAAAATAGAAAGCTTCGTACACAGTAAACTCAAAATTTAGTTCATAGACTGGTCACATAAAACAAGAAGAAAATTTAGGCAAGTTTAAATTTTGCAGCTAAAAGAGTTAGGAAGTGCTGATCTGAATTTAAGAAAGGATTTATTTCTTATCTTGTTCGTTTGAACAAAGATACACAGTTACTATGCTCATCCATTGTGACAACTCCGATTCAGTTCACTGCCTTTCACAAATCTATTCAAATGTGTCAAGGCATGGCTGCCTTATTTTTGCAGACCTCCAGATAGCCACTTCGAAGGACAAAGACCAAGGACTCTAAAGATGGAAACTTTAGCTCGAACTCAATTGTTGTTTGAGAATATTACCTTACTAGAGGTGCCAGAAAACCAATCATTCCTCCACCTAGGAATTAGCTATTATAGGGTAATCGTACTCAAATTCATACCCTGGTCTCTGGACCTTGTACCACGTTTCAAGAACCGAGAACAACCAAGGTAAACAGCTTTGAATCAAGTCAATTTTAGGGAGACAGAAATTGCTGTTGACAGAGGTTGATTGAGATAAAGAAGTGAGGAGTCTACTTTATAGCTTTGATGCTTAGTACAGCAAATTCAGGGCAAATCGTATGTGTAGCCTCATAAAAGACGTACTAATTAGTTTTCTATATCCAATGAATTTTCCCAGCAATGCATCTAACTTAGATGCATCTAACAATAGTGAGCAAACATGATAGCATAATCATCCTCAAGAGGATTTTTATACAACAGGCATGGAGTGGCAAAGCAACTCCAACTGATCTTTTATATTATAAGGTAGAACCAACAACGAAATTGCTAATTCACGTGAAAAAACCATGTAATAATTTCAACAAAAGATAACATATATGGGTATAAATCAAATGCGAAGACCTTGAGGAAAAATAGCAGATAAACTGACCTGCACATCATGAACATGCAACCCTCTGATTTTTCCACATAGAACTTACAATTGGGGCATCTTCTCCATTGTTTCTGCTGCGCAAGGTTCTTCAACATGACAGCTTCCTTTTCCCTCTCATCCTTATTCAACTTCTGAAATTCTTCGCACTCAATCTCCTCGTGCCAAGGAACCTTACACTGGGCACAGAACATTCTCCAACAATTGAGGCACTGTGATTGCTTTATAACCTCTTTCCCATCATCAATCAACATAGCAGAGCAGTCCTTATAGGGACAATAAAACTTCTCAGACCCAAGAATCACACTCTCACACAACACACTTCCCCACCTATCAAACACCTCAGGGGGCAGAATTGGTCGACAATACTCGGCCTCTAGCAACCCTTTACAATCAGGAACAGGGCACCTAATGTTTGTGATGTTCTCTTGAAGCTTCGAGGCCACGTAGTTGACCGTACAGTCAGTACAATAACCATGGCTGCAATTTTCTACCGCAAACAACTGGTTTCCGGGCTTGGTTTCAACACAGATTTCACAAACAAAAGATGGGTTTTCCTTGGAATTGGAAGATTGCCCAGCTTCGGTCACAGAAGGACCCGTAAAGGGCTTTGTTCGTTTTCCAAAGGGGGTGTTTGAGGGTTTAAACCTAAGAATTCTAAGCTCATCGTCATCGTCGTAAAAGTCTAGAGTTTCATCAGAAAGGTCGATAAAGTTACCTGCTTTGATCGATTGAAGGCCTCTTTCCTCTTCCAAGTGGTCTGCTGAGCGCTTCAGTGAAATGGGTGTGAAGCAAAAGGCATCGTCGTCTTCAATGTTCACGATCTCAATTTGGGACTGAGGCTGAGACTGAGAGTGAGCCACTGTTTTCTCCATCTTAGGTTTCCTTGTTCTCATTGGAAACTTGTCGCTAATATTGAGACGCTTTTGGACTCTCCCTCTGCAATTTCAATTTGAGTAGTCTTCCTCTTCCTTAATGTGCACGCTACTCTTGTTAATTATGGTTAACTCTTTAAATTCCACGATGGTGGTGACGCAGAGGATTATACGGTCCTGGGATCTCTTTTTAATCAACGACGATTAATCAAGCACGATGTTATTATTTTATTGGTTACATATTCTGGGTTGGATTCTGGCCAATCAACCTAAAAATTACTATTCTTTTATAAAAACTATAGAAAAGACAGGAATTCTTGCCTTGCTTTGTGGAGTGTGACACATCGTGATAGAATGAAGGGGGAAGAGGATGGAGGGTTTTCTCATACATGTCATGTCAAGGTGTCATATAGAATCGAATCTAAGACTACTTGTATATAAGTTAAGATTCTTTTTTTGTTGGATTAGACCCCAATAACAAGTATTCACAAATATTACCTGACATGTGTGTAAAAATAATTCATAAAAATATATAAAAATAAAAATTACCACACACACGTCAAACTGGTGAGACACATCCACATAGAAATCTAAGGATTAATGAATGTTGCTTGACACAGGTGTAAAAAATAATTTATCTAACACAAGAAAAAAAAACTTCTACACACATGTCAAACTGTTATTGATAAGAATATAGGAGAGAAGACAAGTATTTTCCTTGTAATATGAGTTCATTGGTAACAAATTATTTGATCAATTAATGTTTTTAAAAAAAAAAATAGAATTCTGCAAAGCTACTTTTATAATAAGTTACGATATTATAATGAATTAGCTACAATTAGGTATCAAACTCACAACAAATTTGTATCCATCATTGCATTTATTTCATTCAATCTGTGAATCTCCTCTAATTATGTGAAAACAACAACCACTAGTATGCCAATATTTTCCTTATGCCATCTTCTCTTCTTAAATTATATGAAGTACTTTTGTTTAAAGTAACTTTATTTATATGAAAGACACATGAAAGACTCTTTGTTTGTTTGTTTTTTTAATTAATGGGGGAATAAAACATGCATTCTTTAATCCACTTTGTCTCCCTTTATTTTATAAAAACCTTCCCACACCAATACAAACGCATTCTAATTCAAAATCTCTACCTCACAAGCAAAAAGTGACTTTATATGGTAGACTTATTTTTTGGTAAGGACAATGATTCCCTCATTGTTCGTACACGTTGCTCACTAGTGTAACCCATTCAGAAGTAGACACGTGTTTTTCTTTCTTATTCTAAATATATATTTCATTTCACAACATTATTTTCTCAGTTGAATGCTATTTTGTCTTTTTATTTTTGGCTTAACTTTCCTATTTAATTTTTATTTCCCCAAATAAAGCAAGTCGTTCTTTTATGGTTAAGGTTAAGGGTAATTCTATATGAACCCCATAAATTACTCTTTACACCCCATAATTTTTTACACCCCACTAAATTTTAATAAAATTTCAAATTACTCATTAAACCCCCTTTTTTTTCCCTAAATTGCCCTCATAAACCCCATTCTCTAACCACCCATCGAAAACCCCCTTCCCTTTCTGCCACACCCCATCTGAAATCAAACCCCACCCCATCTGATATCCAGCCACACCCCACCGAAAATTCTCTCCTCTTGCAAACACACTCCATCGCACACCCCATCCCATTTACACCAACCTCCATCGAAGAAGCCCTTTGCCATTGCCTGCATCGCAGAACATCGAAGAACTCATCCCTTGCCATCGCAGATCTTTGCTCACCATCGAAGAAGCCCTTTGCCATCGCCTCCAGCAAACCTGAACCATATCTGAAACAGAACCATCACACCCATCTCCATCTCTGCAAACCCAAAAGCCATTGAAGGTCAAGTTCTCACAAATCCTTATTCAAGGTTTGATTTCAAATTTGATTTATATATTTACGTTTCTAAGTGTTGATTAAGCCTACATTTGATTTCACTTTTGAAAAGCCAAAGTCTGATACTGATTTTGATTTCAATTTCAAGGTTCTGGGTAGTTCGAACCTGGTTTTACGAAATTGGATTCTAGTTTCGGTGGATTGCCACCGAAATGATTACATTGCTTCAGTGGTAGTCCACCGAATTGAACCTGTACTTTCGGTGGGTTACCACCGAAATTGTTACATTGTTTCGGTGGTAGTCCACCGAATCTGTTTCTATTTTTCAGGGGACTCCCACCGAATTTCTTTTGGTTTTTCAGTGGTACTCCACCAAATATGTATTCTTTTTTCAGTGATTGTCCACCGAATTTATTTCCCTTTTTCAGTGATTATGTACCGAATACGTTACTGAGTGTGTACTTAATATTGTTTATTTTTAGATATGAAGAGGATTCGCAGGGGTACTACTAAAGCTTCATCATCACGACCTAATAGACAACGTCCCACGGCCTCAGCGAGGAGACAGAGAGCGGCTCCCCAAGATCACATTGAGGATACTACAGAGGTTGAAGATGTAGTTCCTACTGATTATAGTAATGTTGACGCAGAGGTTGAAGATGTAGCTACTGCTCAGGATAGTAATGTTGAGGTACATGCCGAGCCTACTAAGCCATCTCGAGTAGGTCCCATTGATCCATCTTTACTTACGAGTTTTAAAACTCACATAGCAGCTACAATTTGGAATAACCAGGTAAGTCGTTTTACTGTGACAATAGAAGGTAGAATATAAATCTGGTTCATGGTAACTAACCTTAATTTTGTTTTTTTTTGTTTAACTAGGAACGTGAGCCCCTTAGGTGCATGTCGAAAACATCTACCCTTCGTGAGTGGAATTGGTGGGGTAATCCAAATAATAGTATATTCAAAGGGTACATTCAGAGGTCTGGATTAGAGCACCTTATTAAGTGTTCTTATTGGAATGCTGATAAGATTGTGGTGTCTACATTTGTTGAGAGGTGGCATCTCGAAACGAACACCTTTCACATGCCTTTTGGTGAGATGACCATCACATTGGATGATGTGTCATCTATTTTAGGCATTCCTGTGTTTGGTGCAGCGGTTGCTCCTCTTGGAGATGATGACGACACAAATTTTGAGTTGTTAGTTAAGTACTTAGGAGTGACTGATGAAGAGGCTACTGAACAATTGCACAAATACAATGATGAGTATGTGAGTTTGTCATAGTTACGGGTGCGATTCTCCAATGTTTCATACACAAATTCAGAGGAGTACATCATGTATTCGGCCAGTGATAAGAAATCTATGTGGCCACCACAGACTCTCTCAATTTCCTCATAAATCTCTGTGTTCACCTTTTCTATTTTCTCTTTCAACTCTGGAGGTTCTGCGACAGATTATGGTTAAACTCCTGCATTATTTTATCAACTTTCTCCTTCAACTCTAAATGACTATGCACACAAAGATGTATTTTTCAGGTTACATGTGAAAAAAAATTAAATAAAATTATTAGATCTATAATCTCAATTATGTAACAGGTGCATTTTCATCAGTCATTAGGATGACGGTATCTGTAGTAGCTACATTCTCCACTCCCGGAAGTTGTTGAAAAGCATCCACACGTGCTTGGTACCTCGAGTACAAATGTGTTACATTGCATATGTCACTTTGTTCATGCCACATTCTAGAAACTGGTGGAATAGGATGATCTGGAGACAAATGAACCTACAAAACAAGAATCCATTCATATACGCATAGCATATAAAATTAACCAATGTTGCGTAAACAAATAAATTCATACCTGGACATAGTGATCATCGTCAACAAAACCAATGGCAATCTCATTTAGCTTGGTTTCGCTTGATTGAACTGAAAAAGGAAGAAATGTAAGGCATTGACGCATGCTTAGAAGGATTAAAACCACATTATAACGTGTGGCAATAATATGTCCCATATCAGGCATGGTCATCCAACAAAAGAATGGTGCAAATCCATCATCAAAATAATTTAGCGCTCGCTCAATCTCGTTGTATCGTTTATGTTCCCGAATACACTTCTTAAAAACAAAAGACATATCATGTAGTTGTTGCAACAAATCCTTGCGTACCCTACGCCATTCATTATGACCAAATCTCATTGCCATAGCTATGGCTCTATATCCACAGTTACCATCCGGAAGAACTTCAGTCTGGTGAGTGATATATTTCCTAATACCCTTAGGGAATTTCTCTATATGCATATATGTATCGAATGCTGATTGGTTTTCGCGAGGCTTATAGAGTTGAAAATAAAACAAAATATTAGTTATATGGTAATAACACATTGTAAGTTGTGAATTGATCACTATAGTCCATTACACATTCTATTCCCACATTGTTGCCTTCAGTAGGGGCGTCACCTTGATTTTGTTCCTTCAATGGGAGTAAGATCAAAATAGCTTGGATATTTTGTTCCTTCAATGGGAGTAAGATCAAAATAGCTTGGATTAAATTTGTGGTTGGCAATAAGTTACTGAAAAAATAAATAAATTTCGGTTGGATGCCACTGAAACGCGGGTAAAAATTCGGTAGTACACCACTGAACTACGTTCCATCTTACGGTGGATCCCCACCGAATATTAAGTTTCTCACCGGTGAAATCCAACCGAAAAAGGTGCAAAGTTTCGGTGGCATCCCACCGAAATTATCTGTCGCGTTCGGTACTGATGTGCTGAACACAACCAGCGACTGTTATGAAATATTAAACTTGCAAAACGCCAAAAAATAAACTCGTACCTCATTCGAAGCGTCTCTAACTTCAATCTCACCCTTCATGAATAAATACAATATATTTTTTCACCAGTATAAACTTATAAATCTTGGGTTTAGGGTTTAGGAACATGATAGTTTGAGAAAAAAATCAAACTAGGGTTGCAGGAACATATGTGGGGTGTAGTGAGCAATTTTAATTTTTTTTGTCCTTAACGGTAATTGTGTACAAGGGTAAAATAGGTTATTTATATTTAAAATTAGTATGGGGTGTAAAGAGCAATTAATGGGGTGCCAATAAAATCACCCTAAGGTTAAAGAGGCCCAAGTGGCTAAAGTTGGGGTTCTTTTTCAAGAGGGATGTGGTGAGAGGCTGTGATTGAGGAAAAAAACAAAAGTTAAGAAAAATAAAATGAAAACTGAAATGTATTTTTGGAATAAGAAAAAAAAAACAAACAAATACGTGTCTATTGATCAAGCCCACAACTGGCAACCAAACGATATAAAAAAAGGATTCTTCCGACATTAGACGTATTTTGTCGTAGTACGAATTAGAGTGAGGTCTGGATTTGTAGAAGAACGCATGTCCACACATGCAAGCAACCACCCAAATTCGAAATCGTCATCGTACACGTAGATATGTCATTATACGTAGATACTTTCTTCGTAGGTTTTGAATGAATATATTAACGATGAATGAGAATGTATCTACAATTTTGAACTAATATACTTCAACTCAAATTAAGCCTAATTTCCCAACTAGTTGCTGCAATCATAGAAAACTATATTATTTTTTTATTTTTGTGCATGTGTGTGCGTTTTTGGCTATATAGAAAACTAATTTAATATGTGGAAAATCTTGAATTAATTAAGCAACAGAAGTATCGTAGACTATAAAACTTACCTGCATTTCATGACGTTGCACCCATAAGATTTTTCAATATAGTATTTGCAACTTGGACACCTCATCCAGTTCATTTTTTTGGCAAGCTCCTCCACCATCTGACCTTGATCACCATCACTTAAACTGGGCACAATCAAACCCTGCATGCCAAGGAACCTTACAACTAGAGCACAACTCTCTCTTGCAATGAGAACACTCTGCTGCACACAAAGACAATTTGGTGCCATTCTCATAAACCAACAGGGCTGAGCAATCCTTGAAGGGATAGTACAAGTAGTTGTCAGTCTTAGACCCCATAACCACAGCTTCACATACGGCATTCCCCCACCAATAGAAAACGTTGTTCGGGAGAATTGGATGGCAGTGCTCGGGGTCTAACGTGCCCTTGCAGCCTGGCACAGGGCACATAATGGATGTGACATTGTCTTGGAGCTTGGACACTATGAATTTGACAATGCATTGGTCGCAATAAAAATGGGTGCAACCCTTCACCTTGAATGAGTCTTGCAGATGGTTTGGCTCAAAGCAAAAATCACATGTAAAAGTGTTTGGATTAATCTCGTCATGTTGGTTATGAGCCGATCTTGCCGAGTTCTTCTTTGACTGTTGAATTTTCTTTCCTTCATGATTCAATCACCGTGATTGATCTTGGGATGTTAATGCCAAAAATTAGGGCAAGAACATGTATGTTCTAGTTTGCTATTCTTCCTCTTGTTGCTTCGTGCGTACGTTACTCCTCCAGGCAGGTGAGTGGAAACTCTTAATTAGGTTAAATAAAGCTTAGTCCTGGTAGTTTGTGTTAGTGTTAAATTCAAGAATCCTTTCCTTGGTCAATAAGGATTTTAAACCTTTTTTAGTGGCATTTTTTTTACTCAACAAAAATTAAAATAACAGAAGAACAATATATTATTATTCTCCCAGATTTCCCAACTTGCTCAGAACAAAACATTTGCTTCCCTTTCTTTTATAAAAACCTTCCCACACCAATGCACACGACAAGCTACAGGTTCGACAAAATTGGCAAGGGGACAAAAAAAAGGAGAAAATCCAAATCAATAACCACAATTTAATAACTTAAAAATGGGGGTTCTAGCACGAAAAAGAAAAACAAGCAAGAGGATAATTAAAAAAATAAGTTTGGGTAGACTAGTATTATGGGCCTAGTTGTATTTGGGAATGTTTGTTATTGAGTTGCATTAGGTTTATTGTTGTAATTAGAGATAGGCTTGATGTTTTGAAGATGGTTTTGAGGGGCTTGAGAATGATAAAACCCTATATACCTATAAATTATTAGGCTAAAGTCCAGGGGAGCATAAACAAAGTTTCCCCTTGAAAATAGACTTGATTCACATCAGCAAAATTCTTGCCAACAAACTAAATCACCAAAATTGCAATTCCTTTCTCTCTACCTTGCCTTCAGAACTGACAAGTTGACTTTACTCTTCAAAACGTTTAATTTTGCATTGGAAAGACAAAACATTCACTAATTATTTTCAAATCATAAATATATAAACTTTCTTCACATATTTTCGTAATTTTTTTCCCATAACAATGCATTAATTGAATTTAAGACTCTGTTGGGGCACAAATTATTAAAGCAACAAACAAATCTTTTCAAATTGTCACATAAGTCAACAAACTTTAATTTAAAGAGTTTAATTTGCTACTACTATTGGAGATGCTCTACCTTAATTACATTAATTAAAGAAAAGAGAGAGCAATTTTAGTAAGCTATCTATCGAGTATATCGGTAGAAGGATCGTTACTATTCTCCTTTCAAGAATATACGTATTTCTTTCAAGAATAATATACATCTTTCTTTCAAGAATAATATACATGTATCTTTCAAGAATATACGTGTATCTTTCAAGAATATACATGTATCTTTCAAGAATATACGTGTATCTTTCAAGAATATACGTGTATCTTTCAAGAATAGACATGTTTCTTTCAAGAATGATAGACGTGTTTCTTTAAAGAATATACGTGTTTCTTTAAAGAATATACGTGTATCTTTCAAGAATATACGTGTTTCTTTCAAGAGTGATAGATACGTGTTTCTTCCAACGATATACGTATTCTGTCAAAAAAAGAATAGCTGGGTTTGTTGTATAAGAACTCACGTCCACACCTGCAACAACCCGAACTGGAAATTATCATCACTCATACTAATCAATTTGATGATGGCGAGCTTTGAAAAAAAAAAAAAAAAGCAAAGGTTTAGATTTTCATATCATTGAATAATTAAGATGACGTTTTAGATACTTTGATTCATAGTTTTATGAATGAGTGTATCAATGATGAATTTGAATGTATCTACAATTTTGTATCTACGTATATATTCATAATATCTTAAAACCAATTTCAAATTAAGTAACACTTGAACTCAAATTAGGCCTAATTTCCAAACTAGTAGCTACAATCAATCTACAGAATTAATTAAGCAGCAAGAGTACTACATAACCGACCTGCATTTCATGCGGTTGCACCCAGAAGATTTTTGAATATAGTATTTGCAACTTGGACACCTCGGCCACTTCAGTTTTCTGGCAAGCTCCTTGACCATATCACCATCACTTAGTTTCTGAAACTGGGCACAATCGAATTCAGTATGCCAAGGAACCTTACAACTAGGACACAACTCTCTCTTGCAATGAGGACACACTGCAGCACACAGAGCCCGTTTGGTGCCATTCTCATAAACCAACAACGCTGAGCAATCCTTGAAGGGACAGTACAAGTACTTGTCAGTCTTAGACCCCATAACCACAGCTTCACACAAGGCACTGCCCCACCGATCGAAAATTTGGTTCGGGAGAATCGGACGGCAGTGCTCCGGGTCTAACATGCCCTTGCAGCCTGGCAGGGCACATAATGGATGTCACATTGTCTTGGAGCTTGGACACTACGAATTTGACAATGCATTGGTCGCAATAAAAATGGCTGCAACCCTTCACCTTGAATGAGTCTTGCAGATGCTTTGACTCAACGCAGAAATCACATGTGAAAGTGCTTGGATTAATATCATCATGTTGGTCATTGATTAATAATATCGCCAATCCCACAACCTTCCTTTGGTATCGAATTTTCTTCCCTTCCATGATTCAATCTTAGTAATTGATTAATTTTTTGGGATGTCGATGCCAAGAATACGTATCTTCAAGGCAGACCGTGAGTGGGAACTCTTAATTATATGAGATAATATCCTAGTTGATTACTGTATCTATTTCCTTGTAAAGCCTCATGTACATTTATATATATACCTCCTTATAGATAAGAATAAAATTCAACCCAAAGTATTCAAACCTAATATCATATTTTAGCATGGTATGAGAGAAATACATTAATTATCTGGATAGGAGTAAATAATCCATGTCAGTTGTTTTGTGTCAACTTATATTATTTAATTAACTTACTAATACTATCCTTACCTGACTAACTAATACAACCCACACACCCTATTTTAGATAATACATGCTTAATTATAAGGCTATGAAAAAAAACACACGCGGATTTGGGCTTTTTTATATATTAATTTTTTTTTGTCAAAATCCCATATTCCAAATTTAACTTGGGGTTTGCATAAATGATGGGTGGGCTGGTGAGGAAGACAATGAAGGAAGCAAATTGAAGGAAGAGAGAATCGGGAGAGAGGTTTCTTGTTTTAGTATTAGGCAGTTGTTGGATGTATCTAATGGCTAAAATGATTTGGCAAAAACAAATGAAAAAATAATTGTCATATGAATATTACTAAAAGAATTCGTGTCATTTGAATTTCAATTTTCATTTAAATTATCGAAGATTTTAAAAAATATAGTATGGTCCGATGTTATCATAAGCACCAAACACAATATAACTTAGTTTGACTATTTATCTTGAACAACACCAAACGCTTTATAATATTTTGGATAAACAGCAGTACTCGCTGGAACAAATTAATATTATCCAACGTAAATTAATCAGTACAGTCAAACACATCAAATGAGCCCTAGGATTTTAAACTTAACCTTTTGGAGGGGCGTTTTTGTAATTAACAATAAATAAACAATCGCAAATCCCAAGCTCGCACAAAAATCAAAGCAGCCAACAATGTATTCTGGAAAATCTGAGTGTTGTTGCACTTAGGAATGGCAAAAAGGGAAAGAAAAGATACATCTTTTTTTGGTCAGATAAAAAAAAGATGGATCAAGCACTAGGTTAATGAAACTTGTGAGATCGAGTACATTTGGCTCCACACAAAACCATGGCCAGCAACAAAATGATTTTTCAAACCCGATCATCAGCAGAAAAAGGATCAATGCATTTGGTATCGTTTTAGCAGAACCAACATCAGATTGAGTAAATATTTAACTCAACTTAGCCATCTTGAGAAAAAAAAAATTTGGCAGCGGCAAAAGTTCATTTGACCTGCATTTCATCCCCAAGTTCTTTTTCTTGGCAGTTTCTGAAACTTGACACAATCAAACTTAGTATGCCAAGGAACCTTACACTTGACTTGGCACAAAACACCCTTTTGCAATGAGGACATAGAGACTGCTTGATATATCCTCTGCTCCATCATGAATCAACAAGGCCGAGCAATCCTCAAGAGCTTGTTTTGTGAGTTGGATTATGTAGTTGGATAGGATTTATGATCCTAGTCAAACGTTTAGTGGCCTAAAAACAACATGAATTGGATTATGTCTAATCCTACTAGAGCTAAGTTGAATTGGATTATGTCTGTAATCCTACTAAACCTTTAACTAAGCATTGGTGGCAGCAAAAATGGGCACAACCCTTATGTTGAATGAGTTTTCTAGATGGGTTGACTGCACACAAATATCACATACTTAAGTTGGGTTTGTGTTGTTTTCAGGATTTGAAGACTGCCCAATTTTATATGATCATTAAAGCATTCAGCTTTGTGAAATCATCGTCATTTTGGTTCTGTTTCTGTTTCAAGTTTGTTATGTGAATTGCGAAACTACTCCAAGACTCGTCACCCCTTCTTTTATATGTTTCTTTTTGCTCTGAATAATTGGATGGATCAAATGCTCATCAGCAAAGTTAGACACAACAGTCCGCACTGAGTTCACTCCAAACCCTACTTTATCAACAGATTTGGGTTGTGGAATGCCGTGTGTCACATTTTAGACTAATCTCTTCACATTTCTCCCTTTCAATTAAAGAAAGGTTTTGAATATTAAAAAAGATTAATAGAGTAAAACAGGCCACTCGGATGAGAAAATGAGTTAGAATTATCCTAGATTAAGGGTTTATAACACACAAAAAAAAAAAAAAAAAAAAAAAAAAAAAAGGAGAAGATTCAAATTGGAGCAAATGAATATCTCAATCCGAGTAAAATACTACATGCGTCAAAACAAATTCCAAAAGTAATCCCTATTAATATGGCACATCTTGTCCACCCTAAAACTTCATTTAATTTCCCGTATTATCCTTTTGTGTAATCCAAACACCTGCATCAACCTGTAGCGTTGCAGCAAGATCTTCTCATGAATAAAGGCTTATTTGTGACAGCTTGGACAATGTCTGGTATGAGAAGTTAGGGAAGCTCGAACTCCACAATTGTAACAGAAAGCATATCCACACCTGCAACATTTGCAATCAAATTTGTGAGTTTAGTATATTATCGTTCTTCTCAATAGGAAAGGTCCTCAAAAAACCAAAAAAATTTTATTATGAAAAATAATACAACAAACCAAAAAAGGAAGAAAAAAATATACGCCAAAAGATCAAGTGTTTATGTAAGTTGAAGGAGGCATCGAACAGCTGAAACCAATATCAGATTAAGTAACATTTAACTCAAATTAGCCCTTTTTAATTCCTAAGCTATTGGAGAATCAAAGAAAATAAACCAATCTGCAGAGAACCTAGAAGTAGCATAGCAGAGAAGTTCAACTGACCTGCATTTTATGTAGCTGCACCCATCGCGTCTTTCAACATAGTACTTGCAACTTGGACACCTCCTCCAGTTCTTATTCTTGGCAAGCTCTTCCAGCTGCTGATCTTCACCCATATCTCTCGGTTTCTGGAACAGGTCACAATCGAATTCGGTATGCCAAGGAACCTTACACTTGACACAAAACACTCCCTTGCAATGAGGACACTGAGCTTGTTTGGTATCATCTGGTTCCTCATCAATCAACAGCGTGGAGCATGCGTTGAAGGGACAGAATAAGTACTTCTGATGAGGCTCCATAACCACAGATTCACACAGGCCTTGCCCCAGCGGTGAAAGACGTCGTATGGGAGAATTGGACGGCAGTACTCAAGGTCTAACACCCCGGGGCATCCTTGATCCGGGCACGTAACAGATGTGACATTGTCTTGGAGCTTGGACACTATGAATCTAACAATGCACTCTTGACAGTAAAAATGGGCGCAACCCTTGATGTTGAATGAGCGTTCTAGATGAACTTGCTCATGGCAGAAGTGACATACAAAATTTGGATCAATATCACCAACTTGCTTCTTTTCTTTCATATGTTTACTATGTTTGGTCATGAGGGTACCGATTTTGTTGCCCAATTGTTTTCCTCCCAGAACTTGCTTGCCCAGGTTTTTTCCTCTGCAAATTATGTTCCCCATCTTCTTCTTCTTCTTCTTCTTCTTCTGCTTCTCTCTCTCTCTTCAGTGGTTCTAAACTTTTCACACTCTCATGAAACAACAGAACACGAAAGACTGATCTATGTGGGAAAGCTTTCACCAATAATCAAAGAGGATGCAAAAATAGTCACACTGGGAAAAGAAGAAAAAAAAACAAGAATAAAAAAGGCGTTTGAGAAGTGGAGACCTTAGAGTTATAGTGAGGTTTTAAGACTGATTATATCTATAGGGTTGGAAGATGAACTTCATCTTATCTTAATAGACATGAAGTTGAGAGTTCTTTCTCGGTAAGAAATAACACTTCCTTTTTTTTTCAATAAACAGAAATAGGACTTCCTTTTTTTTCTTTTTTTTTATAAACAGAAATAGGACTGACTTCGTCAATACGCATAGTAAGCAAAGTTAACCTTTTTGGAGAAACTCCAAATCAAAATATATATTTCCCATTAAGTTTCTTTTGGGCAACCACCTATTAAGTTTTTTTTGGGCAACCAATTATGCCTCTGATAAACATCGGACTTGTATAATATTGTGAAATATTGAAAAGGACTCTTGTGGGCCCATGACACGCTGAGTAATGGTGATGTTATTAAATTCATTCATATTACTAGCCCTTGGCACATGCTCACGCATGTGTCAATTGAGAATTAAGAAAAGATAAAATAGATAGTTATGTTCTGTAAAAGTATGACATATTATCTGATTTTGTTTTTATTTTTATTTTTATTTAATATAAAAATGTGAATTTATCATATTATCCTCATTTAATTAATAATTTTAATTCTTAATGTTTGAATTAACCAAGGGCATTTTCAGGTATTTTGAATGTTTCATCATTCTCTGCATTTTGCTTTATATATATAGATAACACGTGGGAAGTCTAATGGTGATTGAATACATGCACGAGACTGAGCCTACTACCAACAACGTAATATTTTGATCACCAGGCCAGAACTGGAATTTTGATCACCAGTCCAGAACTGAAAATTCCGTAAACATAATTTCACATGGCAGGGTGGGGAGGGGAGGGAGGTGGGGGGAAGGGGCTGTTGGGTCTACCTTTTAATTTTGTAAGTTTTTTCACTTCTTATTTTTATATTTATATAATATTTAAACTTTCTAATGTGTGTTGTATTTAATTTAGATTATAAATTTTTATTAGCTAAATTACTAAAATGCCCATACCACATCAGCAACTTAACAGTATTACTAAAGAAATTGACAAAATGTGATAAGGTGAGACACGAAATGCAAGTATAAGGGGGGGAATTGAGTCAGTGCACAGGGGTCATATCAATAAATAAGTCTTAAAATTATATTGGTTTCTTATATACAAGTGCAGTTCCAAGTGTGGCCATCTTCGTTCTCCTTTATGCAGATAAAAATATAAGCCAACACCTATTAACCTTTTAATGTACAATTACAAACCAAAGGTGAGGAATTAAGAAAATAATTCTGAACAGAAAGCTTCAGCAAGTTGTCATAAGAGATCCAACAAGATCTAGCACTGTAGACTGGAGTAGAGGTTTTCAAGTGCGGTATACAGGGGCTCAGCAGCCTTTGGTCTGTCCACTGTTCCGAGTAGTATATCCGAAGTCGTCAGGTAAGGGTCACCATAAAATTGTAGATTGGTATCCATCCTTGTGGCCACAATGTTCCCTTCCAGTGATACTCCTACAAATGCACCTGTCAAACATTGGAACATCGCTACATCAGGAGTCAGCTCTTTTCCCATGCTTTCCGCACACCGCAATTAACAGAACCTCAAAATGCATTAAACAGTTCTACCATGGATTCAAAAAGAGTTAAGGGCGGAGTCATGGAAGAATAATGGCCGACAAACTCGGGAATTTGACAAAAAAAATAGAGCATGGGGGCAGACTGCGTTGTGACAAAATTGGATGCTCTATTGCAAAGTGTGGCAAGTTTATATTCATGCCCCAGCATGCCCCACATGCCGAGTTCCAATATGTACAAAATGCTGATACACTAATACAAGCATTTTGAGTCTAAATGTTATCGCACCTTTACTACAACTGTAGGTATAGCACATTCCAGAACCTCTGTCTCCAGCACGCATATCTGCTTCCAGCACTCTACCAATAGGTCCTGCGGCAACGCTACAGCCAGCACCAAGAGAAAAATGCATGCGACTACAAAACGTTTTCACAGCTTTTAAGTCATGAAGTACAATTATGAAGTCCATGAGCTCACCCCCAACCTGGGAATAAAAAAAACAATGGCAATAAAAAGATTACCACCTTGGATAGAACTAAGTACAAAATTCTGGCCAATATTAAGAAATTCCCAACTTAATGAATAGGGAGAGACTAAATGAACCAATTTTATGACTTCAGTTAAAAAGAAATTGATATAGGCAGATGCATGTGAATTGTTTTTTTACTTTTAAATCTACAATTAATGCATATGGGTTCTTATCTTACTACTCTGTCCTTTCTTCAAACTGAAGCATATTCAAATAATTAATAGCAAGGCAATAAAAGAAAAATATATATAACATTTTAACAATGAAAAGATTGCATACCTGTGCACCCCATCCTAAGCCAACAGAAAATATGGATGATGGAGCAGACCATGATCCATCTGACCTTCGAGCAATTACCAAACCAGTACCAAGTTTGTATGAAAGAAGCACTCCAGCTTTAGCAACTGTTAAGATTGCCAGGCCTTTGGCTCCTCTGAGAACAGCTAAGGGTATGGACCTCTCAGGATTCAACCTAGCAACCTGTTCAATCCCAAGAAACATTCATTACACAAGATGTCATAAAACAGCTTAATAAATGGGCTGATTTAACCAGTTATATATTGATTTTACAACTCTTTAAAAGCCATTTTAAGCTAGTTTCCGAGTACATGAAATGAAAGAAGTATTCAATCAGTATTTGCAATGCACTCTATGAAACGATAAAGCAGGAAACTATTAATCCAGAATGGTGGGAAGACAAGTAACTTAAGGAAACTTCAATGAAATTCAAAATTGCACCTGAGAATAACTTCTCAATGTGTTGGATGCTTTGTATATTTCATGTTCCATGGAAAAACCAACAGGAAGATTTAACCATCCTCTTGTACATGTCCAATCCATGACATCATGCTTTGCTGCTTGTGAAGCATTGCTAATGTTGTTGATAAGAATACCCTGCAAAGGGTCTAGCCTATCATAGCAGGCATCACAGACCCTTTGTGGATTCCTCTCCCTAAACTTGACAGGCAACAAGCACCTTCCTTTACTACATGTTCGGCAGAAAACACCACCACAGAAGCGACAATGATGTCTCCCACGAGTAAGAGCAGTGAAAGGAAAAGTGCACTGCATGCAAACTGTAGTCGAACTATCAGGAAGCCACTCAGGGGGCTCAGCCTCCAAAACATCTTTGTACGCATTATAATCAAACGCAGTTGTTTCAAGAAGGGGTGGAGCACTGGGTGTGTAGACCGAGGAGTGCAAGTAGGTTTCACCATTCTTTTCTGAGCCCAGAAATGAAACATTCGAATTGGGTAGCTGCTTGTCTGATGGAGGACCCGGAGCTTTGTTCCGACCAGTCAGAATGGCAACCATCCCACTCAGCACATTCTTCAAGTTGACCTCGGGATTCATATTAGTCTGAGCTGAATCACAAGGCTCCTCGCTAGAATCATATCCGCTGCCATCAATAAAATCTTCGGATTCAAGGGGAAACTGGAATGCATAATCTTGTTTCAAGGGCTTGGAGGCTAATGGGGGGTAACTAACTTTAGCACCGTCTTCTGGCTCGGTCCATTCGGAGCCGATGAATTCATCATCATAGCGGAATTGGGTTTGGCGTTTGTCTATCTTAGGAAGGGACGAATACGAAACTCTCCCCTCAAAGCTCGCCATGCGATTTTTCCAAGCACTACACAAGTTTCCAGATTTGGCTGGTATTCGAAATCAGCATATGTTACAAAACTCAAACCCAAAGAAAGCGCAGGAAAGAATCAACTGTGCAATTTACAAAGCAAAAGCAAGGTGAATATTCAGAAACGAATTAAAGGAAACTAACAAGAACCTTATATGCAGCTGAACAATGAAAATAATTCGTAAAGTAATTATCTTTTCTCGAAAACATATATGAGGAATTGGAATTTGCTTCCCGTTTGTTCTAGGGTTATTTATTTCAGAATGAAAGAAATAACAGATAAATAAGAGAACAGAGCAATGGAAAACATACCTGTTTATCGAATCGAGCTGTTAATTGAATAAAATTGAGAAAATAATTGGTTCGCCTTGAGATTTTCTCTCACTGTATTTTAGGGTTTTACGATAGCCCAAAAACATTCAATTGTGCACGAAGAGCAAGAAGAAGAAGACGAAGATACACGACAGCCGGGTTCTTGAGATATACGAAAAGACTTTCGGTGTGGATCATATACCAACACTACGTCCCTCCTCCTCACACGTTAAAAATTATAAAAAAAATAAAAAATAAAAAAGCATAAAAAACGACATGTCGTTTTACGACAATACATCACGTGTTAAAATGTCGTTTTAGTTAGCTTGCTTCTTGCTACTTGTGGAGGTTTATTATTATTAATTAAAAAATTAATTCAGGACCATAAATGTACTTCTGTTGTAATGCAACTGCTAAATTTTCGATGTTATTTATAATTTTTACATTAGTTTTTATCAAACATCCAAACAAGGAAAAGGAAATGGTTTCTCATATTTCCCATTCACTTCAAAGCAGTTAAGGTACATCAAAATTTTCCCAATAAATATTACAATTTGTTAACCTAACTAACTAGCTTCAATTCAAACACGAAGCTTCTTGCCAGGCTGTACATCATCGTCGTAATGGCCGCCGCCACCCCCCTCTCCATCGATGTCCTTATCCATCTTCTTTCTGGCAAGTATCTTGTTGATCTTGTGCAGATCATTAGTGATCTTCTGGTCCTTGTTTTGCTTTCGTGTCTTTCGACCATCTTGCATCTTCACGCCAAACTGGAATGCTGCCTTTGGCATAGCTTCCTTCTGCTCATTGTATGTTGCCCATTCTTCTTCCGTCTCAAAGTCCCATCGGTGAAGACGACCCTTAGCCTGTTCAGAAATATTTTAACAAATACATAAGCATCGATTGTAATTTGTAACAATAACTATAATGTTGCGCCTATAACTGTTAGATGATCATTCATAGAAGCAAACAAAGAATTGCCACTAAAGTATTTTCTCCAATATGTTGAATGTCATACAAAACTAAGCTACAGAATGAAGCACACTTCCTAGGCAGTATGAACAAGATTATTGGTTTAATCAGAAACTTACTCGTCCACCCATATCCATTTTTGACAAGTCATCTTCATCGTCGCTGTCAACGATCTCCCGATTATACTCTTGATAGCCAGGGTAACATTCAGAATAACTCTCTGAGATGAAGTTGGGATCCTTTTCTCGGGCATCTTTCTCCCTCAATTGTTGAAGTCTTTGGTCATCACGCTTGAACACAGATCCTAAACCCCGATCCTTCTCTTCTTGAGTCATAAAGCGTGGATCCTGTATGTTTAGGCCTGCTTCCACATCATAACCCTCCATATTTGGCTGGAGGTACTGTTCAGGATAAGCCATTTGCTCAGCATATTGGTACTCCGCTGGCCACTCACCCTGGTAGGCCCCAGCCATTTGTGTTTGTGTTGCATCGTATCCATTCTAAATCCAAACAATGAACAGAGAATTACTCATCTATTAAAAAATGCAAGTCAAGTTTCTGTTTAGAAACACAGTTTGTAAACAATCTTCAAAATGAAGAAAGAAGAAAGAAGAGGATCAACATACTGTTTCTTGCCATTCCTGAGGCGCCCCATAGGGTTGGACGGGACCATAAACAGGTTCATCAAAATAAGAAACTTTTTCCTTGTTCCGGGGAGACTCTTCCATGTCCTCAGAGAGAGGGCTTTGACTCAAATCCTTACCAGGAATAGCATAGTCAACACCATCCCCAACAAAAATGTCATCCTCATCTGCTCTAGCCATAGTTGGGCCTTGTTGTGCTTTTGAATCTAAATGATTTTTCCTAGGGGGAGGACCAGGAGGTGGAGGTGGAGGCGGAGGCAAAATCTCTCTTTTAGTTTCATTCTTCGAAGTCCCAGCATCAGGCTTCGAGGGCTTATCCTCTTCAACATATTCATTACCAATAATTGAAATCTTTCCTATAACTAAAACAAGGACCAAGAAAAGAACTTGATTAAATAATCAACAAATAAACAACGATAAAAGGTAGATAGGATGAAGGATGAAAACAATTGATGAGAAATCTCAAAATGGGTTATGAAATATTATCTCTTCAACCCTCACAGTATACACCAAAATGCCAGCATCCCAGACAATATTAGGCAAGTTATACCAAACACACAAGAAGGAATTCTGATACAAATTAGTTTAGTTTGGTTTAGTTTATCTCTAAAAAAATTCAGTTGACCACATTTAGGCATAACATCTGTACAATTTTTATCGTAAACAATGTTTTCAAATACATGCTTTATATATCGCTTTGGTTTGACTTAAAAAGAGAACTACTCACAGTATATTACAGACAATTGTATCAAGAACCTAATGTTGCATATAGAACTGATGATTTCCAGTTACTTTTGACCAAAAGCAGGATAGGGAAATTACCTTTTGCATCTTTCTCCTTCTTTTTCTTCTTGAGAACCTTTCCAGAAGATCCAAGACGAAGATATGACATAATTTTAGCAATTCGATCAAGCACAGAACCATCAACACTGACAGTTACCATTTCCTGCACAATAAGTAGAAGCCAAAATCAGCATAACAGTCCAACACTAAAAGGACAAGCGCACCAAGGATCAAGAGAATTTTAACCTCTGGTTGCGGACAGTCGGCTTTGCTCCTATGCAAGGTGGTTGGGATATCATGAGTGTATCCACCCTCCTGATATGTGGAATAAGAGAAAATGATACAGAAGTTAGGAAAATGAGAGATCAAATTCATTGAGTATCCAAAAGTAAGCTCAGTACTCTTTAAGAAGTGTGTACAGAGCACTTCTACTCATAGTTGAACTACCATGCATGCTTCAGGTGGCAACCAAACACAAAGTGATCCCGAACAAGCCACCCAAGGTTTATCAGGGTTCACGCAAGCTTAAAACATGAGCCCAAAATTATCCCAAAAAGACTACTCTGCTCTAAAATACGCAGGCTTAAAATAAAAAGAGCAACCAAGACTCTTACCATGTTGAAAATAAATGACATCCTACCAGGAAGGAACATCTCATTGGTTTTTATAACAGCTTGTGGCTTGACTATGCATTGATACACCGACTGAAACACAGAAATTAGACATCAATGCAAACAGTTCAAGATTTAAGAACAAAACTACCTCATCATATCACCAAAAGTAACACACCTTTGCAGTTGCAGTTCGAAATGACAATTTTTGGTCTTCCTTAGATGCCCTGTCAGAGAACAGAAAACACATGTTAGCACACACACTATGACAAAGCTAAAGAAGTTTATTGACATTTGCCATACATCTCTAGAATAATAACTCATATTAACACTTGAAATGGCCAGTATCAACACAGACTCTAATCCTTCTACATCATGTTTGCCAAATTTAATTACTGAAATCGTAAATATAAATGGGAATATATGGCATAGCCTGACAATTAGGACAAGTAACCATATACAATTACCTAGATTTTGCATCAGCCTCATCTTCAGCATCTGGCTTTTTGTCAATCTCGCTTCTTATTTTGTTAAGTAAAGCGTAATCCAATCCTTTGACCAAATGCGTGTGTTCCACATCACCTGAACAGAATTAATCCCGTTCAGCATAAAGATAAGAATAATGCCTTTCCGCATTTACACAAAATGGCTAGCCAATAAAACTATTGACTATCTGTTTTCATGAATTCTTACACATAACAACAAATGCAAGGTTACTTCTATCGCAATTTGTTTGAATAACACATTGGGATTTTTTTTTTTCTATTTTAATTAGTAACACGTACCTCCAAGATACTTGCTCTTCTCAATGGATAACTTCTGTGCTTCAGCTGCCCTGCAAATACCATTGCAAATATGATTATGCTAATAAACAGCAGAGCCATTGTCAAGTTGAACATGAAAGTTTAGATAATAACCGGAGATCAACATTTCCAGGAGGCGCAACGGCATGAAAAGAACCCAATTCAGTCTGCTCATAATCAGGATTTTGATCTTCTCTTCGCTCCTTTGCTCTGTCTCTGTATTTTGGCAACTCCGGCTGTTCTGCTTTCTCCTCTCTGCATGCAGCACCACATAAACATAACATCAAACACATAATCTACATTCAAAAATTCGTTTTTCAATGTCTGCAAAGCTAACTTAATCCCAGATTTTAGCAAAACAGGTTCATTACCCACACAGAAAAGGGTACAAAATTAATAAAATAATAATAAAAATTTAAGCTTTAGAAAAAATTAACATGGTGCTGATGCCCATATCGACTACGCTGCATGTTAAACGTTGAATTAGAAGCTGTGTGTTGTACAGTGAACGAAACAAATTGAACTTTAACTCACTTGCGGCGAATAACTTTCTCCTTGTGATGTTTCTTTGACGACGTCATTGATACAACTGAATTAAAATCAGGGTTGAGGGAGCTTCTTCAAATGGCAACAGTTAGGGTTTGCAGCAGTGGCGAATTGGCGAAACGAGGTCGCTGGAACAAGATGCAGGCAGGAGGATTTCGTTGCGCGCTAAATTACGGATATAGCCTTCTGTATATAGGCATGCTTGAAAGTTGAAACGCACCGTTCTTCAATTTTGGCTTCTTTCTCTCTCTTTTTTCTTTTTCTAATTCGTGAGAATTAAGTTGACAACTCAATCAAAAACGACATCGTTTCGGGTCACCTCACTAGCTCCTTTGGTCCGCATCCTTCGGCGGACATTTTTTTTTCTTTTGGTCAAACCTCATTGGACTATGCACTTCTCTTGTAAGCTTGTCCTTGATCAACAAGGAAGAGAACTTAATTCGTTTGAATCCTTAAACATGCTTGTGCACCGCAAATTAAAAGGATTTGGGTATGGAAATAATAAAAATTATAAATAGTTTACGTGTACATATTACATTCGTTGTCAATTATTTTATATATTCTTAAATTGTTAATTAACATAGTAACTGTCACATAATATAATTAGTTATAATGGTAAAAAAATATGACCATTCTAGCATTATTCGTGCTCGTGAATTTCAATGTGGCTCGACAACCTATGCAATTGATCATGGTCCTCCCCGTAACCCTTACTTTATATATGGTAGTATATAGAATAATGTCCAGTCAATTGTGAATTATTGGTGCTAAACTAATAGACAAATTTAGGCTGATAATTACAAGGTAGCTTTTGGTTATTAAAAACTCTTGAAAGCTTGGCCTTTACTAGCCAAGAGTATCTAAAACTCTTGATATATTCTTACCCATAAGGATTTCTAGGTACCTAGAGGACAGAAGTCAGTAATATTCAACTTGTCAAATGGCAAACCTGCAGAATTCTCTCTTGGATCACTCAATCCTCATCTGTGTGAGCACTCTGCTGTTGTCAATTGTGTTTGGATCATGCGCTAGTGATCACACATTGAGCAGCAGGACTGTTGCCTTATTCACTTTTGGTGACTCAACTGTAGATCCTGGGAACAACAATTACATCAACACCATTCCTGAGAACCAAGCACATTACAAGCCGTATGGGCAGAACGGCTTCTTCGAACACCCCACGGGACGCTTTTCTGACGGTCGTATCATCGTAGATTACATAGGTAAGTATTTATATAAATATATTTGCATAATCAAAATAAAAAAGTATAGAAAGATGTGGTATAATGTTTTGTATGCTAATGATGCAGCGGACTACGCAAAGCTGCCACTGATCCCTCCATTTTTACAACCTTCTGCTGATTACACAAATGGTGTTAACTTTGCATCTGCTGGGGCTGGCGTCCTTCCTGAAACCAATCAAGGATTGGTATGGCAAATTTTAGTCTTTATATGGCTATGAATCACTAGAGATCTTCTTATTTTGTGTACATAATAATTTGAATCGAATTGTTCAATTTTAGGTGATTGATCTTCAGACACAATTGAAAAACTTTGAAGAGGTGCAGAAATCACTAACAGAAAAGTTTGGAGAAGTGAAAGCAAAGGAAGTGATATCAGAAGCAGTTTATTTCATTAGTATTGGGAGCAATGATTACATGGGTGGTTATTTGGCCAACCCAAAAATGCAAGAACAATATGACCCTGAACAATATGTGGGGATGGTCATTGGAAACTTGACGCAGGCAATCCAAGTAAGCCTTATCAAACCTGCTTTTCATTGCAGAGGGTCTTCAAAACAAGGCCTGTTGACTTTTGAGTTGACCCTTTTTTTTTCTTTTTCTTTTTTGCAGGTGTTGTATGGGAAAGGGGGTAGAAAATTTGCTTTCCTAAGGTTGTGTCCACTTGGTTGCTTGCCTGCCTTTAGAGCTCTGAACCACAAAGCCAGTGGAGGGGGTTGCTTTGAAGCAGCTTCTGCCCTTGCTCTAGCACATAACAATGCTTTAAAAACTGTGCTCACAAGCCTTGAATATATGCTCAAACAGTTCAAGTACAGCACCTCCAATTTTTATGATTGGCTCCAGGACAGAATAGATAATCCCTACAAACATGGTAACTATGCTTTATGTTATTTTTATTTTCTTCCCAAACTTACAATATAGCACCATTAAAATATAAGAAAAGCAGTGATCCCCTGTGACCAGGCAAAGCACAACATAGAAAGGGCTTAGATAGATTAAATTACTAAAATCAAGGATTGAAATATCGGCCGATACACCGATATATCTGCCGATATATCGGTATTTTCAACTATCGACATCGATACTGGGGGGTAAAGTCATATCTTCCCCTGTATCGACGATATATCCTCGATAAGTGCGATATTCCCGATATTTTGCCGATATCCCCGATATTTTCCTATACCCATAACATAACCCAAAAAAAATTCAGAAGTTTTGAAGGCAATTGAAGCAAATTGAAACCCAAAAATAGTAAATCCTTGCCCAAAACCCTATAATTTATTAATATGAAGAATCTATGCATAGTCCACCGCCCACATACCTCCAATCCATCTGAAGAGGACATAGCAATCAGTTTTGGATCTATGAACATAGGAACTAGACCTAGTACTAACTCAAATGAATCTTAAGATGTCTATGTTTATGTCATGTATAATTATAGTGGAACTAGTTATGGAGCTCAAGATGATAAAAAAAAATTATGGACCTACTAGTTGGTTAATCCTAACTATCCCATATATGGGAAGACAATAGGGAGCTCAAGAGAGACCTATGTGCACCATGTTCAAACATGACTTACAAACTGCTTGGGTTACATGACTTGGTATGACTATTGTATGAATCTAGATGGTTGTTCCTCATTATTTAAACTTCATAGGAGCTCTTTATTTATGTAGATGGACACTTATCTAAATTGCAATCCAATGTTTAAACAAACTATGGATTTATGCATGGTTTATTCATTCTAATTAACATTTTATTTTCAAACTTTTCATTAACGCGCATTACATACAACTTATATTTCATCATATGTATATCTTATTATTAGTAAATTTTGAGTTTTATTTGTTTAATACATTCTTTGATACTGTACATAACATCTATGAATGTTTTACACCAAAATTATGTGTTTCAATGCCTATATCTGTCATTTTTGTTGATTTTTTCCCGATACCTAAAACGATAACGATATATCCCCCGAAATATCCGTAAATTGGAGGCCCGATATTATCTGCACGGCCGATATTTTAATCCTTGACTAAAATGATCTTTGGTGGGGATTTTAATCAATGGTTTCAGGTTCGAAACATCGTAACACGTTGATAGTGTGTGTGTGAGAAAATCCCCCTCCCCTTTCCGAATTTTGGCAAAATAATCATTCCACTCATGGAAAATGGTCATTTTAATCTAACATTTACTGTGTAGGTTACAAGGATGGAGTGAATGCTTGCTGTGGGACTGGACCCTATGGGGGCATCTTCACCTGCGGAGGCACAAAGGACGTTAAAGATTACCAATTATGTGAAAATGCTGATGATTATGTATGGTGGGATTCTTTTCACCCCACTGAGAGGATCCATGAGCAGCTTGCAGAGGCCCTCTGGAATGGGGCCCCTTCCTCTGTAGGGCCATACAACCTAGAAGAGCTCTTCTCAGTTGATGAGGAGAAGCTCACTATTGGCTATATGGTTGATGACCCAGAAGCACAAGATCACTTTTCACTTCTAAAATAGTAGCAGGACAGGACCAGGGTAGCTTACCCTGCAGCCTGCCCTTCAGTGAAGGGCTAGAAGTTCAGTTGATATATGCAATTTGTATGTGATGATGTGTGTTGTCCTTGTGATAGTTAACTTCTTAGCAAAGCCAGTCTCCTACGTTTGGGATTCGGCCTCCATAAACCTATTTGCGAATAATATTAAGTAAAAATAACAACAAACATAAATATGTCTTGAGTGATATGTTGAAGCCAGGTTCCCTAAAATCTTCGAGGCCCCCAACCCTCCCTCCAAAAACCGAAGTGAGAACTAACGATCAAGAAAGAAAAACATATTTTCTTATTAGGATCGTACAATGTTCGAAAAATCGTTTTTTTTTGGAGACATATTGGTGTTATAGCAGAAAGCGCGCTTGGGCAAGAAGAAAAAACGCGTTTGGATACGAAATTGGCCGCGACCGCTGACTAGTAAGTTTGTTTGACCAGTTCTTTGGTTGGCCTTCTGCTCTGTTTGGGCCTTGGGGCATAAACATTGTATTCGTTTAAAAATATGAAATTTTACCCAAACCCAAACAAGGTGCTGAGTCTGCTGAGAAGAGCTCGCAGCGCAGTTGGGGTAGCAGCAGCAGCCTCGTTTTCGTCATTGCCTTCGTCTTCGTCATTCCCTTCGTCTTCGGCCTACACGTCAGCGCCCAAACTAGCGTCAGCCATGGGCGACCTTCAAACCCTAAAGACCAAGCTCTGCATCATCGGCAGCGACCCGGCGGCGCACACGGCGGCCATTTACGCCGCTGGAGCGGAGCTGAAGCCGATCCTATTCGAGGGCTGGATGGCCAACGACATCGCCCCCGGAGGTCAGCTCACCACCACCACCGACGTCGAGAACTTCCCGGGCTTCCCCGAAGGAATTATGGGCGGCGAGCTCATGGACCGCTGCCGGAACCAGTCTCTCCGTTTCGGCACTGAGATCTTCACCGAAACGGTCAACAAAGTCGACTTCTCCAGCACCCCCTTCAAGGTCTTCACCGATTCAAAGACCGTGCTCGCCAAGATTCATTAGAAATAAAAACCTACACAAAATAAAACATCCTTCCTTATATCATCATTTTTGGTAGATCGCATGTCCTTGTTGTCAGTGCTAGTGGGAGGAGTGTCGGGCTTAGCGGGGGAGTTATCTGTGTGGTCACTGCCACGAGTATCAGAAGGGTCATGCCATATTCTGGAAGCACCCTTGGAAATCCATATCATCAGCAAAACATTAAACAGGATCCCGCAAAATCTTCCACAAGCCGTCAACCTTTCTAAGCACCAAGTTTTAGCCATATTTAAACCTTTAGAGGCAGGCTTGACCAAATAGGCGGGTGGAACAGGTAAGTTGATACGCTCTTCTAACGGTGTAGAGACATATTTCACCAAATAGTCCACCACATTCCAGTCACCAGCTGATTTTGGTTTTTCCTAGTTATATACGACTTCCATTGGAACCTAGGTTTTCTAACTTTTTTACCGTGTCCTTTTTTCTATTCCAGATAGCAAAAGGAGAAGGCTAAAACTTGCGCTATATACATCAGCAGTACCAAATCTTGTTATTATTTCTTATCTCAAAGAATCAGTCGCTGAAATCGAGATGAAGGGAATCCTGGGTATTTTCTGCTTTCAAAGAAAATATTTTGATACAACAACATGTGGAAGAAAGTTTTTTATCGGACCCATCGACCTTCTATCAAATTTGATTCCACATCGTTCAATCAATTCGACAAAAGGTTAAGTCTTGTTGCTTTGTTAACTATACGACATCAAATGTGATATTTGCTTGTGTTTTCTATTTGGGTCAATAATACAATTTTGTGTTAATAATATTGTTTCTATCATGACGAGCTTTGAATACAATTTATATCTAATCTCGGCTTTTGAATTGTATCTAATAGACTACCAACATATTTAATGAATGCAATTTAACGACTTATGAATTCAATACTTAGTATTCAAACTTACTAAAATTATTTGTTTCATTAGCTAGATTGGAGGAGCCGAATGCTAAGAGAAACGAGAAGTCAACCTTGATAGAATTACCCAAGGAGATCATCTTCGACATCCTTATGAGACTGCCGACAAAAGCACTTTTTGACATCCGTGGCTTATCAAAGACCTCTTTAAACATAGTTGATGACCCATTTTTTGCCACGCTGCACACTCAACGTTTACTTAATTCTGCTACTGCTCCCGTTGAAGTAGCTCAACTTGTGCTTTTTGTTCAGATTTGGTCCTTTGAGGATGAGAAGTGCTTAACAGCCTTGCAATCATTGAAGTACAATATTGACAAGCACCGCTTGAACAAAAATGAAGACACTAGTATGAAGATCTTTTCCAATGAAGATTATTATGAAGTAGATTTTGTTTTTGGCAACGTGTTTGGTTTTATAAACAATTTGGGGAGACTTGGATATCCATGCTTACTGGTCAATCCTTTGAGAGGAGAAGTTCTAGAAGTCCCAATGAATGACCTCGTTCCAACCGACCACACAAACTGGGATGATATAAAGTGGTATGGCATGGGATTTGACAGTATAACTAGCACACATAAGATTGTTTGCATTGCTCAAAGTGCATCATTCGGATACGTGTTGGAAAAATACCATGCACAAAGGCTTTTTTCCATTGAAATTGCTAACCCCATATGCAGTCTCAGTTAAAAATTCTTCTCTAACACATGTGACACACCCACCATGCATGTTCTCTCTCTGCCCAACCCACAATTTAATCAAAGATTACAACAACAGTCAGCTACTACTACTACTACCACACATACTGAACAAGATGCCATCAAACTAGAAACTAGGAGACTCTTGCTCCATACAAGTGGCTTCATCTGCCAAACACAACCACAAAGATATAAAAACCAACCTTTCCTACGCTCGCTCATTCTCTCTCTGTTTCCTGCCCCCACCACACTTCATAATTGCAGGTACATCTTGGAAAAATACCATGCAAAAAGGCTTTTTTCCATTGAAATTGCTAACCCCATATGCAGTCTCAGTTAAAAATTCTTCTCTAACACATGTGACACACCCACCATGCATGTTCTCTCTCTGCCCAACCCACAATTTAATCAAAGATTACAACAACAGTCAGCTACTACTACTACTACCACACATACTGAACAAGATGCCATCAAACCAGAAACTGGGAGCCTCTTGCTCCATACAAGTGGCTTCATCTGCCAAACACAACCACAAAGATATAAAAACCAACCTTTCCTATGCTCGCTCATTCTCTCTCTGTTTCCCTCCCCCACCACACTTCATAATTGCAGGTACATCTTGGAAAAATACCATGCACAAAGGCTTTTTTCCATTGAAATTGCTAACCCCATATGCAGTCTCAGTTAAAAATTCTTCTCTAACACATGTGACTCACCCACCATGCATGTTCTTTCTCTGCCCAACCCACAATTTAATCAAAGATTACAACAACAGTCAGCTACTACTACTACTACCACACATACTGAACAAGATGCCATCAAACCAGAAACTGGGAGCCTCTTGCTCCATACAAGTGGCTTCATCTGCCAAGCACAACCACAAAGATATAAAAACCAACCTTTCCTATGCTCGCTCATTCTCTCTCTGTTTCCCTCCCCCACCACACTTCATAATTGCAGGTACATCTTGGAAAAATACCATGCACAAAGGCTTTTTTCCATTGAAATTGCTAACCCCATATGCAGTCTCAGTTAAAAATTCTTCTCTAACACATGTGACTCACCCACCATGCATGTTCTCTCTCTGCCCAACCCACAATTTAATCAAAGATTACAACAACAGTCAGCTACTACTACTACTACCACACATACTGAACAAGATGCCATCAAACCAGAAACTGGGAGCCTCTTGCTCCATACAAGTGGCTTCATCTGCCAAACACAACCACAAAGATATAAAAACCAACCTTTCCTATGCTCGCTCATTCTCTCTCTGTTTTCCTCCCCCACCACACTTCATAATTGCAGGTACATCTTGGAAAAATACCATGCACAAAGGCTTTTTTCCATTGAAATTGCTAACCCCATATGCAGTCTCAGTTAAAAATTCTTCTCTAACACATGTGACACACCCACCATGCATGTTCTCTCTCTGCCCAACCCACAACCCCCAAAAGTTTACTTTTGTACCAAAATATACCAATACCAAAATATATACATATATAGCAAAATATACCAAATCCAAAATATATGCATTAATAAGCTCCTTTGAACTTTTAAGGACACAAAGACTCTTTACATGGTATATGCATTAATAAGCTGGTTTGAACTTTGAAGGACACAAAGTGTTCCACAAAAAAGGACACAAAGACTCTTTACATGGTATATGCATTAATAAGTTGGTTTGAACTTTGAAGGACACAAGGTGTTCCACAAAAAATGAAATTGTCTGATCGAAAATTATGAAATCATTTGAAAAGGCAGAAGATGTGCTTTGTTGACTGGCAGTTTCATGTTCCAAGATGCACTATTGACAAATGTCATCCCTTTAGCTTGTATCCTGCATTGTCACATGAAAATGTGGGTTATGCAGCTGCTTGTTATTTTTTATATTGAAAAGATAAATAGCTTAAATACAAATCCAATGAAAAACAGATAAAGGATAATAAAAGCTCCCCCAACTAACCTGAACCGTGAACTCATTTCATCAGATATCAAGAGAACTCTCGAGGAGCATCTTCAATCCTTTGCCTGCAACTTGTACACCTAAAAAATCCACAAAAGTTCATTTATTGCCAAGATTCATTAGAAATAAAAACCTACACAAAATAAAACATCCTTACTTATATCATCATTTTTGGTAGATCGCATGTCCTTGTTGTCAGTGCTAGTGGGAGGAGTGTCGGGCTTAGCGGGGGAGTTATCTGTGTGGTCACTGCCACGAGTATCAGAAGGGCCAGGCCATATTCTGGAAGCACCCTTGGAAATCCATATCATCAGCAAAACATTAAACAGGATCCCGCAAAATCTTCCACAAGCCGTCAACCTTTCTAAGCACCAAGTTTTAGCCATATTTAAACCTTTAGAGGCAGGCTTGACCAAATAGGCGGGTGGAACAGGTAAGTTGATACGCTCTTCTAACGGTGTAGAGACGTATTTCACCAAATAGTCCACCACATTCCAGTCACCAGTTGATTTTGGCTCCTTTAATTCTTGGATGAGTTTGACCTCATTCTCTTTCAGTTGACGCACGAGTAAAGTCCTAAAACGTTTCCACAGTTCCCTCTTAAATGTAGTTGTACAACTTTTAATTCCTCTGACGTTCTCCATTTCATGCCCAGACAGTCTGATATGTTGTTCCTCTAATTTGAGGGACTCCTGAGAATTGTAATGTCTTTTGATGACGTTGTACAAACAGTTCAATTCTGCTATTGATGAGGCCATAGCAACTCTCTGGCTAATTTTGGAACCTACCTTAGGTAAGAAAATGAAAAATTACTAGGAATGATGGAAAAATCTAATGATTCTTGAAAGAACTCTGGGTTTCTCAAGGACCCACATCAATAGGGTTCTTTCAAGAATCATTAGGGATTTGGGGTTTTGAAGCTGGAAATGGAAATCTGGAACAAAACCTAAGAAATGGAAAAATGAAAAATGACTAGAATGATGGAAAAATCTAATGATTCTTGAAAGAACTCTGGGTTTCTCAAGAACCCACATCAATGGAGTTCTTTCAAGAATCATGAATCAAACCTAGGGATTTGGGGTTTTGAAGCTGGAGATGGAAATCTGGAATAAAACTTGGTAAGGATTCTTGAAAGAACTCTGGGTTTCTCTAGAACCCATATCAATGGGGTTCTTTCAAGAATCATTAGTCAAACCAAGGGATTTGGGGTTTTGAAGTTGGAGATGGAAATCTAGAACAAAACTTAGCAATGATTCTTGAAAGAACTCTGGGTTTCTCTAGAACCCATATCCATGGGGTTCTTTCAAGAATCATTAGTCAAGCCTATATAGCCTATCAAGATTCGATGAAAATTTGGAATTGGAAAAACATAATTTCAATTTTAATAAGGATTTTAGGTCTGTGAAGCCGAAAAACAGGTAAGGAAATGAAAATTCGGAGATTGAGAACGGAAATAGCTATAAAAAATGAGGGTTTACCTCAAAGAACATATCAGTGTGTTACTGCGAAGAAGACGACTGCAAATGGAGTAGCGGAGAAAGAGCGGGAAAGAATAGGGAATTGTGTTTAAGATTTTTAGATAATATTAATAAGCCGAATGTATAGTGTATATATGCGCCGAGACTGTTTAGGGGGCACTTTGTTATGATAAATAAAATGACAAACGACTATAAGGCAAACAAACCGACTGAGCTCACTTGGTATGACGCTTGGGTTTAATTCCTCTATTGTTCTAGTTCGATTCCCGCAGATAGTTTTTGTTGTTTTCTTTCCATATTCTTGTTGTGTTGGCATGTTCATGTTTAGCTAATGATGATGTAATTGTTGATGTTGACAATCTTTGATTGGATGGGTAAGAACTACAATATTTAGAATTATATAATGTATTTCTATGTTCTAGATGGTAATCTTCAACGTGTGCTCTCTGCAACATTGCCCAAGATTTGTGGTAGAAACAGTGGTCACTGATGACACTATTATTAGAATGGCTAAACCATATCATTGAAAAAAACTTGGAAAAGCATATGATGAGGAACAAATCCAACAGGGATGTGCCAAATTTTCCAAAAGCCTTCAATCAATCTAAGAACCAGGTTTTGGAAACCAATAAACTAAATTGGGAGGTAGACTTGACCATGTATGTTGCTGGAAGATGAATGTTGATACATTGTTTTGATGGTATTATGACATACTTCACCAAGTAGACAATACCATTTCAGTCACCTGCCCAATAAGTATGACTTCATAATCCAACATATGCCTCCTCAAGTAAAATAGTAAAACAACCCTAGTGTTGCCTCTAACACACATAGATAGAATTATGAATTTGTTGTTTTCTTACCTTATTCTTGTTGTGTTGGCATGTTCATGTTCAGTTAATAATGATGTAATTGTTGACATTGACAATCTTTGATTGGATGGAAAAGAACTACAATATTTAAAGTTATAGAACGTTTTTATATGTCCTAGATGGTAATCTTCAACGTGTGCTCTATGTGATATGCCCAAGATTTGTGGTAGAAACAGTGGTCACTGGTAACACCATTATTAGAATGGTTAGATCATATCATTGAAAAAAAACTTGGAAAAGCACATAATGAGGAACAAATCCAATGGGGATGTGCCAAATTTTCCAGAGCCATCAATCAATCTAAGAACCAGGTTTTTCAAACCAATCAACTAAATTGGGAGGCTGACTTGACCAGCTATGTTGCTGGAACATAAATGTTGATCCATTTTAGTCACCTGCCCAATGAGTCTGACTTCATAATCCAACATGTGCCTATTAAGTAAAGTAGTAAAATAACCCTAGCGTTGCCTCCAAAACGCATACATAGAATTATGAATTTGTTGTTTTCTTACCCTATTTTTGTTGTGTTGTCATGTTCATGTTCAACTAATGATGATGTAATTATTGACGTTGACGATCTTTGATAGGATGGGAAAAAAATTATAATATTTAGAGTTATATAATGTATATCTATGTCCTAGATGGTAATCTTCAACGTGTGCTCTATGCGACATGCCTAAGATTTGTGGTAGAAATAATGGTCGCTAGTGACACCATTATTAGAATTGCCAGGCTATATCATTGAAAAAAACTTGGAAAAGTAGATGATGAGGAACAAATCCAACAAGGATTTGCCAAATTTTCCATAAGCCTTCAATCAATCTAAGAACCAGGTTTTGGAAACCAATAAACTAAATTAGGAGGCAGACTTGACCAGGTATGTTGTTGGAAGATGAATGTTGATCCATTGTTCTGATGGTGTTGAGACATACTTCACCAAGTAGACAATACCATTTCAGTCACCTACCCAATGAGTCTGACTTCATAATCCAACATGTGCCTCTCAAGTAAAATAGTAAAATAACCCTAATGTTGCCTCCAAAACGCATACATAAAATTATGAATTTGTTGTTTTCTTACCTTATTCTTGTTGTGTTGGCATGTGCATGTTCAACTAATGATGATGTAATTATTGACGTTGACAATCTTTGATTGGATGGAAAAGAACTATAATATTTAGAGTTATAGAATGTATTTTTATGTCTTAGATGGTAATCTTAATGTGTGCTCTATGTGACATGCCCAAGATTTGTGGTAGAAACAGTGGTCACTGGTGACACCATTATTAGAATGGTCAAACCATATCATTGAAAAAAACTTGGAAAAACAGATAATGAGGAACAAATCTAACAGGGATCTGTCAAATTTTCTAAGAACCTTCAATCGATCTGAGAACCAAGTTTTGAAAACCAATAAACCAAAATGGGAGGCTGACTTGACCAAATATATTGTTGGAACATGAATGTTGATCCATTGTTCTGATGGTGTTGAGACATACGTCACCAAGTAGACAATACTATTTCAATCACCTGCCCAATGAGTCTGACTTCATAATCCAACATGTGCCTCTCAAGTAAAGTAGTAAAACAACCCTAGTGTTGCCTCTAAAACACATAGATAGAATTATGAATTTGTTGTTTTCTTACCTTATTCTTGTTGTGTTGGCATGTTCATGTTCAGCTAATAATGATGTAATTGTTGACATTGACAATCTTTGATTGGATGGGAAAGAACTACAATATTTAGAGTTATAGAATGTATTTCTATGTCCTAGATGGTAATCTTCAACGTGTGCTCTATGCAACATGCCCACGATATGTGGTAGAAACCAAAGCAAGTGCGGAAGAACATAATAACAAAGTAATTATCTGACTTAATCCAAACCACCATTTGCCACCTTTATTCTTCTTGTTATCATTGTTTAGACCAAATTTCATCTTGTGGATATTTTTAATTTCCTCCAATATTTTACTCTATAAAAACATAATAACATAGAACATAATCTATTTTTTAAAGATGTTTAGATTCTTTAGTCAATAGACAGTTTGGAACAAGACAAGATACCACGCTTTTCATTTCACTTTAAATAAAATTCATGCTAATTTTTCATTGTTAGAAAGAAAAAAAAATTGAATTGACACAAAACATTCATGTCCAATGTTGTAAAATGATTGTGAATGTTAGGTATGATGTATTTCATATCAAATGTGTTTGAGAACGTAACACAAGTTTTGGATCTGCCACATCAAATGCTGAGAATTAACTTCATCCCAACTGCATTTTTAGACTTATGGGCTTGAGATGAAAAGGAAAGAGATAACTCAGGACTTTAATAACTTCAATCCCCTCGCCAATATTAACTGACCTCACTAAGAACATCTTCAATCCCCTTGTTGCAATTTATGCACCTAAATAATGTACATAAGTTCAATTATTGTCAATAATAATTGCTGCAAAGAAAAGAAAAACCCTTTAAAAAAAATGATAAATTGAATTTTGGTTTTGAAGCAGAGTATGTGAAGCTCCTTATACTGACGTCTCCTGGCAAGGACGTAGCATTTCCATATACAGGTTTTTAGGCTTATATACTACATAATATATCACTCAACACTCAGAAATTTAAATATGTGACACAGATGACCAACTAGAACATCTGAAAGTTTTGGTTTGTTTTGAGATCACATTCAATGCATTCATTCCTATGTTTTCTTGTTACCCCAAATGATGAAAATTTGGAGCTGCAAGATGATCGGAAAGTAGCCCATGAGACATCACTACCACTTTTCGACTTGTAAAAAGGAGTAACATACCAAGATGATTGGAAGTATTTCTTGTAAATTAGCCATTTTGACTAACCTTTATTTTCCCCTTATAGAACACAACAAAATAACCACAATCATGATTTAATCCCATCACTCACTGTCACTGCTTAACTATACAATCAACACATTAATACCAAATGAAGAAGAAGAGGAGGGGGACTTAGATATAATAAGAATAACAAATAAAGGATAACAAAAGCTCCCCTAACTCTATTATCAAATGCCAAGTTCTAAAGATTATTATATGTATGTCAACATCAACACAATAGAAGAAACCAATATCTCTATTTTGACCAAAAAAACCAATATCTCCATCAACAGGTCTAAGAAATATAGCTCCATTAGTGGTTTGAAGGACCCAAGTGTTCGACAATGACTCTCTTTCGCTAAGCAAAAAAGCCTAATCGGTGTGATGTAACTTGTATTGTATCAAGCACGTTCTCATGCCGAATCTCTTAGTGTTTCCAGGCAATACATATCCAAAGTTACAAAACTCACCTCAAGAATTCAACAAATATATGCAAGAATTCAAAATCCAAAATGAAATCATTTTCTGACAAAAAAGAAATATGAAATCATTTGAAAAGACAGAGGATGGATGTGCTTGATTGATTGGCTCAAGTAGTAGTTCTTTAGTTTGTATTCTTTACACTTCATCCTGCATTGTCATATGCAGATCATCAATACATCAGCAGGTGCAGTCAAAGCAAATACAAAGCAATGGGATCAATGCACAAAATCACAAGCTCAGCAGTATTCTAGAAGATTAGGAAACAGCTAGTCATATATCCATCATACACATGTCATCATGTCCATATTCTTTGTAACTAATTCCATTCCAAATGATTCATTTTTCATTTGTCTATAAACAATACTGTTTTCACGAGAGTGAGAAATATAATAGAAATATTCAACCATTTCTAGTCTTTCTTTTTCTCCATTCTTAATTCTTCACAGTATATGTGGCTGTTGGTGAATTTTTATATTGGAAAGATGTCACACCTAAATAGCTTAAAAAAAATAAAAAAACATTGAAGTGACACAAAACATTCATGTCCAATGTTGTAAAATGATTGTGAATGTTAGGTAGGATGTATTTCATATCAAATGCGTTTGAGAACGTAACACAATTTTTGGACCTGCCACATCAAATTCTGAGAATTAACTTCATCCCAGCTACATTTTTAGACTAATAGGCTTGAGATGAAAAGGAAAGAGATAACTCAAGACTTTAATAACTTCAATCCTCTCTCCAATATTAACAGAACTCACCAAGAGCATCTTCAATCCCCTTGTTGCAATTTGTGCACCTAAATAATGTACATAAGTTCAATTATTGTCAACAATAATTGCTGCAAAGAAAAGAAAAACCTAAAGAAAATGAAAATTCCTTACTTAAAGCATCATTCTTGGCAGACCACATGTTCTTGTTGTCAGAGCTGTGAGATTTTGTTGTGGCATGATTTGCAGTGGCAGGCTCAGCAGAAGGAGTGTTGTCATAGTGGTCACTGGTGATACCATTATCCGAATGGCCAACCATATCATTAAAAAAAAACTTGAAAAAGCAGATGTTGGGGAAAAAATCCAACAAGGATGCGCCAAATTTTTCCATGAGCCTTCAATCAATCTAAGAACCAGGTTTTGGAAACCAATACTAAATTGGGAGGTTGACTTGACCAAGTATGTTGTTGGAACATGAATATTTGGTGTTGAGACATACTTCACCAAGTAAACAATAACATTCTAGTCACCTGCAAAGATTGGCTAGCTCGTGTAATTGCCCAATGAGTCTGACTTCATAATCCACCATGTGCCTCTCAAGTAAAGTATTAAAACAACCCAACATAGAATTATGAATTTTTTGTATTCTTACCCGATTCTTGTTGTGTTGGCATGTTCATGTTCTGCTAATGATGAAGAACATAATAACAAAGTGATTATCCCACTTGATCCAAACCACCATTTCCCACATTTATTCTTGTTAGTATTGTTTAGACCACATTTCATCTTGGGTATATTTTTAGTTTCCTCCAATATTTTACTCAATAAAAACATAATAGCATAGAACATAATCTATTTTTTAAAGATGTTCAGATTCTTTAGTCAATAGATAGTTTGGAACTAGACAAGATACCATACTTTTCATTTCACTTTAAATACAATTCATGCTAATTTTTCATTGTTAGAAAGAGAAAAAAAATTTGAAGTGACACAAAACATTCATGTCCAATGTTGTAAAATGATTGTGAATGTTAGGTGGGATGTATTTCATATCAAATGTGTTTGAGAACGTAACACAAGTTTTGGAAGTGTAACATCAAATGCTGATAATTAACTTTATTCCAACTGCATTTTTAGACTAATGGGCCTGAGATGAAAAAGAAAGAGAACTTAGGACTTTAATAACTTTCTACTAGAACATCTGAAAGTTTTGGTTTGAGATCACATTCAATGCATTCCTACTTTTTCTTGTTGGCTCAAATCACATAATCTCATTCTTAAAATGGGGTAGTCTAATCTAATATATGGGAATATGAAGAGACTAGAACTTAATTACCCAAGTGATGTGCATGAAAAGTGCTCTTGTGGGTTTTTTGGGATGAACCTGAACCAAACTAGTCCTCAATTGGTTTCCATTACCACTGTCAAATCAAGAGCTCAAACAGACGAATCCTCTGTTGCATTGCAACTGCTAAGACATTATTCTTGTCAAAACCATGAAAACTACAGGTTTGAAATTTCCATTCCATTTTAACAATCGCCAAATTTTAACTTTATTTTCCTACTATAGTATGTAGATAACCTTGAATTATACGGTTCGTATTCGTGTTTGGATTTTCGAACTTCAAAAAGTTTTAGTTAAGGTTCAGCAGCACCAATCAAATCAAAACTACCTTTGCCTTCTTTGGCATTGGCACCATCAACTTTTGAGTTGAGCCTCAAAACACCATCAGAAAGAATTGCACCTATTCATTCACTCTAGGATAAGAATAGTGTACAAACAAACAAACACAAATTGAGAAAAACAAAATTACAAACTGAAATTTGGAATAACACTGCCCAAAAAAAAACATTCAATTGACAAGTAAAAAAGCCTAACCCTAAAGTGAATCAAAAACTAAAGTAAAAGAAAATGTCCAAAATGAAGTTGCTTATTAGTTGGCCATTGGTCCCCTTCCCTACCACTCTCTGTCTGACCATATATTATGGTGGGTCATTAGCCCAGTGTGCCTCATGACTGTAGGATGGGCCAATATCACCTGACCTAATTCCTCTTTCCTTGTGGGGCCCAAGGCCACTACAATTCCCCACTGTCAGCCCGACCGACTAAACCCAAAAAGTTTTTGTTGCCACTCAAAAGATGCCATTAAATAAATAAACAAACTAAATGAGAGAAAGGAAGCCGTCTTAGCTCAGCTGGTAGAGTGCGTGTCTTTTAACCACGTTGTCGTGGGTTTGAGTCACACAGACGGCGAATTTGCCTTCGCTTTGTTAGTTCGGCATTTTCTACTATCCATAAAGTGATCCTACACCTTTATTTCCCTTTTGGTTTTTGTAAAGGCAATTTCATATCAACTACTTTTGGTTTTGATGCCATGCATTAACTTGAGAGGATGTTTGGCCATTTTATCATTTGGGGATTTTTTTGCTTGAGATATAGGTGCTAAAAGGTTATGTTCATTTGGGGATTTTTTGCTTGAGATATGAGTGCTGAAAAGTTATGAAGAGAAAGAGTGAATGTTAGATTATAAAATTGACAACAAAACATTTCCTCATCATATGATGGGGACAAGGTTAGATCAATTCACAGTTGTGGTGAATGGAAACATGGCATTTTTTTCACTAAAGAAAATCCTCCTATGTTTTACTTTTGGAACGCAAGATATAAATCCATAAAATACATCAAAGTTGAAACATTATTTCCAAGCATCTTCAGTTATGATCATCTTTATTATCAACTCTTGAAAAGACAGCGGGGATTGCCTCCGATGCTGAGGATCTTCAGTTACACTGGAAGCCTGATTTCCTTAAAGACATATGGCAATTTAGTTAAAAGACAAGTGTTAACTTCACTTTCGTTAGGACAAATGGTCTTGCCATCAATTTTGTTAATTTTTTATGTTATTATTTATGATAAATAAATGATTAATTTAAATTCAATGAAAAAAAAAAAAAAAAAAAAAAAAAAAAAAAAATCTAAGGCTAAGGCAACATTCAATTCTAATGAAAAATTCGAAATCTTGAGAAGTGGAATTTCGCATGCTCCAATGTTATCTTGAAAAACCTAAAAGTTATTCGATTGTTTTTGGAAAATATTAAATGAATATATAAATATATATTAAAAAGAAAAACAATTGGGCCATCCGGAGACAAATGTGCCTGAGGCGGTTGAATAGTTGGGCTCCCATTTGTCCTCCTAATATGAATTTAAATTTTGATTATTTATTTATAAATTGGCTTTTTCCTAGTTATATACGACTTTCATTGGAACCCAGGTTTTCCCGTTTTCCATCTTTTTCACCCCGTCCTTTTTTCTATTCCAGATAGCAAAAGGAGAAGGCTAGAACTTGCACTATATATATCAGCAGTACCAAATCTTGTTATTATTTCTTATCTCAAAGAATCAATCGCTGAAACTGAGATGAAGGGAATCCTGGGTAGTTTTTGCTTTGAAAGAAAATATTTCGATACAACAATCGACCTTCTATCAAATTTGATTCCACATCGTTTAATCATTTTGGCAAAAGGTAAGTATTGTTGCTTGCTTTGTTACAATTTCATTTACTTGAAGATGTAACTGTATGACATCAAATGTGATATCATGATGAGACAGTATATATATGTATATATATATATATATATAAATATAAGGGATTCGATACCCTAGTATTCAAAGTTATTAAAATTATTTGTTTCATTAGCAGGATTAGAGGAGCCGAATGCTAAGAGAAACGACAAGTCAACCTTAATAGACCTATCCAACGAGAAGTCAACCTTAATAGACCTACCCAACGAGATCATCTTCGACATCCTTATGAGGCTGCTGACAAAATCGCTTTCTGAAATCCGTGGCTTATCAAAGACCTCTTCAAACATAGTTGATGACCCCTTTTTTACCACGCTGCACACTCAACGTTTACTTAATTCTGCTACTGCTCCCGTTGAAGCAGCTCGACTAATGTTTCTTGTTCAGATTTGGTCATGCAAGAAAAGAGAAGAAGAGAGAGGTAGCAAAAACAGGAAAGTAGAAGAGAGAAAGGCACATCAGGGCAACTTATTGTATGTAACCTAATTAGGACTCGGGATAGCTTACAAGTAACACATTAATATTTATATATATATATAAAAGCTTAAGAAGAGGAAGTTATATGTGAGTGAGTGACATATACAATATTGAGAGTAATAAACATTGTTTGTACCATATTTGACCACTCACTCACGTCGTGACATGTGGAACGCCGTCAAGCCAGAGACCAGCTCAACCGGGCCATACCGAATGTCCTCTCGGCACGCTGTACCGATTCAGGGGGTTGATATCGCACCATCAGTACCTACGCCAACCTTCGGCATTGTCTACCGAGCGACCAACCGTCACATCAATCCGATTCTGACAGATTACCTCAGAATTCCTGCCAAAACCTGTCAAGACGACGTGTCGACCTCCGAAAACACTCCCACGAGTCCCACATCGAAACTAAGTACTAAGAATATCACAAACGCTCTCTATAAATAGAGCTCCTTAGCCCAGCCGACTTTCTGACTTGACTAATACTTCCACTGTCAATAGAATTGCTCTTAGTTATTAACTTTGTCATCGGAGTACCTTCGGCAGGTACCACACCGATATCCCCTCCTCAGTTCAGATCCAGCCCCCGCTTGATTCTTCGGACGTCACGGAAGAAGGTCACTCCGGTCCTCAACCATCAGCACACTTGTAAGTTAGCCTAAACTCTTATATGTTCAGATTTAGCGCGAACAAACATATATATAGAAGAATTAAATAAATTAAGAAGATCAAGAAACTAAGAGCTCAAAGGTGAAAAAAAAAAATGAAAAAAAAAGTGTCGCAGTCTCAGTCTCAATCTCAGTTTCTTATGGCGTTTTTGAACGTTAACTTTGGGGAGGTTAAACATGATGATGCAGATGGAGATGATCATGACTTGTTCTTCACACCCTTGTCATCCCCAAACAAGGTTGTCCCCAAAAAGGAAGTCCTCCAAAAAGTGGTGCAGCGCAATCTTGCAGCACATCAAGGCTCTTCTTCCATTCAAAATGCGAAGAAATACCTCAAGTGATGTGGCCAAGAAGACGAAGGAGAAGATGAACATGAAGACAGACGAAGAAATTGAGTTTCCTCCCTCCAGCATACGGTGTAAGAACTAATAGTGATGAACATAATTTCTCCACTGATGATGCTTTTGACAGATTTATGCTTTATTTGATGCCCTTTGAAACTAGCGGAGGAGGTCGGGTCTACGTTGATCATAATTATGAAGAAGAAACTCATGAATTTCCCAGATCAATCAATCCCCAGAAAAAAGTTACTTCTGATGATGATCTCTTGAATGAATTTATGCTTTCTTGGGAGCCCTTCACAAATAGACGAGATCCAAATTATTTTGATGAAGAAGTTGAATTTCCAAGATCAAATATCGATCCCCCCAACACTCCTGAAGAAGTTGACGACATTGTTGCTCATGACAATAACTTCATGGCTTCTCCTAGGGTTTCTCATGAGGTTGGGAAGCCTTCCGATTCGAAGAATATTGAGTACGTCCGAGCTGTTAATAATAATTTTGGTTGTCATATCTGCTTTGAACCCAAGGCTGCACACCAGTGGTTTGACATCAAAAATTGCAGCCATGGTTATTGTACGGAGTGCATGATCAATTACGTGGTCTCCAATCTCAAAAGAACGTCACAACCATTCGGTGCCCTGATCCTGATTGCACATCAGGATCGATAGAGCCCGAGGATTGTGACTGGATACTTCCCTAAGAAGTGTTTGAGAGGTGGGAAAGCGTACTTTGTGAGGCTGTGATCCCCAGCTCTCAAAAGTTTTACTGTCCCTTTCGGGATTGCTGTGCGATGTTGATTATTGATGATGATGGGAGTGAGGTTGTGCGGCAGTCTCAGTGCCCGCATTGTCAAAGGCTCTTCTGCGCACAGTGTAAGGTTGCTTGGCACGCGGAGATGGAGTGCTGGGAGTTTCAGGAGTTGAATGACGATGAGAGGGGAAGGGAAGACATCCAGTTAAGGAACCTTGCAAACATGGAGGATTGGAAGAGATGTCCCAACTGTAAGTTTTATGTGGAAAAGAAGACCGGTTGCAATTTCATGAAGTGCAGGTCAGTTTCTATGATCATAAATATATTCGCGAATCCCGTATTCCACCATATACATGTCATAATTGAGAATCTTCATTTCATAATTAACAATTTAAAGAACATATTCTATAAAAAAGAGTAGAGACTAGCGAAGCCTCCTCACTGGACCAAACTCAACTTGTTTTGTTCAATATATACATATGAATCGATCCATTACTGCCCTATCGATATGATGGGATTAATTTCTGTTTATTTGCAGGTGTAGAGCTACTTTTTGCTATAGATGTGGCCAGAGTTTAAGCTTGCCTAAAAACCAACGTCACTATTGTTCCTATTGTACGGGTTGAGTACATTTTCTACAACGTTTGATTATCATAGGATGTTTCATAAATTTTGTTTATTTTTTCACTTAAGTATTCGACAAGTAGGCTTCGAATTTTACGTACTTCTTTATAAAATCCTTCATACGATGACCTTACACACACAAAAATTCGTTAGAAACAAGTTTCATGAAGAAACGCAAAATAGAGCTCAAAACAATTAACAAAAATTTCCCCATTAATTAAAATTAACAATAATTACGCACGTGATGAAAATAAAGAACCTCTTTTGTGCTTGTATGTATTAATTATTAGGGTTTTGGTAGGTAGTTCATAGAAGAAAAGTATACGGTTTGGTTAATGATGCTGCATATGGTACACGTGGCAATTGGACAGTGGTGCACTAATAATTGAGCAACCTAATGAATTATGAAACACGTTTTATTTTATTTTTATTTGGTTTTTAAATTTGACTTTATATGTGGAGTGGCATTATCTTCTAGAAGGACCTGGACGATGTCTGGCTTTGGCAATGTAATGTAATGTGAATGGTGAGGATCAATTATTGGGGAGAGGAGTGACAGGCGGTCGTGGCTGCATCTGAGTCAAGGACGAAATCTGGGCCGTTGATTTCATGACTGCGCTGCACATCAAATCATATCAACCGACCGATATCAGTTATCGGCATTTTTTATTTTTGTTTTAGCAAAGTCTAAATGCATGCTACTATTAAGAAAGTTAAATAATTATAAAAAATTGATATATTTCACATTGAGAGTGGAAAACTATATGATTAATAAGACTCTTTGCAGCAACAGTGCTTCAGAAATCATGGTAAAACAACATATTTTGCGGTAACAGAGCACTTAAGTCACCAAAAGTGATAGGGCCTTACCGCTCAACATTCACATGGCCAGAGAAGACCATAGCACCTCTAACATCCCACGTGATCCCACAACACCAAGTAATGAAAGATGCACTTAGATTTGACAACTCCACATCCATAAAAGTCAATCTAGGAAGACTGGTGAAAATCCAGTACAAAACTATGGAGAAACAAAACCTAACACAAAAATGGAATGGAAAATCTCTCTACAACATGACGGGGGAGAGAGGCGCCTGATTTATTAACCGAAGGAGTTGGTTCCTAGGGAAACCCCTGGAACCAAAAGGGTTGTTGAGGAGAGAGGTCGAGTTGGAGAAGAAGAAAGGGAGATAGATCTTGGAGGATAACTTGTTAATTGTTCAATAGTGATTCAAGTTTACGGAGTTTATCATACTATACCTTAGGTTCATGACATATTAACAATGTTCCATACTTATATTAGCACATCGTGACGGGACTCATCATACTCAATATTTTTCATATTATATTATAAGTTCATGAGATATCAATCATGTCACTCGTTCATATTTTTGTATTTTTAAATTTCTGGGGCCATATTACATGCTTCTTATCACGAAAAGAAGACAGATAGGTGCCATCTGTGGTCACATGGTGTATGCCATCTCCAAGAGTGAAATGATCCCACTTCCAAATCCTTCTGTTCAGTCCAATATCGCTAGTTCTAAAAATGAAAACAGGTCGTTAGTCCATTCCGGTTGTACATGTATTTAGTCTGCGGAAACAATAACCATTGTGCAACATTGTGCAACCAAGGTTCATCGTGTAAAATCTTTTCTTATCCTTTGTTACAGTTCACGATTACATCTGCTTTTTGCTATTCTTTTTACCAAATGTTTTAATCTAAATTTTGTCCGGTTTTAGTTGTTAATACGTTCTCTATTTCATTGATGGCCTTAGATACAAGAAGCTCTTATGCACAGTGGACCTTACAAAGGACTTCTTTGTCAGCTACTCATACCATGTTATGCGTAGTCTGCAAAAGAACATGTGTAAGAATCAGACAGGACATGTCCTTTATGAAACCATGTTTGTCTGGAATGAATTCTTAACTCGGGGAATTCGGAATCACCTTCAAAATACTATTTGGACATGCTATCCTTTACGAAGAGGTCTTCTCACTTCGTGCAGAATTTGCTAATGCAATAGATTTCATTAATAAAGACTTATCCGAGGAGAACCGTCTTAAATTCCTTCACTGGGATCTGCACAAACATTCCCGGAGGTAAAGCTTATGTTTGATTTATTTTAATAATGTGGTATTCCGGAATTTTATCTTTTCTGAAAAATGGTACCCTTGTTTCTTCCTCCCATTCCAGCAAAGCTACAAATGCTTTACTACTATTGGGCAAGGTGGCTACATATGCCTTGACGCTAACTGGATTCTTCTATTGCCAAGTTAACCCAGCACTGAGACCTGAGGGTGTAATTAAGTGGCCTTCCTCTGGGTAAGTTGCCATCTCATTTAATGGTTTTCTAGTTTTAATCATCTTTCTTCATGCAAGTTTTTTTACAAATTTTAGGCACTAAAACTATAAATAAACCCTACACCATTTAATTTCTATAAACATACCTAAAACATATCCAAAAAATGACCGCTGACCCTATTGAATTTAATTTTAATTATTAAATTACTTTGATGCCCCATTAAGTGTTTTGAACTTTTTTATGAGGTTTTTGGGTTGGGTTTGTTTTAAGAAATCAATGGCAGTTTTGTAATTTAAAAGAAGTTACAAGCCTTTTTGTTATGTTGTAAATGGGTTTTGGATGTGTTTCTAAAGTCCATTTCATATAGGGCTTTTTTATAATTTGGGTTCATATATTTGACACCAGCCATCCACTTCGGGTTCGAGTTTATGTCTGCATTGGATTCCAGTTGGCGAAGGTTGCTACTGCCTTTCCATTTCAATTTACCTTTTACCATAAGCACAAAATATAATGTAGTTTCTACAAAAATGTGCCTAAATAAAGCTTGAAAGTATAAACATTAATAAAAAATGAGTAATTGCTATTTGAACACACTTAATTGACCACATTAACTGACCACCTTATGTGGCAGCTGATGTGGTCATGCAACATAAATTAATGAAATTAACTGACATGGAGTTATTATTTTTAGGGAGTTTCACTAAAACACTCAAAATGGGGGCTGAAATTATAAAAAAAACTCAAGCACTATTTAAACATATAAACACACCCAAAACCCATCATTACACACACTCAAAACCCATTTATAAACACACCTAGAAAGTTGACTTTGGGGTTGATTTTGGGTGTGTTTCTATGTTTAAATAGTGCTTGGGTTTTTTTTATAAATACATGTCTAGGATTGGGTTTATTTATAAATTTGTATTATTTGTATTATTTTTAAATTGATCCTTTGGTCTGCCAAGATAAGTTTTCCCCAATATTGCTCCACTCGTTCATGCCCACTGCCACAAGACGCTTATTGGGTTGTCCCCAACAATGTGGTGGTTCTGTGTAGAAAGCTAATTTTGATAGAACAATCAAAGTTGCAAAGTTATTTTTTAATTATGACAGTTTCCTTCTATTAACCTATTTTCTAATAGAGCAAAAATAACAACATCACAAGCATCTAGTGCCCCGATCCAGATTGCACATCAGGGCTGTTAGAGCCCGAGCACTGTCGTTCGATCCTCCCCCAGGAGGTGTTTGAGAGGTGGGGAGTTGCCTAAGAGCATCTCCAAGGAAGATGTCAAATATCAAACATCAAATTTAAATTTGATGGCTGGTGTGGCAATTTGACATCTTACACAGCTTTACACTCCACCCGCTATGTCAAATTAAATTATTATTTTATTACATTTTAGTATTGATTCATTTTTAATTAAAAAGAAAAGAAAAGAAAAAATAATAAAATATTCATTTGACATCTTGCTTTTGGGATGTCAAAAATAACATCTCAACCTCCAGTCTTCATTCCACATCAGCTTTGACACATCGGTTGGATTGATGTGAGATGTTATTTCTAGCTGTTAAACGTCTATGTGGCACGTTTGACACATCGGTTGGAGATGCTGTGAGGCTACTGGAGGGGTCATTTGCTTTCTTATTTATTTAATAAATAGCATAGCCGCACGGCTATACTGCATACTTAAAGAGTATAGTCGCGCGGCTATATGACTTTTTTATTAAAAAAAATAGTATAGTCGGTCGGCTGTACTCGGGGTTTTTTATTCATAAAAACAGTAGAGTCGCGCGGCTATACTAAAAAAGTATAGCTATGTTTGTCTGAGGAATCCCGCTCCCTTGTAGTTTAGACTATTGCTTATACTAAAAAAATAAAAAAAATAAAAAATAAAAAAAACCCTCTAGAAAGCAATGTGATTTGACAACATATGCAATTGATCTTAGTCCACCCCTAATCCTTACTAGAATACAACATTAATAATTACTAGAACCAAAGATATCTAGAATAATGCTCAGTCAATTGTGAATTATTGGTGCTAATAGACATATTAATTTTAGGCTGATAATTACAAGGTAGCTTTTGGTTATTAAAAACTCTCTTGGAAGTTTGGCATCTACTAGCCAAAGATTATCAACTCTCGAGAGTTTGGCATCTACTAGCCAAGATTATCTTAAACTCTTACACAAAGGATTTTTAGGTGCCTAGAGGACAGAAGTCAATAATTTCAATATCTCAAATGGCCAAGCTGCAGATTTCTCTCTTGGATCACTTAATTAATCTTCATATCCGTGTGAGCACCTTAGTGTTGTCAATTGGGTTTGGGTCGTGTGCTAGTGATCACATATTGAGCAGTACATCCTGGAAACAACAATTACATCAACACCATTCCTGAGAAATTAACCAAGCACATTACAAGCCATATGGGCAGAATGGCTTCTTCCAACCCCACGGGACGCTTCTCTGACGGCCGTGTCATTGTAGATTACATAGGTCATAATTAGTATTTATATTTACATAATCAAAATAAAGAAGTACAGACGATGTATTGTAATATGTTTTGTAACCTTAGTTTATTTATGTATGTATATTGTTCATCAATTTTGCTTAATGCTCATGATGCAGCGGAATATGCAAAGCTATCCCTCCATATTTTTACAACCTTCTGCTGATTACACAAATGGTGTTAACTTTGCTTCTGCTGGGGCTGGCGTTCTTTCTGAAACCAATCAAGGATTGGTATGGCAAAATTTTAGTCATTATGGCTCTGAATCATTAGAGATCATATTTTGTGTACATAAATTTGATCGAATTGTTCAATTTTAGGTGATGGATCTTCAGTTCAGACACAAAAATGATCTTTTGTGAGGATCTTAATAATCCCTCCAATCTAAGTAAAATAGTTTGATAATTTCAATTTTACACAAACTATAGTCATTTTAATCTAACATTTACTGTGTTGGTTACAAAGATGGAGTGAATGCTTGTTGTGGGACTGGACCCTATGGGGGCATCTTCACTGGGGAGGCACAAAGGAAGTAAAAGACTACCAATTATGTGTGAAAATGCTGATGATTATGTATGGTGGGATTCTTTTCATCCCACTGAGAGGATCCAAGAGAACCTTGCAAAGACTCTCTGGAATGGGACCCCTTCCTCTGTAGGGCCATACAACCTAGAAGAGCTCTTCTCAGTTGATGAGGAGAACTAATTAGTCTTGGAGTCTATTATTATTAAAAAAATAAGAATGGGAAAATTAGGAAATTAAAAATACAAAAACAAAAACAAAAACAAAAACAAAAAAACCATGTAGCGGATGGTCTTGGTGATTTTGACCATTCGCTGGCAATTTGTATGTGATGATGACTTCATTGCAAAGTCAGTCTCCTTCTATGTTTGGGCTTCAGCCCCCATAAACCTAATGGCGAATAAACAAACTAAACAAGAAACCCACAGAAATCTCTTGAGCGATATGTTGAGGCCAGGTTCCCTAAAATCTTCAAGCCCCCCAAACCCTCCCTCCAAAAAAGGATACGGCAACCCACGATCAAGAACCCCCTATAAACCCCCTATGGATTTATCCATAACTGAAGTTGGGGAGTCTTTCAACTCGGAGAATACAAAGAGCCAGCAGCCTTTTGTCTGTGAAATCTGTGTTGAACCCAAGGCAGCAGCATCCGAGTGGTTTGGCATAAAAAATTGCAGCCATGCTTATTGTAGGGACTGCATGGTCAGTTACGTGGCCTCCAAGCTTGAAGTGAACATCACAAGCATCCGGTGCCCCGACCCAGATTGCACATCAGGGCTCCTAGATCCCGAGCATTGTCGTTCGATCCTCCCCCGGGAGGTGTTTGAGAGGTGGGGAGTTGCCTTGTGTGAGGCTGTGGTTCCTGCCTCTCAAAAGTTTTACTGTCCCTACAAGGATTGCTCTGCAATGCTAATCATTGATGATGATGGGAAGAAAGGGATGATCGTAAGGCAATCGGACTGCCCCCATTGTAGGAAATTGTTCTGCGCGCAGTGTAAGGTTCCTTGGCACGTAGGGTTTGAGTGTGCCAAGTTTCAGAAGTTGAACAAGGTTGAGAGGGAAAGGGAGAATATGTTGAGAAACCTTGCGAAGAAGGAACAATGGAGGAGATGTCCCAATTGCAGGTTCTATGTGGAAAGATCGTGGGGTTGCAACATCATCCAATGCAGGTCAGTTTATCTTTTACCTTCTTTCTCCCATAAAAAGTTAAAAAAAAACTATGACAATTGAAAAATTACTGATGAATCTGATCAGTGACGTTAAATGTCGATCTTAAGTATTTCTATTTCTAATGTTGAAGAAGGAGGTCCCAGACTCCCATGTGATTTCAACCTCCCTAATAATTATAAATAAATAAAACAAAGGTGGACTAAAATTGCTGAATACTGTTTCAACTTGTTTCGTTCAATTCAATGAATTCTTGAATTAATGCCCTATTAATTTATGTCTCTTTTGAGTTGATTGCAGGTGCAAAACTAAGTTCTGCTACGAATGTGGTGAACTTTACATCAATTGCAAGTGCAAAATTGATTGTTTTTTTTGTTTGTTGGGGGGCTGCGGACTTATTGTTGTTGTTGTTGTTGTTGTTAGTTTTTTTGTTGTTATTGTTAAACTCTGGCGGGTAGTGGCGGAGCCATGAATTTAAGTAAGATAGGCGCCCTTTAGAATTCAGACTCTTTCTTATATGACAAATCAACCTAATTTTTAAGAAATTCCTTTTTCTCACTTTTCTTTGTTTTTTTTTCTCTCTCTACTTTTTGTATGAATAACCTAATTAACACTCTTTCATGGTAACAAAATCCATGCAACTCAAAAGAAATTTACACATGAAACAAAGAGAAGAGGGGCATTTAAGAATTTTTGAGGAATTTTATAATATTTGTACAAGATCACTAACATAAAATTTTATGTACAACAACATTTGAGACGGGCCAGTGCCCACCCTAGGCATGCACTGATGTGATCAAGTTTTAACTGACGTTATTCTTGAAGTTATTATATCTTGATTTTTCTGATTATAATTGATTAGAGTACACGATAATATTTTCCAAACATAAATATGGCCAGTCCATAGCCAATCTTGCTAGCTCATGATTGCCGGTCAGATTGAAGCAACCAAAAGAGCAACTTTCAGTGCTCAAATGTGGCTAACTCAAAATGCCCCGAAAAAAAGCCCAGCCCGACCCGTTATGGGCTTTGAGATGGTCCGGCCCGCCTTGGGCTTGGGTATCTGAAGCCTGGCCCGACCTGATTAAGCCCAAGAAAGCCCGGCCCGTTAGGCCCGCATACATATATAATTATGTATAAATAAGAGTTTAGGTTTATGATTATACCACTTAAATCACATATAATTTGTTCCATTACATTTACTTTTCTTTACTCATTCCTAATTTATAATTGGATGATTAGCACATTAATTTGTATCAATTATTAATTCAACAATTATGTATATATATATATAAATATATAAGATGAACAACATATCACATCACCAAATATAATCATATCACGAAACATAATTGTACCACCAAATATAATCATGTTTTTCTTGAACACATCACCAAATATTTGGATATTTATTCATACCATCCTTTAAAAAAATATATTTTATTGATACTTATTATTTTTTAAAACGTATTACGGTCTAATTATGTAATAACCTCAAAAATAATACTTCATTTTATTATTTTTGTGGAAAATCTTATTAAGTTGTGTGACTTTATTGGGTGTTTTAAGAATTTGGTTTGATGTGAAAATATTGGAATTAAATGAGTTTAATCTCAAATTTGGACTAAAATGCCCTTATGATTAAGTTTATGATTTTTTTTTAATGAAGTAGGCCGGTTTAGGCTCGGCCTGGCTCAATGGGCTTTCCCAAGCCCGGCCCATGGGTTGGGCTTGGGCTTTGAATTTTACAAAAAAATCCGGCTCGGCCCGGTATTTTCTCTCTCCACTTTAAAGCCCGGCTCGGCTCAAACCAATTAAATTTGGGCCGGGCTAGTCCAGCCCGGCCCATTGACGAGCCCTACTTGTGGGGAGGGAAGGGAGGGAGGGGGTGTTTATATTGAATATTGTATAAGGTTTAGGAGATGCCTTGATGAGGATGAGGTAGCGAGAGAGAAAACACAAAGAAATGGTACTTTTCCATAAATGGAATGAAAGCTCAAAAGACAAGTGGTCCCAAAGACCAAAAAATGACACTAAGTAGCCGAAATCTGCATGAGAATAAACCATTTTCCACTTGGACGCTTTTCAAGCTTTTTGCACTGCCTTTTCAAAGTGAAAGTGATGCTGAGTGGGGAAAAAAAACACTGAGAAATTAGTTTCTTCTATATTTTTCCCTAAACCCTAAATGAAATCTCAGTAAAAGTGGTCATGTCCCTAACCAACTGCCCAAAGAGTGAGTGAAAGCAAAAAAAGTTTGTCTTTTCTCCTTATACCTTTCTTGTCAAGTATTCCTTATATATATATATATACTTGGTTTTATTATTTTTGTGGAAAATCTTATTAAGTTGTGTGACTTTATTGGGTGTTTTAAGAATTTGGTTTGATGTGAAAATATTGGAATTAAGTGAGTTTAATCTCAAATTTGGACTCAAATGCCCTTATGATTAAATTTATGATTTTTTTTAATGAAGTGGGCCCGTTTAGGCCCGGCCCGGCTTGATGGGCTTTCTCACGCCCGGCCCATGGGTTGGGCTTGGGCTTTGAATTTTCCAAAAAAATCCGGCCTGGCCCTGTATTTTCTCTATCCTCTTTAAAGCCCGGCTCAGGCCAAGCCCAATAAATTTGGGTCGTGCTAGTCCAGCCCGGCCCATTGACGAGCCCTACTTGTGGGGAGGGAAGGGAGGGAGGGGGGGTGTTTATATTGAATATTGTATAAGGTTTAGGAGATGCCATGATGATGATGAGGTTTCAAGGGAGAAAACATAGAGAAATGGTACGTTTCCATAAATGGAATGAAAGTTCAAAAGACAAGTGGTCCCAAAGACCCAAAAACGACACTAAGTAACTTCAATCTGCCAGAGAATAAACCATTTTCCACTTGGACGCTTTTCATGCTTTTTGTACTGCCTTTTCAAAGTGAAAGTGACGCTGTGTGGGGAAAAAACACATCAAGAAATTAGTTTCTTCTATATTTTTCCCTAAACCCTAAATGAAACCACAGTAAAAGTGGTCCTGTCCCTAACCAACCGCAGAAAGAGTGAGTGAAAGCAAAAAAAGTTTGTCTTTTCTCCTTATACCTTTCTTGTGAAGTATTCCTTATATATATATATATATATATATATATATATATTGAAGTATTCCTTATATATATATATATATATATATATACTCGGTTTTATTATTTTTGTGGAAAATCTTATTAAGTTGTGTGACTTTATTGGGTGTTTTATGAATTTGGTTTGATGTGAATTATTGGAATTAAGTGAGTTTAATCTCATATTTGGACTAAAATGCCCTTATGATTAAGTTTATGATTTGTTTTAATGAAGTAGGCCCGGCCTGGTTCGATGCGCTTTCTCAAGTATGGCCCATGGGTTGGGCTTGGGCTTTGAATTTTCCAAAAAAATCATGCCCGGCCCGGTGTTTTCTCTCTCCTCTTTAAAGCCCGGCCCATTGACAAGCCCTACTTGTGGGGAGGGAAGGGAGGGAGGGGGGTCTTTATATTGAATATTGGAAAAGGTTCAGGAGATGCCACGATGAGGATGAGGTAGCGAGAGAGAAAACACAGAGAAATGGTACTTTTCCGTAAATGGAATGAAAGCTCAAAAGACAAGTGGTCCCAAAGACCCCAAAAACGACACTAAGTAACTTAAATCTGCATAAGAATAAACCATTTTCCACTTGGACACTTTTCATGTTTTTTGTACTGCCTTTTCAAAGTGAAAGTGATGCTGTGTGGGGAAAAAAAACACTGAGAAATTAGTTTCTTCTATATTTTTCCCTAAACCCTAAATGAAACCACAGTAAAAGTGGTCATGTCCCTAACCAACCGCCCAAAGAGTGAGTGAAAGCAAAAAAGTTTGTCTTTTCTCCTTATTCCTTTCTTGTCAAGTATTCCTTATATATATATATATATATATATATATATATATATACTCGGTTTTATTATTTTTGTGGAAAATCTTATTAAGTTGTGTGACTTTATTGGGTGTTTTATGAATTTGGTTTGATGTGAAATTATTGGAATTAAGTGAGTTTAATCTCATATTTGGACTAAAATGCCCTTATGTTTAAGTTTATGATTTTTTTTTAATGAAGTAGGCCCGTTTACACCCGGCCTGGCTCGATGCGCTTTCTCAAGCCCGGCCCATGGGTTGGGCTTGGACTTTGAATTTTCCAAAAAAATCCTGCCCAGCCCGGTGTTTTCTCTCTCCTCTTTAAAGCCCGGCCCATTCACAAGCCCTACTTGTGGGGAGGGAAGGGAGGGAGGGGGGTGTTTATATTGAATATTGTATAAGGTTTAGGAGATGCCATGATGAGGATGAGGTAGCGAGAGAGAAAACACAAAGAAATGGTACTTTTCCGTAAATGGAATGAAAGCTCAAAAGACAAGTGGTCCCAAAGACCCAAAAACGACACTAAGTAACTTAAATCTGCATGAGAATAAACCATTTTCCACTTGGACACTTTTCATGCTTTTTGTACTGCCTTTTCAAAGTGAAAGTGATGCTGCGTGGGGAAAAAAAACACTGAGAAATTAGTTTCTTCTATATTTTTCCCTAAACCCTAAATGAAACCTTAGTAAAAGTGGTCATGTCCCTAACCAACTGCCCAAAGAGTGAGTGAAAGCAAAAAATGTTTGTCTTTTCTCCTTATACCTTTCTTGTCAAGTATTCCTTATATATATATATATACTCGGTTTTATTATTTTTTAGGAAAATCTTATTAAGTTGTGTGACTTTATTGGGTGTTTTATGAATTTGGTTTGATGTGAAATTGTTGGAATTAAGTGAGATTAATCTCAAATTTGGACTAAAATGCCCTTATGATTAAGTTTATGATTTTTTTTAATGAAGTGGGCCCGTTTAGGCCCGGCCCGGCTCGATGTGCTTTCTCAAGCCTGGCCCATGGGTTGGGCTTGGGCTTTGAATTTTCCAAAAAAATCCGGCCTGGCCCAGTATTTTCTCCCTCCTCTTTAAAGCCCGGCCCGGCCCAAGCCCATTAAATTTGGGCCGGGCCAGTCCAACCTGTCCCATTGACGAGCCCTACTTGTGGGGAGGGAACGGAGGGAGGGGGTGTTTATATTGAATATTTAATAAGGTTTAGGGGATGCCATGATGAGGATGAGGTAGCGAGAGAGAAAACACAGAGAAACGGTACTTTTCCATAAATGGAATGAAAGCTCAAAAGGCAAGTAGTCCCAAAGACCCAAAAATTACCGTAAGTAACTTAAATCTGCATAAGAATAAACCATTTTCCACTTGGACCCTTTTCATGCTTTTTGTACTGCCTTTCCAAAGTGAAAGTGATGCTGCGTGGGGAAAAAAAACACTGAGAAATTAGTTTCTTCTATATTTTTCCCTAAACGCTAAACGAAACCTCCGTATAAGTGGTCATGTACCTAACCAACCGCCCAAGGAGTGAGTGAAAGCAAAAAAAGTTTGTCTTTTCTCCTTATACCTTTCTTGTCAAGTATTCCTTATATATATATATATATATGTATATATATAAATACTTGGTTTTATTATTTTTGTGGAAAATCTTATTAAGTTGTGTGACTTTATTGGGTGTTTTATGAATTTGGTTTGATATGAAATTATTAGAATTAAGTGAGTCTAATCTCAAATTTGGAATAAAATGCCCTTATGATTAAGTTTATGAGTTTTTTTTTATTGAAGTAGGCCCGTTTGGGCCCGGCTCGGCTCGATGGGCTTTCTCAAGAGTTGGGCTTGGGCTTTGAATTTTCCAAAAAAATCCGGCCCAGCCCGGTAGTTTCTCTCTCCCCTTTGAAGCCCGGCCCGGCCCAAGCCCAATAAATTTGGGCCGGGCTGGATGATGAGCCCTACTTGTGGGGAGGGAAGGGAGAGAGGGGGTGTGTTTATATTGAATATTGTATAAGGTTTAGGAGATGCCATGATGAGGATGAGGAAGCGAGAGAGAAAACACAGAGAAATCGTAGTTTTCCATAAATAGAATGAAAGCTCAAAAGACAAGTGGTCCCAAAGACCCAGAAACGACACTAAGTAACTTAAATCTGCATGAGAATAAACCATTTTCCACTTGGACGATTTTCATGCTTTTTGTACTACCTTTCAAAGTGAAAGTGATGCTGCGTGGGGAAAAAAAACACTGAGAAATTAGTTTCTTCAATATTTTTCCCTAAACCCTAAATGAAACCTCAGTAAAAGTGGTCATGTCCCTAACCAACCGCCCAAAGAGTGAGTGAAAGCAAAAAAAGTTTGTCTTTTCTCCTTATACCTTTCTCCATATATATATATATATATGTATATATATAGTGAAGCATTCCTTATATATACTTGGTTTTATTATTTTTGTGAAAAATCTTATTAAGTTGTGTGACTTTATTGGTTGTTTTATGAATTTGGTTTGATGTGAAAATAATGGAATTAAGTGAGTTTAATCTCAAATTTGGAGTCAAATGCCCTTATGATTAAGTTTATTATTACTTTTTCAATGAAGTAGGCCCGTTTAGGCCCGGCCCAGCTCAATGGGCTTTCTCAAGCCCGGCCCTTGGGTTAGGCTTGGGCTTTGAATTTTCCAAAACATTCGGGCCCAGTCCGGTATTTTCTCTCTCCTCTTTAAAGCCCGGGCCAGCCCAAGCCCATTTAATTTGGCCCGGGCTAGTCCAGCTCGGCCCATTGACGAGCCCTACTTGTGGGGAGGGAAGGGAGGGAGGGGTGTTTATATTGAATATTGTATAAGGTTTTGGAGATGCCATGATGAGGATGAGGTAGTGAGAGAGAAAACATAGAGAAATGGTACTTTTCCATGAATGGAATGAAAGCTTAAAAGACAAGTGGTCCCAAAAGACCCAAAAACGACACTAAGTAACTTAAATCTGCATGAGAATAAACCATTTTCCACTTGGACGCTTTTCATGCTTTTTGTACTGCCTTTTCAAAGTGAAAGTGATGCTGCGTGGGGAAAAAAAACACTGAGAAATTAGTTTCTTCTATATTTTTCCCTAAACCCTAAATGAAACCTCAGTAAAAGTGGTCATGTCCCTAACCAACCACCCAAAGAGTGAGTGAAAGCAAAAAAAGTTTGTATGTTCTCCTTATACCTCTCTTGTGAAGTATTCCTTATATATATATACTTGGTTTTATTATTTTTGTGTAAAATCTTATTAATCTGTGTGACTGTATTGGGTGTTTTATGAATTTGGTTTGATGTGAAAATATTGGAATTAAGTGAGTTTAATCTCAAATTTGTACTCAAATGCCCTTATGATTAAGTTTATGATTTTTTTTTGTTAATGAAGTAGGCCCGTTTAGGCCCGGCTCGGCTCGATGAGCTTTCTCAAGCCCAGCCCATGGGTTGGGCTTGGGCTTTGAATTTTCCAAAAAAATCCGACCTGGCCCAGTATTTTCTCTCTCCTCTTTAAAGCCCAACCCGTCCCAAACTTATTAAATTTGAGTCGGGCTAGTCCAGCCCGACCCATTGACGAGCCCTACTTGTGGGGAGGGAAGGGAGGGAGGGGGTGTTTATATTGAATATTGTATAAGGTTTAGGAGATGCCATGATGAGGATGTGGTAGTGAGAGAGAAAACACAGAGAAATGTTACTTTTCCATAAATGGAATGAAAGCTCAAAAGGCAAATGGTCCCAAAGACCCAAAAACGACACTGAGTAACTTAAATCTGCATGAGAATAAACCGTTTTCCACTTGGACGCTTTTCATGCTTTTTGTATTGCCTTTTCAAAGTGAAAGTGATGCTGCGTAGGGAAAAAAAATACTAAGAAATTAGTTTCTTCTATATTTTTCCCTAAACCCTAAATGAAACCTCTGTAAAAGTGGTCATGTCCCTAACCAACCGCCCAAAGAGTGAGTGAAAGCAAAAATAGTTTGTCTTTTCTCCTTATACCTTTCTTGTGAAGTATTCCTTATATATATATATATATATATATACACATATATATATATAGTGAATCAATTCAGTTCGGTCAACTCTCCATAAATCGCTCCGGCCAATCTCCATCTCCATTGCCTTGATTAAGATAAATATCTGTAATTTATTGTAATCCCTAATTACTTATAATTGGCTATAATTCCTGGTTCTCTTACCATTTGTATCTCTGTCAGATTGTATATAATATGTACCCATGATAATGAAAATACACCGAGGTTTGTTTCTTCACATGTATCAGACTCCTTTGTCTTCCTCTGAAGACTTTTTCTCACGATCCTCATGGCCTCTACTTCTACCACTTCCACCACTTCCACCATCTCCCTTCTCGGTCCAAACACCATTCACTTTATCAAACTCGATGCCTCAAACTACCTTCTCTGGCCAAGCCACATCAAATCGTTCCTCATTGGCCATGACCTTTGGAAATATGTTGATGGCTCTTATCCACAACCCTTTGAATTTATCACCACCACAGACACTACAACTTCTACACCTCCCACCACCACCTCTATCACCAATCTCAATCCAGATTTTCTATCTTGGTACCAACAAGACCAATTAGTGGTCAGTTACATCACCACAACACTTTCCCCTACTGTTCTCTCTTTAACCATTGGTCATGACTCTGCCAAGTCCATTTGGGAGTGTTTACAAAATCATTATACTCAACGTAACCTTGCTAGTGCCTCCAGTCTTCGTTTTCAACTTCATGACATGTCCAAAGGATCCAAAACCATTGATGATTATCTCAACCATGCAAAATCACTAGATGATGCTCTTTTTTCCATTAACAAACATGTCTCTGATGAAGATCTTGTTAATGCCGTTCTCCGTGGTCTCGGCGCTGAGTTCTCCATGTTTGTTACCACTATTCTAAATCAACTCACTCTTCCAAGTTTCACAGACCTTCGCTCCCACCTGCTTGCCTTTGAAAACCAATCCTCATGCTCATTAGACTCCACTGGCCACACCACTGCCCTTATTACCACTCACTCATCCTCTGCTTCTTATGCTCAACATATCTCCAACCAACAGCAGCACGGATCCTCCAACCAGCAGCAAGGTGGTTCTCGTGGTGGCCATCACGGTGGCTATCGCAGTTTTTATCGTGATGGGCGTCGCAGTGGTTACAAACGCTGGCAACACCATGCTCCTCCTAGTACCACGCCCCCTTGGCAACAACCATGGACCAGTCCTTTTTCCCCTCGTGGATCTGCTCCCCGTGCTCAGTGGCACCAGCTTGGGATTCTTGGCGCCCTACCTCAAGCTTGGTATTCCAAATGTTCAACCAATCAACACATTACTGCCCAATGTCCTCATAAATTTTCCGGACCCGACTCATTTCCTTCATATGCAAGTGCACATACTCTCCAACCTCATGATCCAAATTGGTACCCCGATACCGGAGCCATTCACCACATGACCGGCAATCTTCCATCCCTTCAACAGCCACAACCCTATACTGGTAATAATTCAGTTTTTATGGGCAATGGTGATTCTCTTCCCATATCTCACACTGGTAACTTTCCACTCTCTCTTGGTCAATCTCAATTCTCTCTTTGCAATGTCTTTGGTGTTCCTAGTCTCACCAAAAATCTTCTTTATGTTGCTCGTTTCACTCGTGATAATCTTATCTTTTTTGTCTTTGCCCTTAATTTTTATCGCATCTACGACTTACAAATTGGTGCTTTTCTCTTTCAGGGCCCCTGTAAGGATGGCTTATGTCCCTTGTCATTGTCTTCTCTTCTTGATTCTCCTGTCCCTCGAGCTTTCGCCACCATCTCCTCCTCCACATGGCACAACCATCTTGGTCATCCATCATCTTTAGTGCTCTCCCGTCTTCGTCCTCAATTAGGTTCTCAATTTCGTTTAAATAAGGAATTTAGTACAAGTTGTGCTCTTAGCAAGTCAACTCAACTACCATATTTTCCAAATCAAAATCATGCTCCCTCTTTATTTTATTTAGTGCACTCTGACGTTTGGATCTCATCTATTCCTTCTGTGTGTGGCTTCCGTTATTACGTCTTATTTACTAATGATTTTTCTCGCTATTCATGGATTTACCCTATGAAACACAAATCTGAGGTTTTCACTCACTTCAAAACATTTACGGCTATGATCAAAAATCTTTCTAACACTTCCATCCAATTTCTCCAAAGTGAATGGAACTGAATATGTTAATCATGTCTTTTCTGAGTTTTGCAAAACCTATGGCATCCAACAATGCTTCTCTTGCCCTTACACGCCCCAACAAAATGGGCTTGCTGAACGCAAACATCACCACATTGTTACCATCATTCGCACTTTCTTAGTCACATCCCAAGTTCCACATTGTTATTGGGCCGAAGCTGCTCTTACTGCAGTTCACTTAATTAATTTACTTCCCACCCCAATCCAAAATTGGGCCACTCCCTATTCTATACTCTTTCAGCGTCCCCCTACCTACTCGCACCTTTGTGTCTTTGGTGTTCTTGTTTTCCTCATCTTAGTCCATATATTCCTAACAAACTCCAGAGTCGTTCCTTAGAATGTGTTTTCCTAGGCTATAGTCCTTATCACAAGGGTTATCGGTGTCTTCACGCAATGTTTTATTTAATGAATTAAGTTTTCCTCTTAAGAATTTGCAGGTTGCCTCTTCGGCAGGAACAGTTGAACTTGATATTTTTCCCCAGCATGCTCTGCCTGCTCTGCTGGCCGCACCTTCTCCGTTGGCTCCCCTTACTTCTCCTTCCAATTCTGGCCCATACCCCCTTGCTTTAGGCCTGAGCCTCCTTTTTGGCCCCTGCCGATCACCAGGGCCCTCATCCTCTCCAGGCCCAATTCATCCTACCGGCCCACCTCTCTATCTAGCTTTAACTTCCCATACAGGCACATCTGCTACTGCAGGCCCAACTTCCACACCTAACACATCTCACACTCCATGCCCTAATTCCGCTCCAGGCCCATGCCTTTCCTCAACCCAGCCTTTACCCCAACTCTCTGCACAACATGCTCCTTCCACATCCGCGCAGCCCACAGACATATCCTCATCTTTCCAGCTTTCTTCGCCTGTGCCTGATCCTTGCCTTCCTCCTCCTGCTATGGCAGCGCCAACTCACCTCATGACTACACAGCATCGTGCTGGGATCATCCAACCCAAAACACGCACCGATGGAACCATACGGTACCCCATTACTCATGGATTACTTTCTGCTATTGACTTTACAAAACCCACTTGTTTTTCTCAGGCCCAAAAACATGAGGAATGGTGTACCGCGATGACAGAAGAAATCAATGCCATTCTCAAAAATCACACATGGTCTCTAGCTCCTCCTTCTCCCTTGCACACTTAAGTTGGTTGCAAATGGGTTTTTCAAATTAAGCGACACTCTGCAGGCCGTATTGAGCGCTACAAGGCACGTTTGGTCGCCAAGGGTTTTCACCAACAATCAGGCATTGACTACACAGAAACCTTTAGTCCGATTGTCAAGCCCGCTAGCATCCTCACGGTTCTCAGCCTTGCCATCTCTCGAGGATGGTCTCTTCATCAACTTGACATTAAAAATGCATTTCTCTATGGTTTTCTCAATGAAGATGTCTACATGGTCCAACCACCAGGGTTTGTGGATCCTGCCTAGCCTACCTACCTTTGCAAGCTCCACAAAGCACTATATGGTCTCAAACAAGCTCCTCGTGCTTGGTTTCATCGCATTAGCACTTTCCTCTTATCTTCTGGGTTCACCCAAAGTCAAGCGGATGCTTCTTTATTTGTTTATCACCATGGCCATCATCAAATATTCATGTTGTTATACGTTGATGATATAGTATTTACTGGCAGGCTGGCAGCCATCTTGAGGTACTCCAAGAATTCATCTCTACTTTAGGCAGTGAATTTGATATCAAAGATCTTGGGCCCCTCAGTTATTTTTTGGGCCTCCAGGTCACTCACTCCAATGGTAGTCTTCACCTATCTCAAGTTAAGTATGCTCATGACCTTTTTCAACATCATCACATGCTTGACTGCAAATCGACCTCTACGCCTCTTGCTGCCAAATCTTTTCTCTTAGCAACTGAGGATGAGTTGTTATCTTCACCTACTTCATACAGAAAGGTTGTGGGTTGTCTCCAATACCTCACCATCACTAGACCCGACTTGGCCTTCACGGTCAACTCTGTTGCGCAATACATGAGCGCCCCTCGTTCTTCTCATATGATCGTCGTAAAGCGAATCCTGCTCTACATCAAAGAGACCCTTGATTTTGGCTTAACTCTTCGTCCACAGTCACAACCTTCAAGTATTTGTGCATACTCCAATGCAGATTGGGTTGGGTGCCCGAACTCTCGTCGCTCCACCACTGGCTATCTGATCTACTTGGGCACCAACTCGATCTCTTGGTGTTCCAAAAAGCAGCCTACTGTCTCTCGCCCAAGCATGGAATTAGAATATCGCTCCTTAGCTCATGCTTGTGCCGAAACTACTTGGCTATCCTACCTTTTGGTCGAACTTGGTGTTCAACTTACCTTTCTCGTCTTTCTTCACTATGACAATCTCTCTGCCACTTACTTGGCTGCCAACCCTGTTTTTCACGCTCGCACCCGCCACATCAAGCTTGATTACCATTTTGTGCGCGAAAAGGTGGCCTTGGGCAGTCATCGCGTTTGTTTTATTCCGTCTATTGATCAGCTAGCCGACCTCCTCACCAAAGCACTTCATAAACCACGCCACCAACTTCTCCGATCAAACCTTGTCCTACCTAGCCCGTCCGGTTTGCGGGGAGGTATTAGTGAATCAATTCAGTCCGGTCAACTCTCCATAAATCGCTCCAGCCAACCTCCATCTTCATTGCCTTGATTAAGATAAATATCTGTAATTTATTGTAATCCCTAATTACTTGTAATTGGCTATAATTCCTGATTCTCTTACCATTTGTATCTCTATCATATTGTATATAATATGTACCCATGATAATAAAAAATACACTGAGGTTTATTTCTTCACAGCCCTTTTTATAAGTCTGAGAGAGAGACATTATAGGAAAGAGAGGACTAGGACCACTTGTGTGTTTTAATGATGAGAGAGAGATAGAGACAAGCCGATAGTTTCTCTCATTTTTCTTCATATCTTTTTACTTAAATTCCCTTCACATTTCATATGGTTACAAAAGCTTCAATTCAATTGTTTAATTATCGCTAGAATAAACGTTGCACAATTATATAATTTTATATTGTACGTGTTATTGTATCATAGAGAATTATCTCATTTTTTTAATAGACAACCAACTTGAACTATTAATTTCAGTTCAATTTAATCATTGTCGTTGTTGTGTGCATGCATAGCCATATTTTTTCTGATCAGCCTAAAACTTATAAGAAGCTAAACAAAATGGATTCAAATAAACAATATACTCATACCCTTAGAAAAAGGGAAAGATATATTATAAACACATGGAAACAATCTACTAAGTCGATGGTCCTATCACCTCCAAATCATTTCATCTGTTAGTACAATATCTGGCCAAACACCCCTAAGCTAATCCAACACAAAGGGCGAAGAGTCCCACATCGAAAAAACACAAAAAGATGAGACTCTCCCTCACTTATAAAAGGTGACTCATCTCCTTCAAGAAAGAAGAGAGTTAGACAGGCTACTAGGGTACCATATGGCTCATAAGGGCCTCATGGGCTTACTCCTAAGCCTATTTACAAGCCCACTGATCATTTGCCTTCAGCCAGATCCTCCGCCTTTGGCTTTCCGCCATTTGGCCATCAGCCTCGGGCATTCTTCCTCCTCTCCTTGGGTATAACCCTATGTGCAATGTATATAGTCTTTATCATAATGAGAACATACTTCTCCGTGGACGTAGCCCATTATTCGGGTGAACCACGTACATTTGTCTTCTGTATGCATGCCTATGTACTTACTGAATGCTCTCACATACCGAGGGTCCTCACCTTCATCATCATGCTCCTCATCTTTAAGTTGGTCTAATTACTACTGTCTAGTTTTTACCTCCAACAGATTGGTGCCGTCTGTGCGAAATGACACAAAGGGCTATGTCATTCTCCTTCTCCAGTGCCCTCAACACCCTACAACAAGTGCCTCTCGGCATCGACATTCGGCCCTCAGCCTTCGGCCATCAGCGTTCGGCCTTCGGCACCCTTCCATCATTCGGCGTGTGCGATGTCTTCACATCCCCCCAATGATTCGGCCCTCAGCCTTCGACATTCAGCCTTCGGCCTTCGACCTTCGGCACTCTTCCATCATTCGGCGCGTGCGATGTCTTCACATCCCCCTAATGATTCGGAATCGGCCTTCAGCCTTCGGCACCCTTCCATCATTCGACGCATGCGATGTCTTCACATCCCCCCAATGATTCGGAATCGGCCTTCGGCCTTCAACACCCTTCAACCATCAGCCTTCGGCCATCAGCCTTCGGCACCCTTCGATCATTCGGCGTGTGCGATGTCTTCACGTCCCCTCAATGTTTCGGAATTGGCCTTCGGCACCCTTCCATTATTCAGCGCGTGCGATGTCTTCACATCCCTCCAATGATTCAGAATCGGCCTTCGGCACCTTTCCATCATTCGATGCGTGCGATGTCTTCACATCCCCCCAATGATTCGGAATCGGCCTTCAGCACCCTCCAACCATCAGTCTTCGGCCATCAGCCTTCGGCACCCTTCAATCATTCAGCGCATACGATGTCTTCACATCCCCCCAATGATTCGGCATCGGCCTTCGGCACCTCATGATGAATCTTCACCCTTACAATGTCAAGGCATGCAGAACGGCACCTCCCAAGAGACATTTTTTCATTCCATTCCTACACACAAAAGAAAGTGAAGAATGATCTGAGGCATTGCTTGGCCAGTGCATTGACGACATAAGTCCTCAATCGTGAAGTACCTCCTTAATCGGGAACTTGGGGGACTCCTATTAGTACAATATCTGGCCAAACACTCCTATGCTAATCCAACACAAAGGGAAGAGAGTCTCACATCGACAAAACACAAAAAGATGGGACTCTCCCTCACTTATAAAAGGAGACTCATCTCCTTCAAGAAAGGAGAGAGTTAGACAGGCTACTAGGGCACCATATGGCTCATAAGGGCCTCATGGGCTTACTCCTAAGCCCATTTATAAGCCCACGGATCATTTGCCTTCAGCTATATCCTCCGCCTTCGGCCCTCCGCCTTCGGCCATCAGCCTCCGGCATTCTTCCTCCTCTCCTTGGGTCTAACCCTATGTGCAATGTATACAATCTTTATCATAATGAGAACATACTTCTCCGTGGACGTAGCCCATTATTCGGGTGAACCACGTACATTTGTCTTCTGTATGCATGCCTATGTACTTACCGAATGCTCTCACATACCGAGGGTCCTCACCTTCATCATCCTCCTCCTCATCTTTAAGTTGGTCTAATTACTATTGTCTAGTTTTTACCTCCAACATCATCTGTCAGCCACACAGCTAAAGAAATGTAACAAATACAAACCGTCAAAGAAAGGTAAGTAAAGAGTTATAAATCATACATACAGCCATGCGGAAGGAAAGGATATCCCAGAATGCGACTGGGATTCTACTTTTACAAATGGCCTCCTTTCTTATAACAATAACCAAAATGCATATCCTCTCTGTCTCTTGAGATGTTTAATTTTAGATATGCTAACAAATTAGTTTAAGCTTAAAGGAAAGAAAAGGCCTGGACCTGGAACATTTGTGTATCATCTTTTATTGCAAATTAGTTTTCGCTTCACTTTATCTCATCACGTTTTTTTGAATATAGCATAAATGTGCCTATGTTATGTTGGTTGGTTTATTGATGTTTTGTTTGTATTTGTATGTGGCCTGAAAGGAAGTATATTTCAAGACTTGCGTTTCCTCTCTACTTGTTTGTATTTTGAGGAGTCAAAAGAGTTCTTGCTACAATACTATAAAGCAACATGTTTTATTGTGGGATAAGCTAAAAATGAAATAGACGTGTCGTTGGGTTGGGTGTTGCTGTTTGTTGCTTTGCTATAATAATAATAATAATAATAATAATAATAGAGAGAGAGAGAGATAGATAGATAGATAGATAGATAGAGACAAAGAAAACTGTTTGGGGGTGGTCAAAATTCACCCAATTTGCCAAGGAAGAATTCCTAGCAGCCGGAGAATTCCTAGCGGGTTGGGATTCCTAGCGGGCGAAGAATTCCTAGCGACCGAGATTTCCTAGCAGGAGAGGATTCCTAGCGGGGAAAGAATTCCTAGCGGGGAAAGAATTCCTGGCGGGCAAGATTTCCTAGCGGCCGGAGAATTCCTAGCAGGCGAAGAATTCATAGTTGGCAAGGATTCCTAGCGGACAAAGAATTCCTAGCGTGCGAGGATTCCAAGCGGGAGAAGAATTCCTAGCGGCCGAAGAATTCCTAGCGGGGGAGATTTCCTAGCGGCCGGAGAATTCCTAGCGGGCGAAGAATTCCTAGTGGGCGAGATTTCCTAACGGCTAGAGAATTACTAGCCGCCGAGAATTCCTAGCGGCCGAAGAATTACTAGCCGTCAAGAATTCCTAACAGCCGAAGAATTCCTAACGGCCGAATTCCTAGCGGCCGAAGTGCTTTCTCAAAAATGCGGCCGAGGTCTTTTCTTCAAAGGTCATGGTGCCTTCTCAAAAATATGATTGTGCGTATCCTTGCAAAAGTGGCCAAATGCTTCCTTCTCAAAAAGTTGGGCTGGGCAATCCTTATATACCTTGGTCGGCCACTTCTCTTACAAAAAGCTAGGCCGGGGCGAATTTTCTCCTTGCACACCTTAGCACCCTCCTCTCAACACTTGGGCAAGCAAAGTTGGGTCAAGGGAGTTGAAGTTCAGCGGGAGATATTTCGACCGGGGGAGTTGAAGTTCGGCGGGAGGTATGTCCACCGATTTCCTGATATTCGAATATTTGAGAACTCAAATATAGTCCAATGTAGGGCCAAGCCCAATATCCAAATATTTGGAATTCCCATACCACCCACCTTGGTGGATGGTTAGCCAACTTTAGAATTCTAAAAACTCAAGGGGCATGAGGTTCTACTAGATGTCAAGATGAAATCTCGGAGGTTAAGGCCCAAGCCACAGATTCACGCCAAGATTTCCGGAGGTCAATATGCATGTGACGAAGGCCTCACAAGGAAACAAATCAAGGAGATTGATGATAGCTCAACATATTCCAAAACATGAGAGAATCAAACAATTAGAATATTTCCACCAATATAATCCCACGAATTCAAGGGGCTTCAAAAGGAAAGAGTTTTAAAAGAGTTGACATTTGGTCATTCAATGGCCAACCCACGAGCTAACAAATGCCCTATATAAACCTCACCAAACGAAGACAGAAGAGTCACAACATCAGACAGACAAACCTGTTTTTTGTCTCGCACTTTTCTTTTCCTAGACTTAGGATTTTACTTTTCATACATCTAGTGTAGTGAGTTCTTCCTTTTCTTAGTATAAGTTTAAATTCTCGTTTAATTTATATTTTCTTGTCATTTAAATTCAAGTTTATTTCAATTGCTTTACTTTTCATTGCTATCGCACTTCAATTAAGTTTAATTTCAAGTTCATTTTACTTTATTGTTTTTATTGCTTTCATTTCGTTCTTGCTTTATTTATCGCTTTGATTCATTTTATCGCACTTTAATTCTCGTCTTTACGTTATTTATCTTTCGCACTTTACTTTACGAATTTGTCTTTAAATTACATTTAAGTTTAAGCACCTTTACTTTACGCACTTATTCTTCGTTTCATTACATTTCACCTTCAATCTTCATCTCCACCCATTCCACATCATTTGGTTGCTCACATAAAGCCTTGACCTCGAGGTAGTGAAAAAACCTAGGCCGTGAGGAGGTTCCTTGCTCGGCCGAACAATCATTTTATTAAAGTCAGATATCGGACGCAACACATTCATCTACTCACATTCTATTCAAGCCCAAATTCGGGGCTTAATGGTGGCACGCCCCGCACTCAAAAAAGAAGAAGGACCAAAAGTTCCTTTCATCGGCCTCCCCGGCCGAAAATAGGGAAACAAAAATGCAGTAGTGGCACAAATGTACTATTTTCTATAATACCATTGGTTGGTCTAGAAACGGAAAAATGTGTCTTTCCTCCCTAGACCTAAGACCCTAATGAGCGAGGAGAGGAAAAGCGACTGGATTTGAGATTCTACTTTCCTTTACGGATAACCTCGTTTCGCTTGGAGACGAAGCTATTAATTATGTGAGGGAAGGAAGCAAGTATTGGGCTGCACTGCATGAGCGTACCAACTCTTTCTGATTAGCAATTTGGCATTGACCAAAAAGCACCATAATTTTTCACATTTTTTTTAGAGTCTTGCTTTTCTCATTGGGTGATACCATTGCAACCTATGGACACTAACTTGTTTAAAATCTCTTTAGTTGAGTTGAGGTGGAGCTCACCAATATAATATTTTCTTATATTTAGTCATTTTGAAATTTGATAAGTAACATAAAATTTACACATGAAACAAAGAGAAGAGGGGCATTTAAGAATTTTTGAGGAATTTTGTAATATTTTTACAAGATCACTAACATAAAATTTTATGTACAACAACATTTGATACGAGCCAGTGCCCACCCTAGGCATGCACTGATGTGATCAAGTTTTAATTGACGTTATTCTTGAAGTTATTATCTTGATTTTTCTTATTATAATTGATTAGAATACACGATAATATTTTCCGAACATAAATATGGCCAATCCATAGCCAACCTTGCTAGCTCATGATTGCCAGTCAGATTGAAGCAATCAAAGGAGCAACTTTCAGTACTCAAATGTAGCTAACTCAAAGTGCCGCGGGTAGGAAGTTGCCTATGATTTTTTCAATTGATATTTCAATGTAGAAAGATCGGTCGTTGATATTTATTTTTAATTTTTGAATGATAACTTAAACTCCTTAAAACCAATGAAGTTTTGACGCTTATCAAATTCCAGCAACATTAATAAAGTTTCAACAAAAAAGAAGAAAGAATTTTTTTTTTAAATTGACATGTGTCAAAATCACATTGATTGTAAGAATGAGCTCCTCCTCAATTTTAAGAAGCCAATCTTTTTCCTTATTATATTGATAGTTGTTTCTTATAATTTCAGGAATTTAACACAACGTACCGAAATTAACCTGCTAAATATGCAAAAGTCGTAGCTTGCACATCATGCAAGAAAAGAGAAGAAGAGAGAGGTAGCAAAAACAGGAAAGTAGAAGAGAGAAAGGCACATCAAGGCAACTTATTGTATGTAACCTAATTAGGACTCGGGATAGCTTACAAGTAACACATTAATATTTATATATATATATATATATATAAGCTTAAGAAGAGGAAGTTATATGTGAGTGAGTGACATATACAATATTGAGAGTAATAAACATATATATAGAAGAATTAAATAAATTAAGAAGATCAAGAAACTAAGAGCTCAAAGGTGAGAAAAAAAAAGTGTCGCAGAGTCTCAGTCTCAATCTCAGTTTCATATGGCGTTTTTGAACGTTAACTTTGGGGAGGTTAAACATGATGATGCAGATGGAGATGATCATGACTTGTTCTTCACACCCTTGTCATCCCCAACAACGTTGTCCCCAAAAAGGAAGTCCTCCAAAAAGTGGTGCAGCGCAATCTTGCAGCACATCAAGGCTCTTCTTCCATTCAAAATGCGAAGAAATACCTCAAGTGATGAGGCCAAGAAGACGAAGGAGAAGATGAACATGAGGACAAAGACGAAGAAATCGAGTTTCCTCCCTCCAGCATACGGTGTAAGAACTAATAGTGATGAACATAATTTCTCCACTGATGATGCTTTTGACAGATTTATGCTTTATTTGATGCCCTTTGAAACTAGCGGAGGAGGTCGGGTCTACGTTGATCATAATTATGAAGAAGAAACTCATGAATTTCCCAGATCAATCAATCCCCGGAAAAAAGTTACTTCGGATGATGATCTCTTGAATGAATTTATGCTTTCTTGGGAGCCCTTAAAAAATAGACGAGATCCAAATTATTTTGATGAAGAAGTTGAATTTCCAAGATCAAATATCGATCCCCCCAACACTCCTGAAGAAGTTGACGACATTGTTGCTCATGACAATAACTTCATGGCTTCTTCTAGGGTTTCTCATGAGGTTGGGAAGCCTTCCGTTTCGAAGAATATTGAGTACGTCCGAGCTGTTAATAATAATTTTGGTTGTAATATCTGCTTTGAACCCAAGGCTGCACACCAGTGGTTTGACATCAAAAATTGCAGCCATGGTTATTGTACGGAGTGCATGGTCAATTACGTGGTCTCCAATCTTCAAGAGAACGTCACAACCATTCGGTGCCCTGAACCTGATTGCGCATCAGGATCGATAGAGCCCGAGGATTGTGACTGGATACTTCCCCAAGAAGTGTTTGAGAGGTGGGAAAGCACGCTTTGTGAGGCTGCGATCCCCAGCTCTCAAAAGTTTTACTGTCCCTTTAGTGATTGCTCTGCGATGTTGATTATTGATGATGATGGGAGTGAGGTTGTGCGGCAGTCTCAGTGCCCGCATTGTCAAAGGCTCTTCTGCGCACAGTGTAAGGTTGCTTGGCACGCGGAGATGGAGTGCTGGGAGTTTCAGGAGTTGAATGACGATGAGAGGGGAAGGGAAGACATCCAGTTAAGGAACCTTGCAAACATGGAGGATTGGAAGAGATGTCCCAACTGTAAGTTTTATGTGGAAAAGAAGACCGGTTGCAATTTCATGAAGTGCAGGTCAGTTTCTGTGATCATAAATATATTTGTGAATCCCGTCTTCCACCATATACATGTCATAATCGAGAATTGTTGATTTAATAATTAACAATTTAAATAACATATTCTCAACAACAACAACAACAAAAAAGTAGAGACTAGAGAAGCCTCCTCACTGGACCAAACTCAACTTGTTTTGTTCAATATATACATATGAATCGATCCATTACTGCCCTATCTTATATGATGGGATTAATTTCTGTTTATTTGCAGGTGTAGAGCTACTTTTTGCTACAGATGTGGCCAGAGTTTAAGCTTGCCTAAAACCCAACGTCACTATTGTTCCTATTGTACGGGTTGAGTACATTTTCTACAACGTTTGATTATCATAGGATGTTTCAGAAATTTTGTTTACTTTTCACTTAAGTATTCGACAAGTAGGCTTCAAATTTTACGTACTTCTTTATAAAATCCTTCATACGATGACCTTACACACACAAAATTTCATCAGAAACAAGTTTCATTAAGAAACGCAAAATAGAGCTCAAAACAATTAACAAAAATTTCCCCATTAATTAAAATTAACAATAATTACGCACGTGATGAAAATAAAGAACCTCTTTTGTGTTTTGGTAGGTAGTTCATAGAAGAAAAGTATACGGTTTGGTTAATGATGCTGCATATGGTACACGTGGCAATTGGACAGTGGTGCACTAATAATTGAGCAACCTAATGAATTATGAAACACGTTTTTATTTTATTTTTATTTGGTTTTTAAATTTGACTTTATATGTGGCTTTGGCAATGTAATGTAATGTGAACGGTAAGGATCAATTATTGGGGAGAGGAGTGGCAGGCAATCGTGGGTACAACTGAGTCAAGGACGAAATCTGGGCCGTTGATTTCATGACTGCGCTGCACATCAAATCATATCAACCGACCGATATCAGCTATCGGCATTTTTTATTTTTGTTTTAGCAAAGTCTAAATTAAGAAAATTAAATAATTATAAAAAATTGATATATTTCACAATCTTGTTTCTGGTACGGCAATTCCAAGTCAATGCCAAGTCAAATGAGCGACACAATCACAATATTGGTTTGTTAAATTAAAAAATTTTGTTTTTTTTTGTTTTTTTTTTTTTTTTTTTTTTTTTTTTTTTTTTTTTTTTTTTTTTTTTTTATAATCAGTTCAGATTGTTTGGTGGTTCGTTGTTTGTTGTGTTCACACTATCAAAGAAACAAATTCAGGTCGGATTCGGGTCAGCCCACATGAAGTTGTTAACTTGTTACTAAGTTTTTTTAAGAACAAGCAGAATTTCGTTGAAATATGAGCAAATACAATAGATTTACAATGATAATACACCCCAAATGGAGGTAGAGCATACAAAATTTGGACAAAGTAAATTTAGCTAAACAATGAACAAAAAATACGGAAATTTCAAACTCATCTCACTAAGAGTTGAAAACTATATGATTAATAAGACTCCTGATAGCACCAGTGCTTCAAAAATCATGGTAAAACAACATATTTTGCTGTAACAGAGAACCTGAGTCACCAAAAGTAAAAGGGCCTTACCGCTCAACATTCACATGGCCAAAGAAGACCATAGCACCTCCAACACCCCAGTAATGAAAGATCTACATAGATCTGACAACTCCACATCCACAAAAGCCAGTCCAAGAAGACTGGTGAAAACCCAATACAAAACTAGGGAGAAACAAAACCCAACACAAAAATGGGATGAAAAATCTTTCTGCAACATGACGAGGTAGATAGGCGTTTGATTTAATAGCTGAAAGGTTTGGTTCTTGGGGAAACCCTTGGAATCAAAAGGGTTGCTAAGGAGAGGGGTTACACTGGAGAAGAAGAAAGGGCGATTGATTTTGGAGGGTAACTTGTTAATTGTTCAATAGTGATTCTAGTTTATGGAGTTTATCACACTATACCTTAGGTTCATGACATATTAACAATGTTCCGCACTTATATTAGCACATCGTGACGGGACTCATCATACTCGATATTTTTCATATTATATTCTAAGTTCATGACATCTCAATTATGTCACCCGTTCATATTATAATACGTTAACTTATTAGTAACACCACAAATGATAGCGTAAAATGTCATACTAAATTTTCTCTCCATTATTGCATGACCAAAAGAAAGCATATTTATTGTGTTATTTTAAGTCCAAATTAACCGTCCTCTAACATTGATCATGATGGTGTCTAATTAGGACTCTATTAAGTTTTTACAAAAGGTTAAAACAAATCCAAACCTTCCACCTTTTAAAATTTACTCTACAATGGTGACATAGGAGTAATAATAAGAATGAGGCTAATAAGAAATGATAACGGGGTCAACCAGATTAATTAACTCGAATAATTGGTATTAATGTGTTTTGATAAAAGGAATTAAAATAGTAAGCAAGGTCAGCTGAAGAAATTAGCCAAGTAATTATATGAAATATATTATATAAAAAACTATATGAATAATATGTGGACTGACTGAGCGGTCACCGAAGTTGTGGCTTTGTTTGGGTCTGTGAGATCTCCTTCCCTTTCTCTCATGTCTCTTTTAGAACAACAACAACAGAAAAATAGCAAACCATACAAAATTAAAAAAATATAAAATATAAAAAATAACATGTTCAATAATTAGGTCTCTGTTCCTTGTGTTGCTTGTAATTTCTTGTATAGCTAGGAGGCAGCTCTGGTCTTCCAACCCCCTTTTCTTCTCGAACCTCCCACAGCTCTTTCTATTTTTCCTACAATTTTTATTTTTCGTTGTATTTATCATCTTTTTGCGCCCCAAAATTTTCTGCTTCATATTCTCCTCGTCGCTTTTCCCTTCCATATAAAGCTTCCATTTTCAAAACCTCCGCTTTCTCTCTCTGTCTCTGCGTTTTCGCTGTATAAATATCCTGAATTATACGTATATATTCCTATTAGCTACATATTTTGCGCAATTATATTATTCGATCTCGGAAAATTGATTCTCCGCCTGCTTTATTCGATTTTTTATATTAAAGATCAGAGTTTTGAACCCCTCAATAATTACTTCCGCTGAATCGTTCCCAGATTTCAATTTCTCTGGTTTTGTTAATGGGAAGAGGAGGAGCTGGAACAGGCAAGGTCAAAGTCTGCTGCTGAAGGTTTTGTTTTTGGTTTTGTTTTTGCTCGGAATTTGATTGTAAATGTTGTATTTGAAGCAGCCAAACCCCACAATTCACACATGGGGTTCATTAGGTGAATGATTTCGAATAGTTTTTCACCATAGAAGATTTGTGTGCTTCGCTTTGATTCTTCTGTGCATGCCATTCTGATAGAAACCCTGAGCCTGAGGCTCGGGGATCTAAAATTCCAAACTTCAACGATGGCGTCCTCAGAGAATGAGCCTCTGTCTCACTTGGAAGACGAACCTCGTCCTCCTCCTCCTCAACATTTCGATATGCAGAAATTCAGGCTTTACGAAACTCGATCGGTAATTTCATTCAGCTCTATTTGTTTCATATAATGAAGATCTATTTATATTCAGTCTATTGCAATTTGTTATATTCCATAAAGGATTCTTCAATATTTTGGTGGGCTGATATTGTTTTCATTGTTTAATGGCAAAGTTGGAATCGGCAATGTGTTTTCTTTTGTTTATATGAACCATTTTCTTTCGGGGAGGTTTTTGATTGAATCTAAAATTTTGTAAATTTTGTAAATTTATGATATGTTTACTTATTTTTGCATTTTTATTAGTTCAGATGGTTTATTGTGCTTTGTGCGAATTGGATTATAAGAGTGTACCAACTTATACATTTTCTTTTCCCCGCAGAACTTTTACATGATTGGAAGGGACAAGACTAGAACTTATTGGAGAGTACTAAAGATTGACCGGTTGGATCCTTGCGAGCTTAACATTCGTGAAGATTCTACTACGTACACTGAAAGAGAATGTTCTGACCTCCTAAGGCGGATAAATGAAGGAAACAAGGCCACAGGTGGATTGAAGTTTGTCACTATTTGTTACGGAATTGTCGGTATGGGATTTTGATATCACATCTTGTGCATTTATTGCATAATCAAAATGATTTCACTGCTCATTGTCGCTTGCTTGTTTCAGGATTCATTAAATTTCTGGGGCCGTATTACATGCTTCTTATCACGAAAAGAAGACAGATAGGTGCCATCTGTGGTCACATGGTGTATGCCATCTCCAAGAGTGAAATGATCCCACTTCCAAATCCTTCTTTTCAGTCCAATATCGCTAATTCTAAAAATGAAAACAGGTCGTTAGTCCATTCCGGTTGTACATGTATTTAGTCTGCGGAAACAATGACCATTGTTTGGAAAAGTACTGTATTTTGAGAAATATTTTTTCTTATGTGGCATTCTTCTGGCTTGCTCTATTTGAACCTTTTTCGAAATTAAAAACTATATCTTATTCTTAGAACAGTTTAACTTGTTACATGTACGATTCCAAGCATAATGTCATAATATTCTATGAAGGCTTCTAGATTAGGATTAGTATCTGTACAATTTTGATTATTGAGGCTCATTTTTTTGGTTGAATTGTGGAAAGGGAAGCTGGAGAGGAGGTTTTTTAAGTGAAATCACACAAATATGAGCACAAAGTTCTGAGATTATTTATTTTTTTTTTTTTTTTTTTTTTTTTTTTTTTTCAATGGTGAAACATTGTGTAACCAAGGTTCATTGTGTAAAATCTTTTCTTATCCTTTGTTAGAGTTCACGATTACATCTGCCTTTTGCTATTATTTTTACCAAATGTTTTAATCTAAATTTTTTCTGGTTTTAGTTGTTAATACGTTCTCTATTTCATTGATGGCCTTAGATACAAGAAGCTCTTATGCACAGTGGACCTTACAAAGGACTTCTTTTTCAGCTACTCATACCATGTTATGCGTAGTCTGCAAAAGAACATGTGTAAGAATCAGACAGGACATGTCCTTTATGAAACCATGTTTGTCTGGAATGAATTCTTAACTCGGGGAATTCGGAATCACCTTCAAAATACTATTTGGACAGTTGCTTTGGTTTACGGCTTCTTTAGACAGGTGAGGTTTGAATGGTGTTTAGACAGTGTGGAAAGTAATAATTAATGCTTTATCTGGTTAGGTTAACAAAAATTTCAGGGATACTCATTAATGTTGCTCTTTTCATGTAACTAAGTTCCACCCCTCCTCCTCCCTCCTAAAGAAAAAAAGAAAGAAAGAAAGGATTTAGTACCTTACTGCCTTTTGATACAAAGGTGCTCACATCTTACGTGCATGGTTGAATTTTCGTATGTGGAGTGAGTTTAACTTTGAAAGTCTGTAGAAGATTATATGTTCAAATGAATGTGCTTCAGCATTTCTTAATTTGTTTAGATCTTTACCAGCTGTTCATTTTTCAAAATTGCCACCAAAACTTGGGTGTATGACTGTTCGTCCTCTTAAGCTTTACTATTGAATTTTGGACTGATGGCTTGATGATATTTAAATGTAGGCCACTCTCTCTATATCTGGACGTGACTTCAAACTGACCCTTATTGCAAGGCGTTCACGTCATTATGCGGGCACCAGGTGAGGGGGCATTCATACTTTGATTCTCTTATCCAATTCCATGCTTTTGACATAGATTAAGAAAATTGTATTGGCTTCCTGGTAACCTGTGTTCAAAACCAGTGGTTTCTCAAATATTTAAGGATGTTCGGGTGGTCCTTGCTTTCAAAAGAAGATAAAGTGATGGGACAATCTTTACCCTGAATGTCAAACTTGTGATGTGATATTTTCTTCTTAGTTCTCTTGTATAACGTATGATTGCCTGAAGCTGTGTAACACAGTTCAGATTATGGCTTTTTTCTTTCTATTTTTTTCCTAATATTGTCATTATATGTGGCTGCTGTCTTGTATTTGATGTTACCTCAAGTATTAGCTTTCTAGGCTTACATGCTTATGGGCATATGTGTAGATTGTGTATGCCTCATGTGTTGCCTTTACTCTTGTAGGTATCTAAAACGTGGTGTTAATGAGAAGGGAAGAGTAGCTAATGATGTTGAGACAGAACAGATTGTCTTTGAGGATGTTCCTGAGGGCTTTCCGATGCAAATAAGTTCTGTCGTTCAGAACCGTGGCTCAATCCCTCTATTTTGGTCACAGGAAACATCACGTTTAAATATCAAACCAGATATAATATGTATGTTCTTGCATAAGCAGTATCTCTTGAGGTTATTCTGTAAATTCCTGTAACTAACTTTTTTCTCCTGCCAGTGTCAAAGAAGGACCAAAACTATGAAGCCACTAGGCTTCACTTTGAAAATCTTGTCAAGCGATATGGGAACCCCATTATCATATTGAATCTGATCAAGGTAAAGTTTCTTTAGTGACCAATTCTATGTTGATGCTGTTCATCATGTTGCTTTCTGTAACCTGCATGTCATGAAGGAAACTGAATTTGAACCTAGAATCCACCTTTTTCTCTTAAATTATTTTGACATGCTATCTTTTGGTAGCCCTCTTTGTTTATGTATTTCCTTGTTATTTATTTGTTTATGTGTTTTTTTATTATAAATAATCAACAGACTCAAGAGAAGAGGCCTCGAGAGTCCATACTTCGTGCAGAATTTGCTAATGCAATAGATTTCATTAATAAAGACTTATCTGAGGAGAACCGTCTTAAATTCCTTCACTGGGATCTGCACAAACATTCTCGGAGGTAAAGCTTGTTTTTTATTTATTTTAATAATGTGGTACTCCGGAATTTTATCTTTTCTGAAAAATGGTATCCTTGTTTCCTCCTCCCATTCCAGCAAAGCTACAAATGCTTTACTACTCTTGGGCAAGGTGGCTACATATGCCTTGACGCTAACTGGATTCTTCTATTGCCAAGTTAACCCAGCACTGAGACCTGAGGGTGTAATTAAGTGGCCTTCCTCTGGGTAAGTTGCCATCTCATTTAATGGTTTTCTAGTTTTAATAATCTTTCTTCATGCAAGTTTTTTACAAATTTTAGGTCCGACAAATTCTCTCTGAGAAACCAATTTTCTGGTTGCTGTAAAACTGAGGAATAGTTTTCAGTTTCCTGTTGGGCATGAGCTTCTATGTTCATTACCTCATAAAGATGTAACTAAATAGCTAATATGATCTCATAACAGGTTTACTAGTGTACCTTGCTTTAAAAGAATTCTGGTTGATGGAACTTTGACAATGTAAATATGGAACAGGAATTTTGAAAATGGTGACTTATCTCCCCAAGAACATAGTGCTAATGGTAATGTGGATGCTGATAACATAGAGAAGACACCTAGTGGAAGCAAAAATATTGCAAATGGTAATCATTCTGTCAAGCCATCCACATTCCAAAGTGGGGTGCTTAGGACCAATTGCATAGACTGTCTGGATCGCACAAATGTTGCTCAGTATGCATATGGCTTGGCTGCGTTGGGACACCAGCTTCATTCTTTGGGAGTTGTAGACAATCCAAAGATAGACCTTGATGCTCCTTTGGCTGATGATTTGATGGGATTTTATGAAAGAATGGGCGACACACTTGCGCACCAGTATGGTGGTTCAGCTGCTCACAATAAGGTGAGGAATTTGATCTGGAATGTTTGTTTGTTGAACTGAGTCTAATAAGCTTTGGGATCTGAATGTTGACTAGAATTTGGCCTGCTTAATTTTTAGGTATACGGTCATGGACCTTACATACTAACACCCGTAGACAAATTTTTATTTTATAACTCAAAAAATAATTGGTAAATAGTGACCTTGATTCGTTAATTGTCTATGGTTCCTTGATTCTTTAATTTTCTATGGTTCCTTGATACACTTGAAATTGAAATTCTGTATAGATATTTTCTGAGAGAAGGGGTCAATGGAGAGCAGCAACTCAGTCTCAGGAGTTCTTTAGAACTCTTCAACGGTATTACAGCAATGCTTACATGGATGCAGAGAAGCAAGATGCAATTAATGTGTAAGTTCTGCATTAAGTATTACCTGTGTCTGAATTCCAGCACGTGTATGCATGCATGCACATGTTTATATTTTTTGGTTAAATAAATCCCTGTCAAGAGTTCTGTTTTAAACCTCAGCTTTGTAAAAGTGTAAATTATTTCATTCGATTGTAGAAGTCCTTTTGTGGTTGTTAATAAAGGTTATATGTAAAGTTACAGTCATCTCTGTTACTGCCCACGCCAGAAATAAAACTGTTGTGCTTAGAAGTTCCTGTCAGCTGATCCTTTCGTTGATTTATGTTGATTTTTCCTTTAATATTTTGAGCAGATTTCTGGGGCATTTTCAACCACAAGAAGGTAAACCTGCATTGTGGGAATTGGATTCAGACCAGCATTATTACTCTGGGAGGGATGAACCAAAAGATAAGGATCTAGATGGAAGGTATGTAGTAGCCTAATCAAAGTCTCAAGATTCGTCATTTCTGTCAGATAGAATAAATTACTTCGAGTCTCCATGTCATGCTGGGTGTGCATGTTGGTAACTTGGTCTATAGTTGGATAAACTTAATTTTATCATCTTTTTGTCCCATTCTATGTTTTAAGCCACATCACGGGAGCCTTCTTTTAAAAAAGCTTTTAAAATTGAAATGTCCAAGGGGAATTAATCGGCACTTTTTTGTGTGCTAACTGATGGGTGTGTCCTGTGTTGTTTCAGAGGTGCAATCTCTATGAAAAAATTACAATGAACTTTTACAAGCTTAACCTTTTCTTAACAAGTATCATAATTATTAATGAATATATGGGTTGTTTGTTTGATATTTTTAGATTTTTGCTACCGATCTATGACTCATGCATATTAATTTCTGAGCCATTTGCTCAACTGATTTCCTTTTTATCTGTAGGTCCATTTTCAAAAGATCTTATTCCGACGGTAATATTCTTCGTGAAAGCAGCTCACCTATGTCATCACCACATGTTAAGCCGGAGAAATTTACTAACTCCTGTATGCCAGATCCATCACAACAAGAAAGCAAGATTCTTTCAGAGTCATCACCTGATATATCAACTTCTGAGAGTGATATTGCCTATTCAAGGTTTGTCTACATCAGTCTTGTTTTGGTTCTGTAGTTTTCTTGGTAGATGTAGAAAAGGAACAGCTATGTGTTCAGTGCTTGCATTGCTGAAACGTGGTGAAGTAGAGATAAACTATCAAGTTGGCATTATTACGTAATTTATCTTAAAAATGGAAAGCAATCAAGAGAAGAAACTTGTCAAAGAGCACATGATAGAAACTAGGAAGTAAAGAAGGCAGTATAATTTTGTAATGAATCCTTTATTCTCTCCTGTCAGTATTTACATAATACATTACAAATATGATATATTTGTTTGTGAAATGAATCCTTTTGTATTCACTCTTGTAAGATAAGGCCTTTTAGTTGTCTTTATTCGAATCATGTGATTAGGTAACTTCTGTTGCTTCCTTTAGCTTCAGTAAATTGAGAATATTAGTACGTCCATAATAACAAATATATACTGACATGATAATGAAGCATGTATTCCTGGTAGTGTTTATTGTTAATTTTTTAGTTGACTACTCCTTTCAAAAGTCCCTGCAATGCACATGTTTCAAACTTTTTTGAAGACAGTTTAGGATAGTTTTTGTTGTCATTTTGATGTTCCAAGACGCTGATTCAGCTTTTATGTTTCTGTGTTTGTCTGTAGGTACACTCCCTCAATGCCTCGCAGGCAACTTTTTGGAGAGTTGCAGAGATACCGGTGCCTTGAAAGTGATCATGTGTACTATTCTGAACGTGGAGATTCATACAACTTCTCAAACTTTGTTGACCTAGACTGGCTATCTTCTTCCGGGAATTCTTGTGAGGAGGAGCCATTCGAGAGGTACTTTTTAGATTGACCTTTGAATTTATTATGTTCTTATTGATCCTGGGAAAGAAGCAAATGATTGTGAATTCTTAATAGAGGATGGAAAATCCTAAAGGCCTGTTATTTCCTTCCTTTTCTTTATTGGGGATGGGGGCAGAACATTATAATTTGGCTGAGATTTGAGATGTAACGATTGCAGGTCATCAATACTGACCAACTCTCCAATTGAGGGACTATCGTCGGAGAATGTTGTTAATGGAATAATGGGGGATTCTACCCCCTCTACAAGTGAATATGGATCCGGCTTGAAGGTCAGTAACCTTCCTTCCAAATGCTAGAAACATTATCACACTTAATATTTGATGTTGGTTTTACAACAATTTATAGTTTTGGGATGAAAACCTTTTTGATTTATTAATTAGCAATAGTTAATCAACTGATTAATTCAAAGATGCAATAAAATTTGGTTCATTCGAAAATATTTTCCTTCGCTTCAACATATGACATCAAAATGTTTATATTTCCTTCTGTTGCTGCCTTTTGGTTTGTAGGGGAAGGAGCAGACAGGACCAAATTTATCCTTTAATAACGGAGAGAGTTCCAATGTTCTTGAGGAATATCCAGATAGCTTTGTGAACTGGGTCAACTATGGAGAGACACTCTGCCACTGAAGTTTGAATCATTTTTCCTCAATAATACATTTCCTGCCTTCATTTGGCTCAACCATTTCTCCAAAGATGCTGGTCCATGGATGAGAAACTATAGAGTGCATGTTAGCGATATCAGGAGCAAGGGAGAACCAAAAGCAGTGGAACCGACATTCATTGGGAGGATATCATTCCTGGAGGCAATTGTGCTGGTCCTCGTGTACGATACAACATTGAGTTCGTTCGTCATGAAAATTTCAGTCGGAAGTTATACCAAAGTACAAAAGAGTAAATAGTCAACAATTAAGATTCTTTAGGAGCTCTTCCTCCATCAGTTCATGGATAATAGATTTTAATCTTGTAAATATTTTGCTCGTTGGAGCTCCACTTTAGAATTGCAGGCCATTGATTCTTTATTTTCCTTAATGTTAATTTGCGGACCCGCATAAAACTAACATTGTTGGGTAAGTGTTGCGGAGTATCCAACTGTTGTAGAACTGGTGCAGCCATTCTTGCCTTTAAGCGCTAATTTTAGGCCTTAGCCTGTACGACTTGGCGTTTGATTGAAAGACTTCATTGTGTGCTGTACTTTGAAGGCCGAAAAATGTATCCCTAAATGCAAAAATAAATTGTGTCCAAATCGGCCAAATAAAAGATTCAATATTCAAGTCAGTGTGCCCGCTCCTTTATATCTGAGTTTAATTCCCTTTTATGTACATTAGACAGTAAAAAGTGAAGGATTCATTCGAACCAATCATAGATTTTATTGAAATAGGTAAATCACGGAGACTGTCCCCCCGGGAATATCCAATCCAGCTTAGTTGAGTTAATTGTGCATCACATCAAATTTGAACCCTTTGTCCAAATCCAGAAATACACGCATGACATTCTCTAATTGTTACCGCAATTCTTGAACTGAACTGTTTCCATCCCCAACGTATAGAGAACAAAGACTACATGACTATTGAAGAAGGTAACAATTTTTACTGATTACAAATTTACCACATGGAGGTTACCAGTGGTAATTCACCACCATGGTCAATTGACCCGAAACGTTGGTGGTAGTTTGACCAAAATTTCTAAGAAAATGTCCGACGAGTTTTGAGTTGTGTGGAAAACCCCTCGATGCCAATTGCCTTGCCCCGTGACTCTGTTGGTGCAGATTACCAAGCAGAAATGCAAAGCTTTGAAACTGCCAAGAGCAGCGGTCAACCCAAACGACCAAAATAGCCGAAAGCAAGAAGAGCGTAGCGGGACAGGAGGTATAGAGATGGTTTTTTAATGAGAAAATTGATAGCCCAAATAAAATTCTACAAAAGGAATCCCGCAGGTCGCGTTTTAGTTTTCAACAAAACTCAAAAGGCAAACAGAATAAAATAAAGCTACAGATGACCATATAATCATTGAAGTTATAGCTGCAAGTGGTCTGAGAATGCTGAAGCTCGTGCTGGAAATATGGGAAGAAAAGTCCAGCAGCAGATAAATCGGCAGAAATGATTATCAACCTAGAATGGGGAAGATACGAGCCACGTGCTCTAATGGAATGCCATCGTCTGTGCTCTTTTTCAGCTCTGGATGGTTAAATTCATTTCGAGGCAGGACAATGAGTTGACCCCTTCCATGACCTTTCTCAAGAATCCAACCACTATTGGCTACATGGTGCTCAAGGAATTTGTCCAGGGATAAGCCTTCAATATTGATAGCCTGTATACCACAACTAAATATAAGTCTTGCAGACAGTATACAAAGCAGTTGAGGATATTTTAAGACCTCCCAGAGTAAAAGTATTCCTAAACAAAATGTGATATGTATAAAATTGAAGCAGATACCTCAGCAAGCACAGATCGGGGAACCCTTTGGTACGTCAAGGAAAGAACATGAATTGCATAGGCTTGAATTGCTTGCTCAAAACCTGCAATCAATTCTCTTGTAAGTGCATTACATACCACATAACATAAACACACAATACTGAGAAAATATGCTGGTAACAAAACCAGTAGCAGGACATCATCCATAACAATTCCATAAATCGAATACCTGGGACAGCTTCAACTATGTGACGATTCTTGGATGCTTCATCCCAGAATTGACTGAACCTTCCGGTCTGCAAAAGGAAGAAGTAGCTTTGTAAGCCATGCATAAGTACTGAATCCAAAGACCACAGACACCACATATACCTCCAAATAGTGAGATAGGACAATGAGTGTCTTAAACTGCTCCTCCATTTGCTGATAAAGAATTAGAGAAAACAAAAGAGGGGATTAGCTGAAAAACATTCATTGACCAAAAAAGTTCAATAAGATTCAACCTCCAAAACAATCTCAGATTTTGATAATGAAATTCATTGCAAAACATAAAGAGATGACGAAACTAATCAGAGCTGAATAACCGAGGAACTTGGATACCACTTTGTAATTTTGACACACACATACATACACACTGCAGAACCCATTTGAACACTTTGTCACTCATGTTAACAAAAATAATGAAATTCCAACCGGGTATGTAAGAAAATGAGAGAACTTATACCACTCTTTCTGGGATTAAGAATAGACAAAGGCCAAAATCAGGGGAGGGCATTGCCATCAGTGCCTGCACATTAATACACATACAAATAAGACAAATTTCTTACTTTTGCATTAAAAATAAAACTAAAAGAAACGTTTTACAGCAATAGGATTTAATGCAAACCTTAACCAAGATGCGGGCAACAATTTGAGTGCTCATCCGGTCCGGCTCAAACTGCACCCAGGAAAAAAAAAATAGACAGATTAGTTTTGCAGTAAATTACAGAATCTAAAACACAAACCAATTTTTAAAGAAAAACCCAGTTCTCCTATTACCTGATAGATGCGAAGAAGGCAGAGATTGGCATCGAGATTATAAGTTTGTGAAGAAACCTAAAACATTGAAAAACAAATATAGGCCAGTCAATCAATCAATCAATAATTTATTCAATTAAAAACTAATTAACCCAAATATTAGCATTCATTCATCAATAAGATACAGAGACATACCTGCTCGTTAACGTAGTTTTCAAGATCGGAAAGCATGTCGGGGTTGTACGGATTCACAGCCAGCAGCTGCTCCACCGCCAACGCCACCTGCTGCTGCTGTTGTTGTGGAACCTCTCTCCCCATTGTTCCGATTTGGGTTTCTTTTCTTCTTTGTTTATTCGAATAATCTCTCTCCGTAGATTTTGTATCGTCGTCTCTCCTTGAGTTTCGATAGCTTGCAAGTACACAAACAACACGGGAGCGAAAAAGGGTTTGAGGGTTTTGGCTCACTCTGGCCTATACTTTTGCGTTAACGATTACAGCCGTTTCAAATTACCTATATACCCCTTACTTCCGTTCCTTTTCTCTCTTTTTCCTTTCTTGGATTTTCTTTTTTGGTTGGGTAAATTATAAATTCAAGGCCATGTTCACCTATATACCCCTTAATTCTTTTTTGGTTGGTAAACGGAACTTTTTTTTTTATATGGCCGAAAATGAGGGGGGAATCCACACACATAGGTATCATGGGGGATTAAATTTAGGATTATTTGGGAGTGCATAAAACGTCTGAGGTCAATCCAACTAACACCTTATTCGTAAGGAAGTTGCTTACTTGAAATGGTGTTATTTTGATTGTATGGAACATATGTTAATTGTTGTGCAAGCAAAATTCTATGTGTTTTCAGCTCCATTAGATAAAGAAAAATACACAAACATAGAGAAAGAAAGAAAGAAAGTCCACGACACAATATAAGTAGTAATTGAGTAAGTCTTATTATTGTTTCAAACCAAAATTATTACATATGCAACACATCATTCCTTATTTATTTTCTGCAGCAAGACCTTCGTATTGCATGCAAGTACGCCTAAGTAGCCAATACTTTAATTAATATGGTTATTTTTGGAGCAGCTCTTATAGCATGAATCGACGAAGCCTTTCATATAGCGCTTATCTATAATGTCAATTAAATAAAACCAAAATAAGAATATCAGTGTTCGAAATATAATTTCAAACAAGAGAGAGAGAGAGAGAGAGAGAGAGAGAGAGGAGAGAGAGAGAGAGAGAGAGAGAATTACCAGAAGACGTAGTTGTGGTGGCAATGGAGTTGGCACAATTATGTGTACAATTATACACAACATCCGAAGGTCCAAACTTGCATTTAATCATGCACATGCCAAGGTATATTAGATTCATTATGCATTTTGTCGCACATCATACACCACAAGGAATAAGATGGCCATTTGGAAGGATCGGAGACATCCTCAACTTGACCAAGAGTCTTGCCATTTTGAGCCACATTGGTATAAGAAGGGTTGATATCAACTTGAGCTATTGCAAGAACAAGCATGTGCTCATCAAAACCACAGCCCTCAACACAGCATCCATTGCTCCTAACTTTTCTTTGTTTTTCTTTTTCCTTCAACTCTATTTGATTGTCGAAGTTTGTTGGTGTTGGAAGTGGAAGCCAAAGCCACAATTTATGGGGAGACCCTTAAACCCTTTGGCCATCTATGGTTCTAAGCATGATTTGGAGCTAATTACATAAGCTGTAATGAAGCCTAGATTGAAGCGATACATGCATGAATATCCTTTTGAGCATCATTGAAGGTGTCTCTTTCGATTTCACGGCGATGACAAGTGAAGACCACCCACAGTTCAGTCCAAAATATTTCTCTGGTGAGCCTCAAATTTTTATTAATTGCTGGATGTAATTCAGGCGGTTTTGTATTCGTAATATATATTCTGAGCTGTGTGTATATTTGTTTTCTCATTCTAGGGATTTAAAGAGGATCCGTGTTGTATTTCTATTTCAGTTTTCAAACAAAAGAAAAACCATAGTAATATCCGAGTGTAAAAAACATCCATGGTGACGGTCGCACCGGAAGATTACTCCAAGGCTGCGAGGCTTTCAAGCAAGCCCTCAAGGTTGGCAATATTACTACTAAAATAACCATTTACATTCATTGAAATTGCAAATTAGTACATACATCACGATTCTTGTTCCTGGATGCACAGCTTACATAACAAAAAAATTTACACTACTGTTTTACAGATTCAAGAGATTTGATATCAAGTTCCAGCCCATCCATGTCTTCTTATCAGAAGGGTGTGCAAAATTGAGTTCAAACATCTCCTTGCTAACATGTTCACCAGATTCACAGAAGCCCACCAGCTTGGCAACAATTTCAGCACTTTCATGTACATGTTGCATGTTATGAGGATCTGTCCACAATTTGTTCACCAGTTGCAGCCTCCTCTGTTTTCCTCCTGGTGGAATCTCCCATTTCACATATAGCATTTCTCTTTCATCTGCTGTCAGTTTAGAACTCACCCTCTTAGCTAAATATTCTCTTTCTTGCTTTAGAGCCTTGATGCTGCAAAATCCATACATCCAAGCAAACATATTGTCACAAGTTCACAAATTAATAAATATATCAGCAGATTATTACAAGTACTTTTGGTTAGTCTTATAAGAGGATTAAAACTACTTGGGATGTATATACCTAGCTGAGACTGAGCCTGCAGGTTCATCGCCTAAAAGTGCCGGACTTGCATTGCCAAGATCCGAGAAGTGTCTCTCCAGCCATTGCAATCTTCGAAGTTCCACTTCCATGTAAATCTGATCAGTAGGGTCTCCCTTGAATAACATATAAAATTGTGTGCGGTGTATAATTGAAACATGGCACAAATGCCACAGCATGACAATTTCCTTCCTCTCCTCCTCAAAAGTCAGCTGCCATGTCTCAGGAAGAGATTCGTCAATTTTATCTGGCTCATCAACTCCAGCTTCTTGATCTTCCTCCAATGCAATAACCTAAAAACCATATATACCATATAAAAAACGGTGAAATAGAGTAATGATTGTTTATCCCTTATTTTTTTCCTCCTAGCCGAGTTAAGCAAAGCATTAGTTGATAGAATTATAAATATTGGGGGGACACAAATAAAATGCTCATAATTCTACTGGACCAAAAAACAAATTCTAGTTTTCAGTCCTCATGAGTTACATTGACGGACACATCTCTACTTATATTGTGAGAAGGCATAGAGGACGAAGGCAAAGTAAATGTCTGACAAAAGGAAATGAACAATTTAAGAAAAGCAAAACTAACAATCTCAAAAGCCAGAAGTTCATGTCCAATCAATATGCATGCATGTATGCTACTTGACTAGTACACCACATTGAACAATGCACAAATTTCTTGTGGTAATTCTATAGCTCTAAGGAAAATGTTTCTTACCTGGCACAGCAGAAGGTGCTTTTGGTATGAAAGCTTCGTCACCCGTTCTTTTAACTCAGTAACATAAGCTTTAATGCTCCGTATATTCTCCTCAGCAGCATTCTTGAACAACCTCTGCATTTTCTTCACATTAACTGTGTTTGAATGCTGCACAGCAGGACTTCCCTCTTTGGATGACTTATCGCTCTTTGGTGGAGTAACTTTACATCTCCCAACCACTGTGTCATCAATAGGCATAGCATCGTTGTTCTCAGGCACCTTGTTCTCAGTCTCATATTCCATCACTTTACGAGAAGGGGTCAGGGTTGAGCAAGGGGAGCGAATCAGATGCTGCATGTTTGCACTATTGCTCAAGTTGAAAGGAAGGATCTTTTTCTTTTTTGATGGAGTCTTGCATTCTGAAATTTCCTCACTATTTGTAAAAGAAAACACCAGCTGGTCTATAGATTTCTGAACATTCTCAAGCTTCCTTTCTAAAGATTGAATATCTTTTGCCTGAGATTTCCATCGAATGATTTCATCTTTCAGGTTGGCCCCATCTCCAGTCACAGATTCGTCAGCAATGGATCTAACAGCTTGTATGTCCTTTATTTCGGACAGCAGCTTTGCTATAGTTTCAGCAGTTTCTTTATTTCCCAGCTGATGGGAAGCTACCTCCTTATGCAGTACTTCAAGTGCTCGATTTGCCTCATCACCAAGCTGCCTCTGTCGTTCATCGAGCTTTCGGATTTCATGCACAAGCATGGATGGGTCTGTAGAAGTAACTGATCTCCTCACCATTGCCTTCCTTTGAACTGGAGCTCTGGTCTGAGACTGTGGAGTATTGCTACTATGAATAGGAACTGTTTCATTCTCTCCAGGAAAAGAAAGACACCTGGCGACTTGAGCAGAGGGCCCAAATTGGTTCGATTCCTGAAATTTTTATATGTCAAACAATTAAGTTAATGCATGTGCATAAAAATCATAAACATACGCAAACAATACTAGTACCTTCTGCACTTTCTTTACTTTGCGTTCTGATTCAAGTTGTGACTGTGCAAGGTCTCTTTCTCGCTTTAGCTCTTCCATTTCCCTCTCCATCTGTAAAATGAAGTTTCTTTACATTTAGGAGTAATCACATAGATAAAAGGATGCCATTTATGTTCAGTTCCTTCTTTGTGGTGTGGGGGCAAGGAGGAATTATCCTTTGCCACTATTTCATATTGTCCTTTTCTGGTTGATAGAAATTATATGAGCCAAAATGATCAAGTCAATGACCATGACCTTTATAAAGGCCTTCCCATAAACTGAATAGTATCCTTCGCCACTATTTTGTATTGTCCTTTTCTGTTCGATAGAAATTATATGAGAAAATATGACTTTGAATTCAAGTCAATGACCAAGACCTTTATAAAGGCCTTCCCATCAATTGAACAGTATCTCTAGGACTCGAGGTTGACTAGCATCCTGCATATTTGATGAACATAGAAAAACCTTGTATTTCTAAGTACCATACCTGTTTGATTTTCAAGTCCTTTTCTTCTAGTATAGACATAAAATAGGAAGGCCCTGGACTTCGTTGCTCTGCTTCAAGTCTGGCTATTTCCTTCTGCAAATTATGTATATGAGGTCAGGCTGGTTTCATCTTAAACCCATTTACAATAAATTAATAATGAGGTTCCACAATCTAGAAGAGAAGGAATTGCTGTTAATTCTTGTACCATGTTTATTTTCGCAGTATTAGTGACTTCCTTGGCACTAGTTGCAAATGAGAGCGTGTTCCTTGTTTGCTCTACATGACTTAAGGCTGGGCTTATGGTGCATATAATGGCTGTCCGAGCATTTCCCCCAAGTGAAGACTGCAGTATTCGTGTAAGTTTTGAATCCCTGTATGGTATGTGACCACATCTTTTCACCACCACAGAAAAAAAAAAAAAAAAAAAAAAGTGAGACAATCAATCGCATGCACTTACATGTTCAAAAAATTACAAAGCCTTGAAAGTCTCCACAATTGTCCTCAAAAAGTAATTTTCATTTTGGGATGCCACTGATGAGCAGGGACTTTCGTGCTCACAGATGAGTATCATATCATGACTTTGTGTGTGTGTGTGTGTGTGTGTAAATTGGAGCTTTCCTTGCTAAAATGACAATAAGTAAATTTCTAAAACTTTTTTGGCCTGCAAATCAAAGCGCAGGGTTAGGATAAGTTGAACTTCGAAGTATAGCTCTATAGGAACAAAAACTACAGAGTTTCTAAGCTAGGAACATTTGGCACTTGCTTACCTTAGCTTCCTGATGACGGTTGTGAGTGTCAACAAGCTACGGTTAATGTGACTGCCTTCCTTCAATCTTGTACCATCTGCATTTGTTTGGGAGGCACGTTCACTTCCAGCAAGGTCCACAAGATTCTGCAGAATTCCAGAATTCTATTCAAATTCTAGTGAAGAAAACTGCATTTGTTCAATACCAAAAACCTGAGTGTGACTACACATACCAAACTGGCTCCAAATGACTTCACAGACCCTGAACTCTCCCGGAGGCTGCTTTCGATGGTCTGAAAAGAAAAAGAAAAAAAGGAATCATTAATTCTATCCTTATTCATGGACCAGTCAAAATGCTTACATGCGTGCTGGCTCATGTCTGCTACCTATGACATTAATTATGCAGAGGAAAAATGATAAAGCTATCTACATGCCTGAAACAATTGAACATTGCAATCCTACATTCCAACTCAAGGAAGGAAAATTCGAGAATAAAGGAGGATGTGACAAGTTCATAATGCAGTCTTCATACAAGCTCAATATTATAGTTTACCATTCATAGAACATTTATTTTAAGAAAGAAAATCTAAGGAAAAGTTCATCAGTATACCAGCCTGATTATCTGGTGCGATCTTGAGCTTTTATCATTTAGGGCAGTTTCTCCCACTTGCCTTTGAGCTGCAAAGACAACTTTTGCAATTAAAAGATCATACAAACAGAGAAGATGATACAAGGATCATCTTACCCAGTGCAGGAAGTTTTTTACATTTTGTCACCAATTCTGATTCATGTGGTAAATATAAAAAAGCATAGATGCTACGTTAAATCATGGAATACAAGACTTAATAATTGTACAAGACATATGAAAATGGGAAAATATGTTCACTGGATGATAAGAATCGGATAGATACAACACATTTATTTATTGGAACAACAATACTACAATAGTAAAGCCTGAATTCCAAGAGTCACCTCATATGTTGGCCAAACACCTTACAATTTTCAATGAACTTAAATTAACAGATTACCTTCACATGTTTCAATTAATTGCCTTAAATGTTGGCCATCCTGAACAATTTGTTCATGTGTTTTGTCCACAATGGTCCCTTTCTACATTCAAAAAGGGCATGAAAAGTTAACATGAAAAAGAATATATTTGATCTTCATTAGGAAAATTTATAGTAAGTACCTCAGCGTCATCCAAAAGCCGCAGTGAAGTAGATTTGCGTTTCAGAAGGTCAACAACAGTTTCATTGTAGATCTCCAAAGCAGAAAATTTCAAAACAAAGTCCCTCTCTGGCGTCTATGAGATAAAAAAGATAGCAACAAAGGCATAAGTACTAAAAGGTTATAGGAATTTCCATGCATTTATATTGTTAAACGTTCAACATGATTCATCTTGAAGTAATTTGTCATGTACGCAGTGTTTTTTCATACTACTTTCCCATGATCCTAAAACTTTGCCCTTGCAATATGAAGAGGATTCCAATTCCAAAAACCATATAAAACATATTGGTATGAACAATGACTTACATTCTTGATGTGTTCAAAGATGTCTTTCACGGCATGTTCAGTTATTCCTCTCATGGTAAATGTCTTACCACTACTAGTCTGCCCATATGCAAAAATTGTGGCTGCCAGAAAAATAATGTGGAAATGTTGGAACTGGCAAAAGACCTTTTGGCACATTATGAAACGGATCTAAATCTACAAGTTACCATTCATTCCTGTAAGTGCAGATAAAGCAACATCCTTGGCTCCTTCTTCATAGACCTTCTGAGTTGAGCACATCGGGCCAAAAACCTTATCTGGCACATGCAAACAACAACAAAACTAATTATTTGAGTAAAAACAACTCTGCTCAGAGGGTAACCCCCCTAAAGAAAAAACAAAAAGTACTTTCTTAAGGAAAACGAAAACATTACAACAGTTGTATTTCAAAATATTTTCACAAATCCAAACTTCTATGCTGTTGTCAAAGGTAACATAATAAGACTGGTGAAAGCACAAGAAGAATATAAAACTTTTGATGCAAGCCATACCAAAGGTGTATGGGTTTGCAGGCCGCTCATGATTTGGATTCTTGAAAACAATAGTGTGCTCATCCAGGCAGTCCCAAGAGATAAGATCGTACATTGCTTGCTCTCTCCGGTTAAGCGGCCTCAAACGAACAGTGACTAAAATTTTCTCCTCATGAACTTTTGAACCACCCGGAGTGGAATAAAGGTTCCTTCGGATTTTAGACAATGGTGTTGCCGGTGTCCCAGGCATCATCTTCACTTACTAGCCTCCACTCTACAATACCAAACATTTTATATCTTAGTGGATAGCTCTAAGCACAAGACGTCCCCATCAAAGTAATTCATTTATTGTGCAACGTAAGTTATCAGGTGCAGAACACTCTGATTTCAGTAACAATAAAAATTTCAAGGATCTCATCTGGTTCTTGATAGAAACTAAACTAATTCTTGGATTGCAAAACTTAGCAGAAACAAATTGGGGAGAAGGAAACCCTAGCTTCAGGAACAAAATCAAGCATTGGCATACAGAAATCACGTTCACATCATCCTAATCTAAAACCTAAAACACTAAACCGAAACTGTCAGACTTGTTTCGAATTCTTGAACTGAAAAGTAAAAACTACTTTTCAAAAACAAAAACAAAATTTGAAAAGAAATCAGTGCATTCTACATCAAGCTTCAAGAATCTATAGCACTGAGATCATCAGAAACAAAAACAACAACAACAACAACAACAAAAGAGAGCCCTAGAAAGAAATAAATGCTTACAGTAAAAATGGAGTTCTTGAAGATTGAGAGATAAACAGTTGTTGAAGTCCAGAGTGCCAGTGAAGAAGGAGACTGTATTATCGAAATGCTAAGAGGTCTGTGACTTTGCCGTCAAGTTCAGAGGAGAGAGAGAGAGAGAGAGAGAGGGGGGCGGAGATGGCAGAGTAACGGCTATTTGAGCACTTCTGTTATTAATTTGGTTATTTTTTCCGTTTGCTTAGGCGCACCTGAGAGAAAAGGCAATAGATATTCATTTCCCTTTTTTTGAATTTCTGGCGCCTGAGGTTGCCGCACACGCGTCACACTTGCACTGGTCACGTTCTGAGTTTCAACTTTCAACGGAAAACGGGTCATTAATGCCAAAACGTGCGGCTCCAAGATACGGGCCAAACCCGAAAAATAAAATACCGGCCAAGCCCGAAGAACATTAGAAACCGGGCCCAAACAGAAACAAAGCCCAAAAGAAAGGGCCGGCGTGTAAAGAAAAGTCAAAGCTCCCGTCAAATCTGAAAGTAACTTTAGATCCAAGCCAACCAAAGCGCAAGGAAAATTCTAAAAAAAGAAATGTGCAACAAGTCAAATTTTCTGAACCTCTTTCTGGTTGAACAGCTCCATTTTGTTAGGATTGTTTGTTGGTGCGGCAACTAGAAAGACTACAAACTATGGGTCATTATATATGTCACTTGTAATTCTATGACCAAAAGAGGGAGAAAAAAAACATAGAGACATCAAATCAAAGATAAACGAATCGAAGATAAACGAATTAGGGCCTTAATTAGGGGAGTCGTAATATTCTTATTTTTGTCAATGAATCATTGAACAATATGACACTTACCATTTCGTGTTTTACCAAGTTACCATACATACGTTCTAGTTTATTTCAAACAACTAATCACGTGATGAGCACGTTATAGTGTGTATAATGCAGTTTTTGAATTCTCTGCAACATATGGGAGCTGAAACCACCAGCGACCGAACAAATACAATGAGCCGGTATGTTGAATGTGAAGCTTGCTTTTCTTCTGACTGCCAAACCAAATAAACACATGCATGCTGCATCTGGATATCTGACAAATTTGACAGAAAAGGACGGCATGCAGAGCCTTTTTCTCTTCCCCTGATATCTATTTTCCTTCATTTTTCTACGCCCCACTTGAAGAAAGGTCCGACCACTTTCACTTTGGATTTAACTTGGCCATACTTTTCCTTGGGATATACTTATAATCCTAATGAAACAATAAAAATGGTTATGTTATTAGGCTAAATAGTTCAAAGAGGTGCAATAAGTTCAACTATAGATATCCACCAAACAAAAAGGAAAAACTTGTTCCATGTATAATCAACATAGCCTTTAAGTGCAAGAGAAGTAATTTGCACCAAACCACCAATGGAGAGCCATAATTTGAGATCGGTGCCCCCACAAAATCATTCAAACGACCCACACATAACATTGGGAGTGAATTATGACCTAACAACTCCTTGATATGATCTCCCTATTGAAATTAGTTAACTATTTGGAGACACTAAGCATTGTGACCTCAAACCCTTCATATTTAGATTAGAGATGCTATATATGCCTGTGCACTCCCTTTTTCGGTACAAAGTAGTTTTGGGCAAATTTTAAGGTGCAATCACTCACAAATCACATGTGTTTGGTAAGTAAATTTGGTTGTTTTGTGTAAATGTTTGAAATAATAAGTTTAAGTTTATAGTTCGCTTCATATTCACTCTTAACTACTAATTACGTGCAAGTTACGAAAAAGTTGAAGGTTATTTTAATTACATGACATTTTCATAGCAAGGGCTAACTTTTAAACCTGGATTTCAGGATTTAAGTGTGTCACAATGCTATATTAGCAAATTTTTTGGGTGATTTTTTCTAAGACCATATATAGTGCTAGGTTATTTTACATGTTTATATGTCTAAGTAAGAAGAAAGGGCCATGATTGGCTCCTTGTACCTGGTGGAGGGTGGCAAAGGTGCTTAAGATAGAGAACATGGGATTGCATGTTGGTGGCCATCCTCTGTCTTAGTTGATCATTGATGGATCACATTTGTGTTGCAAGTTGCAAATTGTTTGTTCAAACTTAAGAGAAACAATTTCCTGCGGTAGGGGAACACCAGAACATGCGATTAAGGAAAATAATAACCCATTAATCCAACGTCATATGTTATGATTTATGATGTTTTTTAATATTATTATTTGTTGAAAATTTATGATTTGTGAGGTTGATTGAGATGAAGGCTTTGCCTAGGGGATAATACTGATTAGGGGCCACAACAGATACTTGCATCACTAATTTAGATATAGGCAGGTGGGTTATGTTATGGTGCAACACAGCACAAAAGATGGACTTTTCTGTGGCCAAGCCTTCACCAAATTTAGGTGTAGTACTCTCAACATACACCTAAATTTGAGAAGTGATTCCAATGAAGGGTTGGCCGGTTAGATACTCTAACTTTAAGATGGAATCAAAATACATAAAGAAGTGATTCCAATGAAGTCGAAAAAGGAACTCAATAAAGCAAAAGTTCGAAGCCATGGAAGCAAAAAACAGAACTGGTGAATCAAAAACGGAATTCTACAAAGCAAAAAAATACAAACCGAGTGAAGCCAAAAGTATGCATTGTGTCTAACGATTACAAATGAGAATTGTGTAAAAATCGGACTGCCTAATTAAGTCCAATCACAAAAGAGATAGCGTGTTGAGAATATCGAGCCCTGCCCTTTGTTTTGAGACTTAATATAAATCATTTGCTATCTTAGAATGAATGCATATAAAACTTGATTATCTTTTTTTCAAGTTTTAATTAAGAAAATTCAAAATGGGCCACATCATACTTACAAACGTGAGTAAAACTCGAACTGCCTAATTCCATGTTGAAGTTGAGTTGAACAGTTCGAAATTATTTTGTTAAGCATGGTTTTCAAAAGAGTTTGGTCGTTGTTTTTCTAATGATGCTTTGATTTTGATGATTTGAAAGTGGAATTTCCAAATTTCCTTCCAATGTTTTGATGCTTTGACGTGAGCTGGAAGGCAATTTATGATGCTATGTATGGACGGTCCTGTGGCCATATACCTACGACTCTATGACTAGGATTTGGACACAAGTACACTTCAATTCAATTGGAGAATTACAATTTATGGCAGCCCAACAAATTAGAACGCTCCTTGAAAGGCAGATGTCAGGGTTGGACTTGGACTGGTCCCCAAGCTCTATGAAATGGACACTATCAAGCTCTATATTTCCTTGTCAAATATTTAACCTTATTTGTATTGGTCAAATACTAAGGAGTCGTATATAAAATAAAAATACTAAGAGCATTTATAGTGTGGGGTGTATAAGGGGGTGTATGTTAAATATACACCCCAAGTCACCGGAATCGTCTCCAATGAGGAGATATAAATAGATGTAAATATACATCACCACCATGAGGATGTAAAATAAAATGTATATATACATCTATTTTTACATCCTTTACAGGCGGGACCCACCCTAGAAAAGAAAAAAAAATGAAGAAAAGTCAACATAAAAAGCTGGGACCCACGGCTACACCCCCCACTAGAGCAAAAAATATATTTACACCCCCCGGAAGTGTAAAGGGGATGTAAAAATGGCTTTACACCTCCGAATTTACACCTCCGAATTTACACCCCCTACTATGAATGCTCTAAGAGTCAAGTGATGCTATTTGTATTATATTTACTAAACATATCTCTAAAACAAATGAGTCACGCATAGATTAGTAGGGCCTGCTTCTATTAGATAGATAGTCATCACAATAGTCAATATATAGTACAAATAGTATTATTGGTGAGAGTCATATCTTCTGTTCTCAAAGTTGGTGTTCTCTTTTTGTTCCTTCACTATTTACTTGACACGTGTCTTTCAATGTGAGAGAGTTAACTCTAGTTCTTTATATGTATATATGTATAGAGTTTCTATTGAGGGATTCATCAAAAAAGCTTATTTAAGGGACACCCTTATAGGGCCCACTTCGTATTGTATTTCACAATCCAAACAATCTATTTTTTAGATAATTATTTAAAGATCATCTCTACAAAAAATCACTTGAATCCGATATCATTTGACAACTTAATTGAGTTATTGAATTTTTAGTACTTTCTTGAAGCACTGTATTTATATGACACATTTGGATGTCAAAATGATTTTCGATTTGTCTAATTTTTTGTAAGGATGATCTATGAATGTAGACTTAAAAATAGATGGTTTGGATCGTTGAAAAAAAAATCGTAGAAAACCCTAAAGGGTGTCCCTTAAATAAATTTATTTGTGAGATCCCTCAATAAAAAAAGACTATATATATAATAATTAAGAACGCCCCAAAATAGCAGGAAGTACGAGGCGTTAGCATGATCTTGTCTTCGCTAATATGAAATTGAAGGAAATTTTAAAATTTGGAGTGTCCACCAAGAGATATCCATGAGACATAATACGTTGTACAATTTAAATTACCTAATTTTCTTGTTCAAAAGTACACAAAACTTAAAACCGCAGTCAAGAGGCCCACGAGTTTAAGCATGTACCCACAAAACAGCGTCCACCAAAACCACTAATGGCTAGTAATAGGCAGCCAATGGATTTTGAAGCGACTTGCTCTTCCTCGTTTTAATTTTTCCAACATAATAATTAACACCATGCTTCTTTCTTTATTCTTACGTACGAATACAAACACCCAAAAACCAAGAGTTTACGTTTAAAAAAGCACACCGAATCATGCCGCGTCAGCCACCGAAAACCTCTCAGTCTACTGTCTCTGTTATGACTCATGAGAAGGAGAGAGCCATCGAGACGATGGGTAGCATGTGACCCACTCACCCATATTATTTGGTACACTGACCCCACGGCCTACGTGCCACGTAGGGACCGCACTATATCCAAAATCCTGGCTGCCATGTGTGCATACGCCACCCACTTCACCTTCGCCCAATGAGATTCTATCAGACGTCCAATCAAAAAATTCCACGTCACGGGAGCAAAGAAGATATTGGAATTTGGTTTTGCTTTTCTCATTTCCGACAGAGTGACGTGTCCCCCCGGCACCGTAAACGCAGCGTAACTGGCGCGCTGGAACTTTCGTCCAGAAGAGCTCAGCCGCTTCCACGTTTTGGTTAGACAGGTAATTGAAAGTAATTAATTACGGTGAAACTTAAAACTACGAAAGTACCCTTGTAGCACACCGGGCAAAGGCAGTCACCTTTTGCAGCGTTGAGTCAAGGAAAACAGGAGCCATAGAAAGAAAACCAAGCCAGGACACGTTATGCATATGTACTCAAAACAATAAAAAAAAGATGAATGCAATGTTAGGTTAACCCAGTTAATTACGGCAGTGAGTCTGTTTCTTTAAATTCAAGTTCGAATTCTCTTGCACGCTCGTAATTTAGATCATCGCTTACTTGTATCAAAAAATTAAACAGGAACAAAAAATAATTGTAATAAATAATATAATAATCGTACAGGGCCTACAGGCTACATGACCAGGACAGAAAGTGAGAGAGGAATTAAAAAAGGGGTTGAAGAAGAAAGTGGATAAGAGGAAAAATAAAGCGGTTTTGTGAAAGCAACAAGAAAACCACAGGAGGGTATGACAATGGTTTTGTATTTTTCACGAAACTTTTTTTTTTTTTTTTTTTTTTTTTTTTTTTTTTTTTTGTTGTTAGTGTTTTATTTTGAAGATTAAAAATGAAGTCAATTACCCACCAGGAAGGTGAAGGTGGAAGTGGGAAGGCAATCATGTATCATGACTCATGGAGATATGACCTCTCTCTCCTCCCCCATAATATAAAAGGGTTGTTTGCTCCTCCTTCTCCTCCATCCCATTTCTCATTCCATTCTTCATTTCTATCATTCTTTGCGTTTTGTGTGTTGAACCCCTGCGTTCACTGTTCTTGCTTCAATTCATTCTTTTCATTCATTTGTTTCTTTTCTCTCTCATTACTGAAGAACATTGGTTGACGGTAAATTCTCGGTGGCATTCCAAGGTAATGCTACTATAGTTTTATCTTATACATCCTTTGATTGATCTTTATGTTTTGTTTTCACAGAAAAAAAAACCGAACAACTGTTTTAATCCATTGAACTACGAACTCTTTTTGGTGCATTATTATGTTTCAATATGATATTTCAAGCTTAATGTGACATATTAGTTGTTTTCAGTCAGTTTCACGTCACCTCCGATGATTGCTCCCATTAGCTAATAAAAACATTAATCCCATTAGCTAATATGGTGGGATTCAGCAGGTTCTTCAAACATATCCTCTCATCTTTTTTTATTATAATGTGTGTGCATAGTAATTAAAAACATTAATCCAAAACCCAAGATTGGATTACATTAAACCCATGAACCCAATGGGCTAGAATTGTAGGTTTCATAGGGAACAACAACCGCAAAGTCCAAAAGCGGCCAAATGTCCGACTTCTGAATCATCACCCAACCAGCACCTTCTCCGATTAGACCCATGCATGCCCCTCTTTCTCTGCACTTACTCTGACCGCCACATATTTATTTTTTATTTCACACCTTAATTCCATGAATTTGGTGCCTTCAATGGAAAAACAAAAACAAAAACAGAAAATCCCAATGGATTTTTCTTGTTGCTCAAGAACGACATAAAAAGGCAAATGCTTGAATATCAAGGCTTAAAATTAAACAGCACAAAATTGATTAATCCTCTAATTTCTTTCCATATAAAAATCCTATCATATCCCATTTTCAATTTGTGAATTTACGAAATTACCCCTGTTTTTTGATGACTTCTTCGGGTAAGGAAATGAGACTGGGAAAATGGATATAATAGATTTTCCGACCACCCTTTTGGAATGTTATTTTTTGCCACTGCCCTTATTATCGTACGCTCCAAGTGTTTTTTTTTAACTTGCTCGTTTTGGTTCTTGGTTCCACGCTATAAAGTGGCCACCAACTTTGTTCATCCACCAAACCACATCACTTCTCTTCTTCTCGTTTCCAAAGGCTCTCTCTCCCTCTCTGTGTGTGTTCTTTTTCTGGGTACGCCTCCTTTTCTCTTCCCATTTCTATTTTTCCTTGTGTTCTTGTTCTTCTTGTTGGGTTATTTCTTTAGGCTATATGGTCTTTGCTCTTTTTTTTTCTTTTGGTTCATCTGCCAAATCACATAGATCAATGCCTTCTGAATGCAAGGTTGAGTTTATTTGAGGGTATATACTCTGTTTTTGCTTTGGAGCACCAGTATTTTGTGCAGATCTCTGTTTTTAATTTTTTTCAGTCTGCTTTTGTTTGTTGAAAGTGAAAAAGCTGTTTATCTTTTTGACTGGTTGGCTTGTTTCAGTTCAACAAGTAACCAGTAGAAGAAGTGTTTTTCTTTCATCTTGTTGGGCTTTTTCAGCTTCTCTTTTGGAGAAAAGATTGATTCTTGTCAACATTTGCCAAATGCGCCATTTTTATTTTTCTTCTTCTTTGATAAAAAGCGTTTTCTCTGCTTTTGCTAAGCACCCTTAATTATTATAAGCTTGGATTTTTATGATGGGCTTGAAGCTTTTTATCTGGCAGCCACTCTGCAAATCCTTTATGGGTGCATCTAATTATTACATAATTAAAATCAGCGGTTACGTGCTACAGATCACCTGGATCTTTTTTTCATTATTCTTAACCACTATTTAAGGTTGCATCTTTGTTCAACCGCACTGCTCTAATTAACGTTTGTATGAGGTGGTTGGTGGATGGTGTGTTTGGTTTTGAAAAACCAAAGAAATTAGTCTTCTAGAATAATAAATAATATTAATAATATTATTATTATTATTGTAAAGTCTTCCTGTTAATGTTGGAATTATTGACTTGGTGGTGATTATCCATCTCTTTTTATTGCGATGCTTCTGGATACCTTGTTATACTCACGGCTTGCTTTGTACTTGCAGTTTTTCAAGGTTCTCTGATTTACCAATCTGCCATCAATGGCGGAACGTGCCTTGACCCGTGTCCAAAGCCTCCGCGAGAGGTTGGACGTGACTCTCTCTGCTCACCGCAATGAGATTGTTGCCCTGCTTTCAAGGTACAAGACGTCTCAGATCATCATTGTATCTATGATCACAAAAGGGTTTTTGTGAAATGTTTCAAAACATGCAAAAAGACCATTTTTGTTTGCTTGGATCACTGAAAATTTAAGTTTGCTAATGTGAGAGGGGTTGTTGATATTGCAGGATTGTAAACAAGGGCAAAGGGTTTATGCAGCCCCATGAGCTTGTTGCTGAGTTTGAAGCAATTCCTGAAAGTAACAGACAGAAGCTCTTGGATGGGGCTTTTGGTGAAGTTTTGACACACACCCAGGTAGACTTATCAGATCACATTTAATTATAATCATTATGGGTTCATTGAGGAATTTTTTTTGATTGTTTGTGATTTATTTTTAAACTTTTTTTTTTTTTTTTTTTTTTTTTTTTTTTTTTTGTTTTCATGTAGGAAGTTATTGTTCTACCCCCATGGGTGGCTCTTGCTGTGCGCCCAAGGCCTGGTGTTTGGGAGTACATCCGTGTGAATGTCGACGCACTTGTTGTTGAGGAGCTGCAGGTGCCTGAGTACTTGCACTTCAAAGAGGAACTTGTTGATGGAAGGTAGATTTTTGGTTTTTAATGTTTAATTTGGTTCTTGATCTGTTTGTTCTGCTGTTTATGATGTTAATAATCTGAGCTGCTTTCGATTGCAGTGCCAATGGCAACTTTGTGCTTGAGTTGGACTTCGAACCATTCAACGCTTCTTTCCCCCGCCCAACTCTTTCCAAGTCCATTGGAAATGGGGTTGAGTTCCTCAACCGTCACCTTTCTGCAAAGCTCTTCCATGACAAGGAGAGCATGCACCCACTGCTCGAATTCCTCCGAGTTCACTGCTACAAGGGCAAGGTTTGTTTTCCTTATACAGATCGATTTCTCTCATTTACAGATTTACCATCATTGATTTGATAATGAACTAAGTACCCCTTGCTGATTTATTGTTTTTTTTTTTTTTTTTTTTTTTTTTTTTTTTTTTTTTTTTGCTGCAGAATATGATGCTGAATGACAGAATTCATAATGTGAATGAACTCCAACATGTTCTGAGAAAGGCAGAGGATTACCTCTCCACAATTGCCCCAGAAACCCCTTACAAGCAATTTGAGGACAAGTTGCAAAAGCTCGGTTTGGAGAGAGGTTGGGGTGACACCGCCGAGCGCGTTCTCGAGATGATCCAACTCCTCTTGGATCTTCTTGAGGCACCTGATCCTTGCACTCTTGAAAAGTTCCTTGGCCAAATCCCCATGGTCTTTAATGTTGTGATCCTTTCTCCCCATGGCTATTTCGCTCAAGACAATGTCTTGGGGTACCCTGACACTGGTGGCCAGGTTAGTTTACAAGCCTGAGGTCTTATGCTTAACATTTTCTTTTTGTGTCTGTTTAGGTTACCTGATTTTTGGTTATGGATTATGTTTTTCTAGGTTGTTTATATCTTGGATCAAGTTCGTGCTTTGGAGACTGAGATGCTTAAGCGTATTAAGCAACAGGGACTGGATATCACTCCCCGCATTATTATTGTGAGTTTTGCTTGAAATCTTTTAGCTCCTTTATTCTTGTTGTTTGGTGATATTGTACCTCAATTGTGATGGCTTGATTCTGTTTTCTACCCAGCTCACAAGGCTTCTTCCTGATGCGGTTGGAACCACATGCGGTGACCGTCTTGAGAAAGTATACAACACAGAGTATTCACATATTCTTCGTGTTCCCTTCAGAACAGAGAAGGGTATTGTCCGCAGATGGATCTCGAGATTTGAAGTCTGGCCCTACCTAGAGACTTATGCTGAGGTGAACTTTTTATTGATACTGTCAGCTGCCATATTTTGTTTCTTGAGTGACAAATGTTCCATTGATTTTTGGTTTTTGCTTGTACTTGGTTCTAAGAAATACCAATTTTTTTTGTTATCAGGATGCGATCCAGGAACTTTCGAAGGAATTACACGGCAAGCCTGATCTCATCATCGGAAACTACAGTGATGGGAACATTGTGGCCTCATTGATGGCACACAAATTGAGTGTTACACAGGTTTGTGATTATTACCATTAGATGTAGTTAGTTATGCCTTTTGATGGCTTTTTCATCTGGGTATATTTTTGTATCTTTATTAGCTAAACACATTCTTTGGATGTTGTTTTGCAGTGCACCATTGCCCATGCCCTGGAGAAGACAAAGTACCCTGATTCTGACCTTTACTGGAAGAAATTAGATGACAAATATCACTTCTCATCCCAATTTACAGCTGATCTTATAGCCATGAACCATACTGATTTCATCATCACCAGTACCTTCCAAGAGATTGCTGGAAGGTAATATATCTCTTGCCTCACATTTCTTGTATCGATGGTCACATATTTTGGGACCCTAATTTTATGTTCTGTAAATGTTTGCAGCAAGGACACAGTTGGCCAGTATGAGAGCCACACTGCTTTTACTCTTCCTGGGCTTTACCGTGTCGTTCATGGTATTGATGTCTTTGATCCCAAGTTCAACATTGTTTCACCAGGAGCAGACATGAGCATTTACTTCCCTTACTCAGAGAAGGAAAAGAGGTTGACATCATTCCACCCTGAAATTGAAGAGCTCCTTTACAGCCAAGTTGAGAACAAGGAACACTTGTAAGTTTCCTTACATCATCTTTGCCTCGATTATATTTTGCTTTTTCTGTAATTGAACATATGCTAATCTGTTTGTTTGTTGCCAAACAGATGTGTGTTGAAGGACAGGAACAAGCCAATCATCTTCACAATGGCAAGGCTGGACCGTGTGAAGAACATTACTGGACTTGTTGAGTGGTATGGTAAGAATGCCAAGCTTAGGGAATTGGTTAACCTTGTTGTGGTTGCCGGGGACCGCCGAAAGGAGTCCAAGGACAATGAGGAGAAGGCAGAGATGAAGAAGATGTATGAGCTGATTGACACCTACAAGTTGAATGGGCAGTTCCGATGGATTTCATCCCAGATGAACCGCGTGAGGAACGGTGAACTCTACCGTGTCATTGCTGACACCAAGGGAGCTTTCGTGCAGCCTGCTGTGTATGAAGCCTTCGGCTTGACGGTTGTTGAGGCCATGACCTGTGGACTTCCAACATTCGCTACTTGCAAGGGTGGCCCTGCTGAGATTATTGTGCATGGCAAATCTGGCTACCACATTGATCCATATCATGGTGATCAAGCTGCGGACATCCTTGTTGACTTCTTTGAGAAGAGCAGGGCAGATCCTAGCCACTGGGACAAGATTTCTCAGGGTGGCTTGCAGCGTATTTACGAGAAGTAAGCACAGCCCTCTTGTGCAGCAACATAATTTTATTGTAATATGCTTCTAAATTTGCTTACACACGTCCTCTGTTTGTGTAGGTATACATGGCAAATCTACTCAGAAAGGCTCTTGACTCTCACCGGAGTTTATGGCTTCTGGAAGCATGTTTCTAACCTTGATCGTCTTGAGAGCCGTCGCTATCTTGAAATGTTCTATGCCCTCAAGTATCGCAAGCTGGTAAACTTATTTGCCTAACGCCATAACCCTTTCATGATTTTCTTACTTTCCATTAGTTTTCTTCCTTACCATTAATTTTCTAACTTAATGTGTCTTACCTTGCAGGCTGAGTCTGTTCCTCGTGCCGAAGAGGAGTGAAGGGAAAGCTAAAGAGTAAAATAAAGAGGCGGAAGCTTTGGTTGGCTAAGAGTGGAGTTTTCCTCCTTAGTATGAGGATTGTTTTTGGATATATTTTGATTTTTTTTTTCGTTTCTTTTGGAATTTTCATTTTACATTCCTATTGGAAATGTTTGAATCTGGGTTTTTAACCCCATTAATCAATTGAAGTCAACTTTGCTTCACCTAGTCTTGTTCTGCTATCCAATCACATCTCCTTTTTCACATTTGCTCTTGATTGGTCATTTGAACGCACTAGTATTTGTTGTGACTTTTGTTTGGCTTTATCTCTTCTTTTTGTTGAACGCACTAGTATTTGTTGTGACCCAACACATCATGGTCACAGCGACCCCAAAACAAAGAAGAAAAAAAATCAGAGCATGGTCACCTAACCCAATTTCTTGAAGTTGGCCTAAGCTAGATTCTTCATAGGTTGGCCTAGATGTAACCTAGTTTTCATTGGGTGCATATGCTCCTTTTGGAGGAAGATATGCATGGATGAAATTTCCCCAAGTTGTAAGATCTGACCAGTAAGCAAGCAACAACTTGGGCACAAATGGAAAACAATTGCTTACAACTTTTGTGTTTTGAGTTGCTCCATTTCAAAGTTACGTAGAGTTTAGCCAATTCTAATCTAACTTCAATTATTTTTTTGTTAGATACTAATGTAGCCAAAAAATTTGAAGAAAGTGATTTCGGTCTTAAATAAGCAATATCAAACGGGTGCTAACTTTTATGGTAATTTAATCGGGCCTAGCTAATATGAGTTTCAATGGGTCTAAAAAAATTGGGCTCGAGTTGCCAGGCCTAGATAAGTTGCTTTCTTTTGTCTATGGGCTTCAGCATTGTTCAAGTAGAAAACTCACTTTTGTTTTTTTATTCATTTGTAATTTAGATATGAAAACATATGAGCATGCAACGGACTTGCAGGGCACCCCATAAGACGCTATTTATTTAACAACTCTAATTCTCCAATTAAATGTGGCACCGAAAAAAAAAATTTGTTTTCATAATTTTTTGTTGTCTATAAAACAGAGCACGGCGCTTTTGGTTAGTTTGAATCTTGATTGAAGCATAAAAGTCACAGAAATTTAGAACGAACTCTAAATCAGCAATGAAGCGGTCAAGAAACTTAATCAAGATGAACATGCTTATGTTCTTTCCCTCCTTAACATCTTTGCTTCTAATGGCTTCCTTCTTCTTCTTCCACTTGGGCTTCTCTTTCAGCCACCAAATTCCACACCCCACAATCAAGAACGCTTGCACCACTCTTCTTCACCCATCTCTGTGCTTCACTGCTCTTGCCTCTGTCAAAACCCATGACCATTTCACTGCATTTCATCATCTTCTTGAGGCCAACATCAACCAAACTGTGGCATCTGTGGAAAGTACCAGGCAGAGCATTAAGGGTCTTCTGAAGCTCCAAGATTTGTATTTGCAAGAGAGGAATGCGCTGAAAGATTGCCTAGAGATGTTAGACCAAACCCTTTATGAACTTGGCCAGGCAGTTGATGATTTGCATGGATTTCGTGTGTCCTACGGTAACCTCAAGACTCTTCTTAGTGCAGCTATGACAAATGAGAACACTTGCATTGATGGGTTTTTTGAATTGGAAGAATTTGATTCAGAAAATCAAATCGGTCTCAAAGGTCACCTCCAAGGCTTGTTGGCTCCCATCTCTGAATTGATGAGTGATTGCTTGGCCATGATCAGATACCAAGAACAAGCCCTAAATGAACAGAAGAGGCTTGTTACCAAAAAACCAAAGAAGAGGTTCCCAATGTGGATGCTGCCCGGTGATCGAAATCTGATGCAGAGAGAACCAACAATGAAGGCTGACATTGTTGTTGCCGCTGATGGCAATGGAGATTATGAGACTATTGGTGAAGCACTGAAGATGGCTCCTAACATGAGCAGGACCAGGTTTGTGATTAAAATAAAGGCAGGAGTTTACAATGAGACCGTAGAGATTTCCAGAGAAAAGGCTAATATCATGTTGGTTGGAGATGGGATGAACACAACCATAATCACAGGGTCTAAAAGCTTTGCAGATGGATTTTCCACCTTTGCTACAGCCACTTTAAGTAAGTAACAAATTTTCGGTTCAGAAAATTCTTGTGTTCTTGATATTTTTACATGTATTTGAAATTTGATGAGTATTGAATTGAAAGTCAAAGAATTTATTGTTCTGATCTTTGCAGCTGTAATTGGGGACAGGTTTTTAGCCAGGGACTTGACCGTAACCAACACAGCAGGTTCAAAGAAGTTCCAGGCCGTTGCTGCAAGAGTGACCTCTAACTCTGCCTTCTATCATTGCAACTTCAGTTCTTATCAAGACACCCTTTATGTTCATTCCCTCCGCCAATTCTACCGTGACTGCATAATCGAAGGCACGATTGATTTCATTTTTGGAAATGCAGCTGCAGTCTTCCAAAACTGCACAGTAATTGTTCGAAAACCGATTCCCGGTCAGAAATTGATGATCACTGCTCAAGGGAGAACAGACCCAAATCAAAACACTGGCATTTCGTTGCAGAACTGTACCATTGTGGCTGCACCAGATTTCAACAAGACTGAGAGGCAAAATTTCACAACGTTTTTAGGTAGGCCTTGGAGAAACTATTCGAGGACTATAGTCATGAAGAGCTACTTGGGGGACATGATAAATCCACAAGGGTGGTCAAAGTGGGATGATTATAGCACTGTGGAAACTGTAGAGTACATAGAGTACTTGAATTTTGGACCTGGATCAGATACAAGGCACAGGGTCAAATGGGGAGGCTATAAAAAGAATTGCAGTGAAGAGATTGCGAGGCAGTTTACAGTTGGTTTGTTCTTACATGGAGCAGGTCATTGGCTAAAGACAACGGGCATTCCACTTTCTTATGGTTCATAGGGAAGATAGTGAGAGTGAAACAGAAGTGATATATATTTCTGTTATTCTTGAAAATAATGTAGTATTTCCTGCCTCTTAATGTTGAGAAGTTGTCGATATTAGGGTTTAAGTTTGAACTGTAAAGGATTAGCACCACTTGCAGTAAAGAATGGAATTAGGGTTTAAGCCTAGCAAATACAGAGACTTCCAACAGAAAACATCGCCTTGAATTTTATTTTGTGGGATTAAAAATGTAGAGTACAATCAAAATCCTAACGGTGATTGTTCATTCTATACACCGTATTGTACACATCATATAGTGTGTTGGCAAAAAGGTAAGAACAGAAACAAGCAAAATGAGCTAAACTCACGAGCGCTTTGGTGCGATCATGAAATAAAGCAAGTAGATTGAGAATATGTACTCATTTCCCAGTTACAAAATTTGCCTGCAGCCTTTGGGATTTATATATACACCATGGCCGCCAGCTTATTGACCTATAGCATTAGAGATGAAAAGCTCCCATGAAGCATTTTGAGCTTTCAATGACCTTTCCCATCTGAATTTATTTCATCTGTTTGTACCTTCTTTCATACATTGAATTCCAACCTCACGCTGTTCCTATTTCAAGGTGAAAATACACAAGCAACCAGAATCAGTAAGCAACAACGAGACTGCCATGCTGATACTGCTTCACCATTACACTACCATCTGCGTTGCGAATAACATAACACTATATACCAGCGTACTGTTCTTTTAATTCTTCAATTCTCCTTCTCAAATCTATTTTATTCAGAGGCTGCCTCGGGTACAGAATTAGTGCTAAAAATAAGGAGAATGCAAAACCAGTTAGACCGCTAAATGGTTGGAATGGGTGCGTCCCCATAATCCAATGAGGAAAGCTAGCCCGGTAGGTCAGAAAGCCACCCTTCTGTAAGATGAAACTTGAAGCCATAATTCCTGCACGAAACCCGATTGGAATGGAAAGGCTCCCTTGGTTTCTTTGTCGAGCACCTGATAAACTCAGAGATAGAAGCCAAAGTCCTGGGATTGATAGTGGAGACCTGAAACCCCATTGAAAGAAAAGACTTAAATTTATCTTGCACATGGTCGGCAGAAATCATTCTACAGAACATTCCAGTATTTCATTGCATATATCTTGTATAGGGCGCAACAATAGCTAAAAGATTACAGCAAATATCCATTCCAATTTCCACACAGAAGACAAAAGGAACGCACGAATTCTAGAAGGCAATGAGTAAGTAAAATGAGTAGAAAACAACCTCTGGAATAAAGAGAATGCAAGTCCTGATATAATTATTCCTTGATGATATCCAAGATCTGCAGCAATTTCTTGGGGCAACCAAGACCTGAAAAGCAATTCTTCCACAAGAGCAACACCAGTTGCTGTTAAAATTCCTTGACCAACCAGCCTAAGCACTTGCCCATAAACTTTGATCCGTGTCATGGCATCCAAAGAAGATAGAGGAGAGGGCCAAGCAAGATTCACACAGCCAAGTAATGCATTTACAGATTGTATTGATAACACAAGCATGACTCCACCAATCAAGCCCTTCAAAAAATCACATAACTGCAAGAAAGGAACTGAAAAATCATCTAGCTGCAAGTAATGAATAGTATCTTATTTTGCATGAACCAAGCAACACCAAATTACATTGTTCTCTCGAAGACTTGAGCATGTAAAGACAAATCAGATCTTCAATTAGCAAGCTCAAGAATGGAGATATAACCACAACCAAAGATCCAGTTCTTGTCCAGAGTTTCAGATATCCGTACCTTTGGCAATGACGTTAAATCTAGCCCATATTTCTGTAGGGGATTTTCATATCCGCGTATTCTTTTGCCCCATATAATAACAAGTATCATAAAAGCCGTATAGAGGCCAATAATGCAAGCAAGTTCAGCAATTCTAGAGGATGTATTTGTTGCCCAGCTTTGTAGAAATGTGGGAAGTAGTGGAACAACAACTGGTGACCATAAAACAAGCACCATACCAACAAACCCAAAAATCCTACAGAAGAAAATGAGAATAAAGGACCATATCAGTAAATACAGTAATTAAGTACAGAACTCAATTCAACAAAAAGTGCATAAATGGGGAAAGATTACCATGCAATATACAGATTAAAGTTCTAATTTGATCCTCTCTTAATAACCATAGCCTATATAGATTGGCATGTAAGGTTAACTTATTAAACATAGAAATTCGTAGCCCAAATGACTTTGAGATAAAGATAATTAGAATTGACCCGTATATGATTACTCTGAAGACAACTTACAAAATACCTCTGGATTAAGGGACGCTCAGCTATATGAAGAAATTGGATAAGCTTGTCAGTCAAACTCATCGCACCACGTAAACCACCCCAAAGCAATGCAATTTTGCCAACTAGCTTCAACATCCCACCCTTTTGTCCTAAATCTGCCAACATTGCGACCAATCTGCTTTCAAAGTAATTACAATATTAGTAAAAGAGAGAAGTAGTAGTAAGTGTGTATACAATAAATTGTGTGCTTAGACCTTTCTTGATCCACTCCACCATCTTCCTTGGTAGGTACCACGGGAGCAGCAACTGACATGGCTTTCTCAGCAAGGCTTGTGACTATGTTATTTTGGTTTTTTTCAGATAGTGCCTCCTCAAGCTTGTCAGGCTTCCTCTGGCCATTACCTTCCATCAAGGAGTTGGACGAACACTCGGAATTTTCATCGCCTTTGTGTGAATCCTGTGTGTTCGTATATAAGCATGATAAGTAGCAACATACCAAAATAGACAAAGTGAGCGGGCTTCTACCTTCATATAGATTATGAAGAAATTTACATAAACACGTAATCAATGAGTATAACTAGAATTCTAGAAACCAAAAGTGTCTGAAGAAATAAACTTTTACCTGGTTCCCCACAAATAACGCAGATGCCCCAAGGGCAGCTGTAACAGCACCAACCATAACAGTGTTGTTTATATTCTTCAACCCAGTCCTCTCCCCTTTCCTGTTAACTGAACTATCCAACCTAGCATTTTGATCAGATTTATCAACAGGCGTGTGGTGAATCTCTGTGCCACTAGCCTTGCCCAGATCCTTTTCTCCAGATATTTTGGCTTGACTAAGTGTCAGAACTTCTGTTTGGCCACAGTCATGCTCTGTAACAACAACAAAATGTTTTCTCAGCGCAGCTAAACTCGAGCCTACTATAACACCAACTGGCAGTACTCTTCTCAAGAAGCTAGTGCCCTGAACGGCGGATGATATAGCTCTAACCACATTCTCACCATGAAGAGTACCAAATTTTTCTGAGATGTTGTCAATACTATGGTATTTAACTTCCAAAATGGGAGCATCGGGTCCAACACAAAACGATACTGCATTTGCCACTTGTTCCACATCTCTGGCAAGATAGGGTTCCATCTTTTTCATGCCAGCTGCACTTAGTCTGCGACCCACTTCAACCTTCAAAGTATTCAATATAATATTTTTCACAAATTGAATGAAATCCTGTACTTTTTCTTCACCAATTTCAATTCTCTCCTCTATATTTTCCACTGTTTCATATTCTTTTACAGGTTCCTGATACTTCTCTGTATCTAATATTACATATGATGGTTCAATAACTTTATCATTTACCTTTGCAGGTGAATGGGCGTGAACCTTTCCATCAACTTCCCTATAAGTCGCATCATTACCAACAGAACTTCCGACATGTCCTGGTGGTTCTAAGAGCTTCCACTGGCCTTCTTCTGGAATATAGTCCAGCAATAGAGAAGCAGTTGAATCTAAATCTAGTGGTTTGGTAGGTACCTTTGAAAGAAGATCAATATGAGCCCCAGTTGGAACTGGAGTTATGCAGAGCGGAGTGCTCTTTACATGATTAAGTTTGTCTAAATTTCCCGCAAGAAGATTGAAACCAACCAATTGATCCTTCTTTTCTTTTTTATCCTCAACTCCACTGTTAACTGCATCACTTTCTTGAGAAATGTTCATACAATTCCCATTAACTGACATGGGGCTTTGATCAGGCTTCTCTACCCATCCATTTGGTGCATCAGATTGCAAATCCATATCAATCTCAGGGTGATCAGATACAGAGATATTACTTAACCTATCCAGCTGTTCATTTTGGTCAGTCTTACTGGCTTCTGAATCTTCTAGACTACTGTCATCATCGAGATGGTCCTTTGCAGATTCAGACCCTGATACAGAGTCAATTTTACTTGCTTCTTTTTCATGTTCTGAACTCTCCTCCAATTGAGATATCATATTTTCAATAACACCAAAAACATTGTTGACTGCCAATTGGGTGGAATCATCTATCCCTGTAAATGCATCCAGTGCCTCAGAAACACTAAAGGTATTACTTTGATCCATCACAGGCTTCATATTCTTATTATCATCAATCTTTTGATTATCATTACCTTCCTCTTCTTTTGTGTCTACTTGATCTACTATACCATTTTGGTCTCTCGGCTCCTCAACAATTGCTTCATCGGAACCACCAACAATTTCAGCCTGGCTGGAACTGTTAGTATTTGTGTCTGGTTCTGACCCCTTATCGTAAAGATATTCAGGAGCCTTTTCTTGGGAAGACTCATCGTCATTATTTCCTGATTCACTAACGTCGTTTCTGACAGAACCAGAAACATCGCTTCCATTACTGCTCAATGGTTGGGACTGATCTGGATTTAAATTCTGTTGTGATCCATCTGAGGGATGATACTCTGATTCTAGTCCCCCCCGAGGCTTGTTCATATCAGGAAGATTGTTAAGTGAGCTATCTACCAGATCATCATCCTTTTTCAACTGATCCGAAGAATGATTGTCTTGATTTAAACCTTCTGAACTTGATATTCCCGTGAACTTGTCTTGGACCTTTGACTTTAGACCTGAAGACATATCAGGAATCCGGGTAATACCCAGGAGTTCATCAAACTTTAGGTTTGTGCCTTGAGTCTGCACAACTCCAGATACAGCAGCTGTTAGCTTGCCACGAACATCTTCTGGCACTGCA